ACTGAGCTTACGTCGGACCAGGTGGAAATACCTGGATATAAATTTATTTCGAACCACCGCGATAGCAAGTCCGCCGGTGGAGCAGGTCTTTATTTACTTGACGATTTAGAATACAAATTATGCCGCGATTGTAATTATTCTGAACCTGAAGTGATCGAAACTCTTTTTTGTTGAAATTAACATTCCCAATGGGAAAAATATTATAGTTGGTACTGTTTATCGTCCGCCTAATTATAACACTCAGGACTTTTTGGAAAAATTTAATGAGATTCTTGCTAAAATAACTAGAAATGACAAATATTGTTATTTGGGTGGAGACTACAATATAGATCTGTTTCACTATTCCGATCATGCCCCTACTCAAGAATTTGTTGATAGTCTATTTTCCCATATGTTCATTCCTCTAATCAATAGACCGACTCGGATCACTGCTCATTCGGCCACACTTATTGATAATATATTCACGAATAATGTAAGGTGTAAACATTTCAATGGTATTGTTATTAATGATATTTCTGACCATCTACCGGTTTTTGTTTATGAAGTGGATGAGACAGAAATAGCGTCGAAAAAAATAGCCAAACTAAATATCTCACTAAAAGAGATTTTTCAGAAAGAAATAAGAGCAATTTTCGGCTCTCTCTTTCTCGTGTTAATTGGAATTTACGTTTCGATGAAAGCGATACTAATGAATGTTATAATAGTTTTGTGAGTGAGTATGTTCGATTATACAATGAAAGCTTTCCATTAAAAACGATAAAACTTAAAACAAAGAAAGTAATGCGCTCCCCTTGGATAACGCAATCTCTGCTTGTTTCTATCAGGAAAAAAGATAAACTCTATAAGCAGTTCATTAATTCTAGGGACTCAACTACTGAGTTAAAATACAAACGCTATCGGAACAAACTGAATCATCTTATAAAAATTGCTAAACGAAAGTACTATGATACAAAATTTGAGAAGGCTAAAAATAATCTGAAAGAAACTTGAAACTAATCAATGATGTAATCAACAAACCGAGCAGAAAAGCAGCTCTGCCAAATTCCTTTTTCTCTGATGGAAAACTGTTAAATGATCCACAAGAAATAGCTAACTGCTTTTGTAAGTTCTTCACCAACATAGGTCCGAATTTAGCAAGGAAAATTCCAGACACACAAGTATCTTTTCGTAGTTTTCTTGGCGTTTCTGTTAATGAGTCGCTTATCTTAAATCCAACTAATATTTCGGAACTAAATCAAATATGCAACTCTTTTAAATCTGGAAAGTCGCCTGGATATGATAACGTTTCAATGGATATAATAAAAAGCACCTTTGATCTCATTTCTCAGCCTTTGGCCAATGTAATCAATTTGTCTCTTATTAAAGGAGTATTTCCTGATGAACTGAAAATTGCTAAACTGATTCCGGTATTTAAAGCTGGTGATTCCCAGTATTTCACTAACTACCGTCCAATTTCGCTTCTTTCTAATTTTTCTAAATTCTTTGAAAGAGTTATGCACAATCGTATTACAAATTTTTTTAGATCGTTTAGATATCTTATACTGTTGCCAATTTGGATTTCGTAAAAAATATTCTACAGCGCTGTCTTTAATTCATCTTATTAATAAAATTGCAACTGCTATTGACAGAAGCGAATATACAGTTGGCATATTCTTAGACTTATCAAAAGCATTTGATACTTTAGACCATCAAATACTCTTGTCTAAGCTTGAGCATTATGGGATTCATGGGCTAGCACTTAGCTGGTTGAAAAGCTATTTGTCAAATCGCGTGCAGTTCGTCCAGTACAAAGAGACTTGTTCTATTAGGCTGACTCTGAGCTGTGGAGTCCCTCAAGGTTCTATATTAGGACCATTATTGTTTGTTTTGTATATCAATGACCTCCCTTGTGCTACTCGTCTTGCTGAAACTATGCTTTTTGCAGATGATACTAGTGTGTTTTATTCTAATCCCGATTTAAATTGTGCTATTTCTGCCGTAAATAATGATTTATCTCAAATTGATCTTTTTATGAAAGCAAATAAGCTCTCTGTTAACATAACGAAAACTAATTATATCATTTTTGCAGCAAGGCAAAAACCAGTCAACTTCCCAATAAATCCTGTCTTGTACGATGAGGTTTTATTAAAACAAGTAAAGGTAGTTAAATTTTTAGGGGTTTTTATCGACGAGCATCTAACGTGGAAGCCGCATATTACTTATATATGTAAGAAAATTTCAAAATCTATTGGCGTCATGTTTAGGTCTCGTTTCTTTCTTTCTGAAACAACAAAAAAAAGTCTCTTTATTATACCTTAATTTATCCTTATTTAACATATTGTACCACAGTTTGGTCCTCCACTTATGTAACAAACCTTAATAGAATTTTTCTTCTACAAAAGCGAGCAGTACGAATTATTACAAATGCAGATTTTCGCGCGCACTCTGAACCATTATTTTTCCGTTTAAAGATTTTGGACATATACAACATTAATTCATTCTATACTGCACAATTTATGTTTTCATATTATCATCAATTACTGCCACCGCTTTTTTCGAACCTTTTTGTTACTAGTAGCAATATTCATAATTATAATACTAGAAGTTCCTCGCATTTTCGTTCTCATGCCTGCCGAACTAACACCAAACAATTTTCTATTTTGTTCCAAGGCCCTAAAATTTGGAATTCTTTACCAAACTCAGTCACTTCGATTTTTACATTGCAATCGTTTAAAACGAAAGTTTTTGATTTTCTACTATATCGATAATGCGTCTTGTACTGTCCGTTGTTGTGTGTTGTTATAGTTCTATTGCTTAATATTATTGTAACGAGGGGGCCTCCTCGTACAAGCCTTGTGGTTTTCTGAGGTCCCCTCGCCACATCTTTGTATAATGTAATGCTTGTGTAATCTTTATTGTGGGAAAATAATAAATAAATAAATAAATAAATAAATAAATAAATCAGTTCCTCCACATCAGATTGGATACGGCTGTCTTCCTTCTTGTCAACAGACTCTGCAATAGTTGTGTCATCCACGTATTTCCACAGTTCCGTGTTACTGGTGTTGATGTCATCAATCATGAGAATAAACAGCCACGGCCCGAGCTTGGTTCCCTGAGGAACCCCTGCCGGTAGGTTCCTCCATGCAGACAAGCAATCTTCTCCCAATTTGACTCTCTGCGTGCGATCTGTAAGGAAATCGATGATCCAAAACGATACGCCAACCGGCATGTCCAGGGCCAGCAGTTTCCTAGCGAGAAGCGCGTGGTCTATCAAATCGAAAGCCTTCCGGTAATCGAATAAGACGACCCTGACGGTGGATCCTGTACCATCAGTGTGTTTGGTCCAGGAGTGCACCATACTGATTAGCGCATGCGTTGTTGAGGATTCTGGGATAGCCCCAAATTGGTTGTCTCCGATTTTCTTGAGAATTGATGGTCGCAGGTGCTCGGTAACAACAAACTCCTCTGTCACCTTAGAGAGAACGGGCGTTAACGAGATGGGACCCAGGTGTTTATTTAGGTCCTTGATTGGTTTCTGCTTTCGGATCGGCACCGGATCAGCAGATTTCCAAGAAGGTGGTAAGCGGCTTTCAGCAAAGGAGCAGTTAATAATATCTGTTACCGTATCAGAGAGGAGATCCGCATTTTCCTTTAGCAACCATGCAGGAATACCGTCGGGTCCGGACGTTTTCCTAGGGTAAATCGACGCTAGCTGAAGGTAAACAGCATGCGCAGTAACGGCAAATGGTTGCGCGGTGGAATAGTCTTGCGGCAGCTAGAAAGTTTCAGCAGATAATGGTGTAAAGTCTTGCATTGGGGAGAGGAAAGTATCGTTGATCAGATTGGCCAGATCCGAGGCGCTGAGAGACTCCTTACTTATGTTCTGTAATTATTGCGTACTCTTCTTTAGGCAGCTTGCACTAGGTCGTCAATTTAAAACCCAAGGACATGGTGATTAGTTAAAAAAAATGAAGGGATCAGCTGAAGCCGAAAATGTGTCACGCAATTGTTTATGTAAGAGAGTTTTGTCTATGGGATCGTTATTGGGGACGCACCAATCATCTATGGGAACATTATTTTTTTCACTGCTAGTAGTATTCCTCAAAAGTATTTGCAAATATTAACTCGTCCCAGTTTCGTCCTTATTTCTAAAGAGGCGAATTCATTCGATTAGTACTCCAGCTCGCTTTCTTAAGGAAAAAACAGTGTTTCCTCATATTCAATTCCTTCCTATAACTCTACAAACTGGTCTAAAAGATAGCAAACCTACAGGAGACACCTCATTTCCGTAAGGCGAAGAGAACGTTACCTTTAGGAAGAGGGTGCCGTTAATTTCCAACAAGAGTAACTTCAAGTTGACATCTTCTTGATCAAGTCTATCTGCTGCGTTTTGTAGCTGTTTGAAAAGTCACTCCATTAATTTTTATCAATAGACAAAGAGATATCTATGGACTAAATGAAATTTCAAATTCGATTTTAGTCCTGTTTCAAGAGCAAAAGCAAACAAACGAACTATAATTTCTTCCAGTCATGATGGAGTCCTCATGCACTGGGAATTAATTTGTTAGAAATTGCGTTCAAGTATCATACGTTTATCTGAGTCAAACTGCATGCAAACAGCCCCAAAAAGTCCGAAAATTTCATGCCCTTGCATTGTCTTTTCAGCAATTCAACCGGGAAACCGCTAGCTCAGAAATAAAAGGTTGCCTTTACACTCAAACTGACTTCGTGTGAATCCGTGATTTGGATTTTTGTCAACCTAAAAAAGGGACATGTCCTGTCATTCATTGAAGCAAATTTTCCTCTTGCATGGCTTGACCAATCAGAAGCGCTAACCAGATGTGGTTAGTTTTTCGTCATCAGTATGGAATTTTTGCACTCGTTTCCCAGACGACATCATTTCGTGGTGAAACCAATAGTGGCGTCGCCAAATGTCGACTGTTTTCGCAGGCTAAAAAAGGATATACGGGATAATCTCACTATAAAGAAGAGAATGAATGAATAAACCAATAACTTACCTGTGTTGTCGTTCTTGTCAAAGTTTGGTTTATTTGCTCGCTGTTTTTCTGAGTTTCTTCAAGTTCTGTTGATATCTGGCTCGTGGAAATCTCAAGACTTAAAATCTGGAATATAATCATGCAGTTTTGTGACGTTTGACAGCTATTCTCCCGAATTGCCGACATATACCTCGTCTACCAAAATACCGTATACTGGTATACTGTCGCTTATAATAAAGCCCTCCCCCCCACCCTCCACTCCCCAGATATTTATAGGCCCTTCTACCTGTAAACAAAATAAATCCGGTTATACTCCCAAGATATATTCCCCTTACAAATGTATTAGAATGAACTCTATCTATTAAAACGTTTCGAGGCTTAATCAATTTCAAGCTAATAAATGCAAATCTTATCACTGCTACTGAGACAGTGTACCAGTTTTTTTAACGCGCTTTTTATATTCCGGTTATAATCCCCCTTGGAAATATAAGCTCCTCTGTTTATAGTGACTTCCTAAAATCCCTTAGGGAGATGTATAAGCGTAGGGCTTACGAGCGGCACTTTACGAAAACCATTAATCTTTATAAATATTGGAAGTAGGGAAAAACTACACTTTCATCCCGACAAGCCTGTTTCGTGATCTCTCACTGTTCAGGGGATTTTAATGATAGGAATATTCATAACCATCGACTATATACTTTGAGATTACATTGTTGGGGAAAATTTAAATTTAAATGTTTAATTGTTACATAGCAACGCTTTGTTTCTGTGGCGGCAAGAAGATACGAGTGGTGGCGGCAAGAAGATAGAGTTTGTTCTCTTTAGGGAAGTGTTTGTCTACTAGGGTGCAGAAAAATCTTCAACCCCAATACCATCAAGATCAGTTACAGTTGCATGAATAACACTAAACAACATTATCGACAACCACAACAAGCGTATCCCGAATGCTTCCAAACACACAGATAAATCCACAGATAACTCTGATGACAACAAATCATGTAACTGCCGACAAAAAAACTCATGCCCTCTTAACGGAAACTGCCTTCAATCATCAGTTATCTACCAAGCAACCGTCAAACGTAACGACAATAACACTTCTGAAACATACATCGGACTCACAGAAAACCCGTCAAAACTAGGTACACCACACTGCATCATTCCGTCACAGAAAACACAGGAACTCTACGGAAAAAACATTTCTGGTCCCTGAAACACAACAACATTGACTTCTCTATTTCATATATATATATCCTATTCAAATAAAAGGTGTAACCTTTGGATCTTTAATTATCTGTCGTCCCAATCTATCATCACTTAACAAACGTAACGAACTTGTATCTTCTTGTTATGTATAAACATATATATATATAAAGTATATATAAATATAAAGTATATATCCCGATATATATATATATATATATATATATATATATAATGTATATGTGCTATGTCGCTATGTCCAAGTGATTGCTCAAGACCCGATGTCCTGTTCCGTTCTGTCATAGGCAGCATACGCAACTTCATTGGTTAGAAAGCTGTGTTAAAATTTCCTCCAATCCTGGCGATAATATTTGCATACTTATCTTCTTTGTGAATTAATTTTCTGAATACCGGCGCTGCTTGTTGCGTTCACAAAACTGAAGGGACTTTTTGGCAGTCTATATGAAAGCTAGAAGGAATTTGAATGGTACCTTTGCTGCGAGGGTCACGTTTGTAGACATTAAAGTGTGTCTTATCATCGTGTCTACTCCTATAAGCTCGGTTTTTGTAGAATTGAGGGCTGTCAGCAGTTCGTCTTTATTAGCCGATATCTGTAAGAAAAGCAAACCGTCATTTTTCAGTTTGAATTTATTAGTATCATTATTATACGTTGTACTCACTATCTGTCTTCTCGTTGGCTAAGAACCTTTAGTTATTTTTGCATTGCATTGCATAGAAAAACAAGCAACGGAAGTAATTTTGGTTGGCTGATTCGGCAAATGTCAGTCAATCAAAATGCAGACTGGCTGACTTAAAAAGTAGCTTTCATCTGTTAATTTTTTCAGCTAAAAATAAAACAGTCAGCACAATCACATTTAACTTCTTGGGAGATTAAGGGAGATCTCGAAGATTATTTCTGTTGGCGTAGAAGGTGAAAAGTTTTCGAAAAGACGGCGACACGATGTTCTACTAGTTTTATTATTTTGGCTACGCGCGCTCGAATTTTTCCGTTGCCTTTATATTTTCCTCGGTAATTTCCCCCATTTTCAGTAGATTTAACTTTTTTAAAAACAAAAGCAAACAGCCAACGAGCGAGGACACCATGCCAGTTTTCCTGGTTTATATTTTAAAAAAAGTGAAGGCAAACAACCAGTCTGTTACCTTAAGCCACCAGCTTTTATAATAATGCCTACAAAAATTCCTTAAACAGCGATGCAATATTTTTCGTCTAATACTTCACAGTTGGTGATTGAGGTTTCTTTCGCAGTGAGCCTCCGCTTGCGTTTCCTGTTCAGAGATGTCATTCCCGGCTAAACGTTCAGATGAAACCTTTTTGAAGATGGACAGTAATTTGATTTGCACTCATTTGTTGGTAAATCAAAAGGCACCTTGCAGAGGGATTCAACTCCGCTATACACTCACATTAGTTCCGTAAATAAAGCAAATCCTGAGAAGATATGAACAACCATATGAATTTTCTGAATTTCAATGGCACACATTAAGGCATATTTTCCTACCATAAGACCATAAAACAATAAAAAAGACAGCGAAATCGATCCTTCTCTCCACCGACGACGGATCATTCACGAAAACAACCACGCGAGGAATAAGCGCTTTCAACTTCCGGCGTTTCCGACAGCCAATCAGATCTTGTGGCATTGTTCTAACAGCCAATCAGCGTAACAAGCACAAACGTGAGAGAGTTTGTATCAGGCCCAATTTTAGCGGTAGCCGTTAGAGAGAATGTATTGGAACCGCTAAAATTGGGCCTAATCTCAGGTTATTCTCCGCAAAACCACTGAATGAATGATTCACAAAACACTTTCCTTATATTATCTGCATCATTTTTCCTCCACTAGCTGCTGTTTCCCGTCTGGGATAACGTTAAAAATTGTTGCTTTTTAGGTTGAGGCTTCGTGATTGTGTTGTTGTGTTCATTCACGGAAAAAAAAAACAACAACAACAACAACTGGCAGTACGTGTTTTTCCAGCCTTCTATCACGCCACTTTCCACCATACTTTATCACGTGCAGTAATGTATCCCGAGCGGGGTACAATAGATCGTTTTCACATGACGTCACGGGGGCCATATTTTTGTACAAAACAATGGATCGGCGGCTATGTTTGTGTACAAACAAAATCCTGTGGGAATGAACTCTTTTCACAAGTTAAAACCTTCTTTTATTCCAAGCAACTTGCAAAGCTGCTGACCACGTGACTGAAAACGATCTACGTATTGCTCAAATGCATCGGGATACATTTGATTTTAGTCAAGAATCAACCAATGGCAGTGCCTGTTTAGTTGAGTGAAAGTCTAGGAATATAACAATGGCTCAAATACCATGATGCCTAAGCCAATCAGAGCTCTAAAATTGCATTATACAGTGATCCAGTTTTTAATTGTCCGGATGTCGCAAAAACCTCATACAATAATTGTTTAAGTAACATGTTCCCAGTGTCAACAATAGCACAATGATTAGGAAGAGGGCAGAAATAAGTATTGCTTCCTACATTATTGTGATGAATGGATGAATAGGAAATGCTGCAGGAAATTTGTTTTGCTCAATGAAAAACGTTCCAAAACTGACCTGCACTGTGATTTGGTTTTCGCTACTTCTATCGCTGGTGTTTTAGTAGCTACTGGCTTAGATAGACCAAAGCTAATCAGTATGGTCATGTGAGGACATGCGTGAAGACGGAAAATAATGGTAAATGCAGATATTTGTATTGTGAGTTTAGAAACTTTCTAAAAATACACGCCCTGAACTTAAACACCACTCTTTTTATGTGATGCGGTTGTGAATCGAGTATCGCGAATAACCATGCTAGTCAGCTTTCATATCTGCTATCAATCTCGAGCTTTCAACTTCTTCACCACGTTTTTCCCGTTGTTATTTCTGAAACAATTAAACTTACCTCTATAGTTAGGTTAGTTACTGTTTCATTGAGTCTGCCAATGTTAACTTGAGAAGTCGTCAGAGATGTCGACAATAGATTTGTGACAGATTCGATTATATCAATCTAATTCAAAATTGAGACAAGCAATTTAACTAAACACAATTTTGACAGTTCATTATTTGCATTCTTTCCTCCCTTTTTCTAAAGCCCAAGAAGTATCAGATCATTATTAATACGTTTTCTGAGAAACGGCCCACCTACCCCTCCCCTAAGCCAACATTAACCCTCACTTTTCACGTAGGGCAACTTAGGGGAGGGGTAGGTGGGCAGTTTCCCAGTTTGCCTATGATATTTCAATACATTTTATCTTATTATAGAAACTATAAGGCTCCACAACCACTGCGTGTTCAAAGTAAAAGATTAAAGGTTTGTTTATAGTGGAAAGAGCACTTAGCTATATCCAGCTAGTTTACAGACTCTCCGCCCAAATAATTAGAAACAAATGATCTAAACAGAACATAACAGGATTAAAGACCCCATGCAAAAGGCAGTAGACAAATCTATTGGCTATATTTACAAGCGTGACCGTGGATTTCAGTAGTGTCCAGAGCCAGACTCGAACACGGAACCGCGGGATTAGGATTCTAATTCCAACGCGTACGCGCTGATTAGTTGGCCACGCTACCTTCTAAGTACTGTATATAGATACGCTTATCATTAACATACTATAAACTACGTTATACAACAATAATTGATGCTTATGCATACCCTGTTTTTGAGAGTGGAGTTAACGTCCTCCAAAGTAGCCTGTGTATCTGAATCTGCTGCTAGTAGCTCGATTTTTGTTTTATTAAGATCAGCGGTCAACAGTCCCACTTTTAAGGATATCTGTAAAGAAAAAATGTCATTATTAAGGCTTCATTCTTTGAAATGTTATGAAATATCTGCTAGGGTTAATAATCAGCGTTACTTACCAGTTACATTGGAAAACCGGAAATTGCGATGGGAAAAACAAATGGTTTGCGCCATTTTATTTTTTTTGGGGGGGAAGCTTAAGAAAATTTGAGCTGTGATTTGAGGGGATGTAATTTGTCTACTCTTTTTAGTCTGTTCAGCTAATTTGGATATACCTTGAAGCGGGTCATTCTTCAACCGAGTGAGATTTTCTAGTTTTATGTTTATGCACAAGATTTACACCCGGATGGTTTACGCAAATGGTAAGCACCCCAAGTTTCACGTCTTGGGGAACGTTCAAATAATTTTCTCAGCAAACCTGATCTTTTAATGTCTGATTAACGTGATTAACGTCGAACAGTAAAGCGGAGACCGACGATTGCAATGTGACATCAGTAACATTCAAGTCAAATTTTAATGCTTTAATGTCGCGATCCAGCTGTAAAAAAGTAAAAATAAAATCAAAAATAAAATTAATTGAAAAAAGATTAACTTTGGGATAATATAAGTGCCATCATCATCATCACCGCCATCGTCATCATCATCAGTATCTCGCCATAGACCTGGAAAGGAGTTCTCTTTTCCTTTCCCACGACCCCTTGCCGGAACCAAAAACGCTCCAGTCGCTCTTCATTACAAATTCGCTAGAACGGCCCTGTGTAAGATGTCAAAATCGTAAGGTGTCTGACAAAATTAAAGCAAGACGTTGGCTAACACATTAACATTCCTTAACGATGACAATGATGTTGTAATGACGTCATTTATTATCAAAGAAGGCGGGGGGGAGGGGTTTCCAAAAGCTCCAGGTCTAAATAGGGTTAAATATGAGGTCCGAATACACCCTCTCAAACTCATTAGTTATTTATGCTGGGAAAAGACGATGAATGTCGACCATTTGGGTCAGGTGCCTGAATCTTAATACATGATGAAACACCAGACAAACCACCACCAGATTTTCATCTGAGTTGAAACATGTTTTTCACCTGAGATCAGATGCGATACCATAGAAATTACATGTCACTGCGTAATTCCTTATTGTTTCATTTCAGAAGACGCTGTATCAAAAACTCGGGCTTCGTTCTTTATCACAGGTTTCGAACACCTCGGCGGCCTCCTGCTTTCATCTGTTACAGTGTTTGTAACCCGTGATGAAGCACTCCCCATCGTTTTTGATATTATGTGAAACGTTATTACGATAAACTTACCTTTGTATTCAGTGTATGATTGACTTCAATGAGATTGCTTATCAGCTGGTTATCTCTGTTTTGCAATGCTTCGCTTGTGCTGTTTATTTCGCTTCTCAATGTTACATAATTTTCATAAACCTTAAATTGAAAGAAGAATGTAACAAAACGTTTTGTTTGTTTGTTTGCTTAATTTTTTGTCCGCAATTGTGTTATGCTATTTTCCATATTCTAAAAAAAGACTGAAAAAGAATTGCCTCTTTGTTTTGTTTGCTTTTGCTTTCATTTCGCTTCTTTTATAATTTCTTTGTGTTTTGTTGTTCTTCTGCCTCTTCACCTTGTATATTTTGATTACCAACAGGCCTTAAAAATCTTAAAATTGACTGAAATATCAGCAATACACGCCGGGTCAGCTTGAAACTGCAGTCTAGGAATAACTCTTACAGTTTTTATCCGTTTGAGTTCAAACCTTACAGGATGGTAGAACTTTGTATTCCGAACAATCGTATGTTTTTCGTTTTTCGAAAATGACGTCAAATGATTGACAGCAAAATTAAAAGTTCAATTAGTGACGTTAACAATAGATAACTTTTAAAGAACTTGCCAAGGAGGAAACACATGTGAACAATTTTTTTAAAAAAATGCTCAATTGATGTGGCGAGCGTGTCATCTGCGTGCGCTTTAGTGTGTGCAAATCTTTCTTTGTAAAGTATTCTTTCTTTTGAAACAGTCCTAGCTAATCCTTTTGCTGAATTAGCTGTTTCCGTCTTAGCTTAATATAATGGATGGCAAAACTTAATTGGCGGTGTTCATGCGTCACTCTGTTTCATACCTCGACATACGCACACTGACCCATAAACTAATAGCAAGAGAGGATAAACGGGACAAAGAAGGCATCCCCCATATACACCCTATTCCAAAGGTAACTCGTCTCGAGTTATTTTTAAGACCATAGATCCCAAGGGGGATTAGACAGCAGCCAATCACATGGCGCGAATGTGTTCCGCGTGGATGACTCAAGCTCAGAGCCACGCGTCCTTCACGAATTGACGCAGAAAAACATGGCGGAAGACGCGGACATCGATATTGTTTTTTTTTTTGTCGACGAAAACGACTAAAGAGAGATTTCTGCAAAAGCTGTGTCAGCGAGACGGAAATTAAAAAAGAATCGCCCTTCCTCTCTTGTTTAGAGCTAACAGTACAGCAGGGAAATCCTTAACACACTGAATATTCTCTCGGGATCATTTATTATTTACATTTTGAAGAGACCAATTTCTGGTTTGATATGTATTCTTTTATTAGCCTTTTATTATTCAACAAAAATAACACTTGGCGTCTTACTTGCTTTATTATAAAAACGTCCGGTTTAAATAGACCAGCGAAATTTCACATTTTATTAAAGCACTGAGGTTATGACAACAAGAGTCCAGCGATTCCCTTTTCCCAGGTGAGCGCCGACTCATTTCGCTTCAATATTCAGAAATGCTTTCGACCTCTTTACGCTTTCATTGCCTTTCGCCCGACATGTTTTGCACGGTGTTTAGTCATGCGAAACCTCTACGAAACATCCACGAAGCGCGCGAGGTAACTTTCGAAAAATAACTCTTGACGAATTACCTATGGAATAGGGTGTGTATGGGGGATGCCTTCTCTGTCCAGTTTATCCTCTCTTGCCAATAGTTAATCTTAAGGCTGTACTTTGTATAACAAAACAAAACTTATGCAAAAGAGGGAGAGAGAGAAAAAAAAAATAATACTTTAGGTAACGCTGATGCCTTTAGGTAGGGCCTGAACATTATCAAGTAATTTTAAGGCAAATTCATTACCTCTCGAATGCTCTGTCAGTGTTTTTTTCCCCCAAAATATAAGACTTTTTCTTTATAAACTTGCTGACACCTTAAAGCCGTAATTATCGAATAATGAATACCTTAAAATACTGACACACAGAAAAGCTTGTGGCAGTCGTCATAAGTGAATGCAAATCTGGCCCCGGTTGTCCAAACGTTGGATAGTGCGATCCATCGGATCGATCCCTTATCCAACGGATAGGTAAATAGGGAACCAATTACGCTATCCACTAGATAAAGATTAATCTGGATAGCGTTATCCACCTTTTGAACAACTGGGGCCTGATCTGCAGATATCTACATGAAATATACGTATACTGATACCCTGAAGTTAAGACTTTTGTTAACGGCATTTAAATCGTCCTTTATATCAGCGACATCGGCGACGGCAGCAGTGAGCTTGTTTGCAGTAATGTTAAGATCCGCATTTAAATTGCCAATCTCTGCGACTATCTGCAACGTAAAGTTCATTACAGTACGGTTTTCGTAAACAGCAATTTATTTTGATAATGTTTCTATTCTAAAATCATGGTCGTGGTGACGTGTACGTCAACATTAACGTTATAATGGCATCTAAGTTTTTGAAAAAGAGCTTTTTTCGCGAAATATGTTTTAATTCTATTTTTACCCCTGGAATTAGTATATTACACTTAAATTAGCGTTACTTTATCAAATTTGTCACCTTTGATGAAATCCAGGATTTTTGATGACTATAGTTTGAGGAAAGACTTCAGTTAATATGACCAAATGGCAGGTGCTGAATTCAGTTTTAAACAGTATTCATTTCTCTTTGAATTGCATATTTTCAAGATTTGTTTTTTGGCTTTCTAAGCATATTGTATACTCAGATCAAGATTTATATTAAAATTTCCTCGATTTTTACGGGTTTTAAGCAAAATGGAACCATATAAATAATTCAAAATGACGGATCAGAAATAACGGATACTTCCAGTTCCCTTTTTAGTCATAAACGCCCTTTTTAGTCATAAATGATTTCATGGCATCACTTCTATTGTTAAAGGCTATCTATATCCTAGCGAACTTCTTGATTTTAGTTAACATCTTAACGATTAAGTATTTTTTGCTTAATGTGTACTTTTAGGGAAATTTGGATTCTGCCAATAAATTGAACAATATGACGCCAATCAAGTTATCCCTAGAAATGGAAATGATGGGCATATTGTTCTGTGTAATTTTGGTAACCATAGCATTAGTGGCTTTGAAGTTATAGAAGGGGGACCTCTGAAGCGCCCCCGCCGTTGCAGGATTAGCGTAAAAAAGCCCGCTTTGAATGAATAGGGTTTAAGAGCTAAAAAAAGAACAAATCAAAATAATAAAAAAAGAAGACATTTAGATGCTGTTTACAAAGTTTTGACAAGAGTTTGACAGTGTCAAATCTTATCAAAAGCGCTTGGGAAAAAGTTGCAAAGAAACCTTTTAATAGGGCCTTAAAATCTTTGGAAGTTTAAGAAATGATGACCTTGTCAGTGTCTCAACATACCTTATTTTGTAACGTTTGGTTAACGTTTGCGACGATTAATTTCAAGCTATCGATCGCAGATTGTAATACCAGATCGGTACCATTTAATACCGACTGTAATGCCAGTAAGTCACGATCAAGCTGGAGGGAAAAACAAAGTACATTTAAAGTGTTAGGCTGCGTGCAAACGGACGCAACATTGTTGACCAACAACTCCCAACATTGTTGGATGTTACATGTTGCGTCCGTTTGCACGCAGCCTAAGGTTGACCAGCTGCCTATTTTGCATGTTGCGTCAGCTGTTGCATGTTGTTGGATGTTGTTGCTTGTTGTTGCGCAAAGCTTGAAACCGGTCAAACTTTTCCGCCAACAACTCCCAACATTTCTTTTGTTCCGTGATCGCAGAAACGTAGCGCAACAATGTTGGATCCGTTTGCGCAGCTCTTCCAACATTGTTGGGGCCACGCACGCTCATTACGCATGGTTTACAAAGACTTATGGGTTGTATCCCTCCCACGATGCACTGCAGGTCCCAACATTGTTGGGAGTCGTTGCATCCGTTTGCACACCACTGCCAACACGCACGCAACAACTCCCAACATTGTTGGCGCAACAATGTTGGGAGTTGTTGCGTCCGTTTGCGCACAGCCTTAGATACAATGTACGGGAGATTAACTTGCGCAACATTTTTCAACACTTTTTTAACGATCTTCTTCACTTGTTATAACAATGTATCAAGTTTTTTCCAAAACATTTGTCGGCCAGGAGCCCTCACTTTTACATTAATGTGTTCAATTATTAAGAAAATGGAAGGTTCTAAGAAGGTAGAAATCAATTATAGTATAATTACCCTTAGGTTGATTGTTGTGTTGACCGATCGTATTGAATCTTTTATCTCCGCATCATTAGTAATCAGTTGACTTCTTGTTGTGTTAATTTCATTCTCAAGTGCTTCAAACCCACTTTCTGCCTATAAGGTCAAACGGAACATGATAAAAAGTGATTGAACTGTATAAATCCAACTCAATTTTTAAGATTTTAAAAATTAGCCAGGTTTGTTTCGGAGGTGACTAAAATTTCTTACGAACCTATTTATTTTCTTCTAGGGATATCGCATGTTTTAAATTCTTCTAAAAAAAATGTCTGGTAAAAATATTTTATTGTGTGTTTTCTTCAAGATGGCCTAAAACAAGAACCTTCCCAAACCAGCCCTGTTTGAACTTTTTCTTATGCAAACGCTTTCTTTTGTTCCAGTAAATTTGCATAGATGCTGGCCACGTGAGTGAAAACATAGAATATCTGCAAGTGTAAAGTCAATCGTGACCGAAGAACACGCAGCACAAAATGCATTCACAGGGGTAGTTTACAATTGAGGATAATGAGAAGAATAAGACAACAGGTTGAGTTTGATCGTCCGGGTGAACGTAGTCCTGAATAGGACTGTTGTTGTTGACAGTGACTGACGTTTCGACAACCTGTGCGGTAGTCATCTTCAGAGTCAAAGTGAGTTGTATCACGTCAGTTGATGGTATTATACTCTGGTTATTGTTCTGATTGGTCAATTATGTCGCGATGTTATTGGTCGTCTGTCAGTTAAGCCGTGATGTTATTGGCTATGAAGACTCGTAATCAGTAATTGGTGCGTTTCGATCCGTCTATTGTCACAGTTAAACAGTCATCTATTGTTAGTCAAATTGTCAGTTCTCCAGTTGCTCTCTCGTAGTTAGTTTTGCTTGATCTCGTCAATAAGTCGGATCGTTTGTACGGCGCTGGTAACTGTTGGCTACGATTCAGTGGCGTTTGTTCTAAGTTGGTAAACCAGCTTTCTAAAGTAAGACGTTGATAGTAGTCTGTAGAATACGTTATACATGTCGCAGAGTCCCAGTCAATTTGATGTTTCGTCTTTAAATGGTGCTCAGCAATGTGATTGTTGACGTCACCATTCCTCGTCGCGCGTTTGTGTTCGGTCAGTCGCTTGCTTAGGTTTCTGCCGGTTTCACCAATGTAAGAAGCCTGGCAGTCGCAGCATTTGATCTTGTATACTGCTCCCTGTCTGTCCTCCGGTTTGTCTTTGTCCTTGACATTAGTAAGCAGTCGCCGTAAAGTGGTTATCGGTTTGTGCGCAACACGTATATTGTAAGGTTGTAATATACGTGCAATAGTGTCAGAGGTGCCTCTGATGTACGGTATAGTCGCTGTCGTAACAGGGCCAGAGTTGGTCCGAGAGTTGGAATCAGTGTTACTGTGAGTGTTCCGTCTAACAAAGTCCGTGTTGTAATTGTTCTTACTAAAAACGTTGACGAGACTGATTATCTTAACAACGTTTTTAGTAAGAACAATTACAACACGGACTTTGTTAGACGGAACACTCACAGTAACACTGATTCCAACTCTCGTACCAACTATCGGACCAACCATAATTGACCAATCAGATCAATAACCAGAGTATAATACCATCAACTGACGTGATACAACTCACTTTGACTCTGAAGATGACTACCGCACAGGTTGTCGAAACGTCAGTCACTGTCAACAAAAACAGTCCTATTCAGGACTACGTTCACCCGGACGATCAAACTCAACCTTTTGAAATGACTCCTGGGTTCAAACCTTTCACAGTTTCAAGAATAAGACAATTGTCATACTTTCTTGATCTTTATTCCTAAGTGGCAAACTACCCGGCCGTGCGAATGTGATGACAAGTTTGTTGAATAATATACAAGTACAAAGGCTTTCAGCGCAACTGAAAATGGAAGGTTAGAAGCACTGGAGTTGGTAGCTTTATTTCCCCTTAAAACGGAAACCTGAGATTTTTTCGTATATGCTATATTTTGCTTTGTCAAGATTGGTTGCGAAAAGAGAGGGACAGACACAAAGTAAGTTTGATGAATAGAAGTTCTTTAATCTTGCCCCGCATTCAGCATAAAGTTGTTCTTCTTGTAATGCGAACTGTAATATCGTCGTAGGTTTCTGATCACTCAGTTTTTTTGCAGTAAAGCTTTTGGCAAGAATACTGTATGTTGCAGATAGGATCGAGATAGTCCTTCGGCACTCTTCCTCTATGTGTTAGCGTTGCATCGAAAGGTTAAATTGGACCCGCAGTTTGTGCGGCGAGTCCTACGGTCAAGATTGACTTCAAACTTGCAGATATAAAACTAGAGAGCTGTGTGGCTTATTTGCTGAATTTAGGGAAAAAAATGATCGTAGAATTTCGAAGTTATTGATATTTTATATACCAATGCTGTTTTAAATATATGCCGATATCTCAAACGTTTTTATTATTATAAGAAAATAAATAACTTTTTCTTAAAGTTCTACCATTTTTTATCAAGGATACCAAACATCATAGAAATCGGTTAAATCGTTCCTGCCGAAAAACGCGAATAATAAAAAAAAAAAACCGCGCATTTAAACAGTTTCCGGCCACCTTAAACCTTTTTCTCGGAAATTCAGTCACGTTAAAAGTCAATAAAAACAAATAGAACACTCTATCATAATAAATATGATTCTATTCTATACTAATAAACTAAATTCGATTTTGACTCAACATTACGGCTTTGCAATGACAACTACAAAACGCATTTTCCCCAAAATGCTTCATAAATGGTGGGTACTAATTAAAATTAAAAAGAAAAGAACCTGCCTTAAAATCCATTTTTCTAGTTCTACCTTTTTTTAGCGGAGCTCTTGCTCCCGAAGCGCCCTAGCGGAGCACCATGGGTAAGAAAGTGAAGTAATCTACCCTTCCGAGCACATTTGGTAATCACGTGACCGTACACCGACCGCCCGCCCGAGGGACCGTCCGTCCGCACCACAGGCATACCAATATAAAATATCTCAATCAACAGGTATGGCAACCCAAATGCAACTCGAGGTTATTTTGGCGGGAAATCGCATAGCCACCGGCGTCTTGTAAAGCAAAGACAACAAAAGAGTCAATAAACACGAAAAAGGAAAGCGGAAATTGTTTCTGTATCCGTGTTGTCTAAAGTATTAAACTTAGATAAATTGCCATGTCCACAAATTTGGAATATAGAGCAAGAGAAAGACAGAGAAAAAGAGAAAGTGGGCGCAGGCCAGCACAGCTCAACGAGAAAAAGGGCGACAGGGATTTAGAGCGAGAGATAAAAAACCGAAGGACACATTTTTTGTTGAAAGAAAAAAAAGAAAATGAAAATTTTATATCGGTGGTGACAAAATGAGAAATTCTAGTGGCCACCAATACGAGGTGAAAATGAGCGGCAGTGAAAAAAAGTGAACGGGAACACGTCCGACATTTCCTCTGTAAAACGTGTAACTAAGAAGTTTCTGGAAGTTTCACCTTGTTTTCGTGCAAAACAACGGCAAAGAAATGTACAAAAAAGTGTGCTGCACGTGCAAAGTTGCTTTTGCTAATTATACCTGTTACTGTTTTTCATCGTTTTGCGGCGTTGCATGCCTTCGCCGCTTAATTAGCATCACACGATTTTATATTTTCTTTGAACAAACTATAAATATTATCGAGAGCTTCGCTTTTAGCCCTGGCTAAATCTGTATACTATTTTAACTGATAACGATGTTGATAATGATATGATAACGATAACGGTGACAAATCGAACGGACGGAGAATACGTCCATCGTTCCCGCACTTTCTATGCAGAAGGTTTGGATAATTTTCAGCGAATTTTAATAGTTACCTTGTCATGGAGAGAGGAATTGACATGTTGCAGTTTCCACAGAAGCTCTTCGTCTTTTAGTCGAAGATAAGCAGCTGTATTATTCAACTGAAAAGAAGTAAACTTGTGAAAGTGAGTTCTTCACAGTGTGTGAACACCGGTATGAATATTCTTATTTGCATAATCATGGTGCATCCAAGTTTTAGTCTTGCCGTTGCTGCTGTTGCCTCAGCTTTTTATTTCTGACAAAAACAATTTAAGCTACAAGAGCGGCCATGAACAAACATTTAAACAGACATCATTCTCTGAGAAGAATTATTGGTTTACTTTGTGTCATTATCTAGTAAATCAAAACTAATTACTTGTTAGAATTACTGTTGCACTGTCAATTACTGTAATCAGATTCAGATCTGTTTAAGATGGACAAATTTGAGCAGCCTCACCTTTGAGTTAAGTTTATCGTTGGCTTTAATAAGAGTGCTCATCAGTGTATTATCTTCGTTTTGCAGAGTGACAAAATTTCGATCAACCTAGAAACACAGATTAATAACTGTTAAAATCCATACTGTGTGAATGTGTGTAGGAGGTGGATGTGGGTGAGCAGAAGTCTGTTTCGAAGCTTCGATAGCAAAGAAGTTATATAGAGCTTATATTTTCATCCCAAAAAAAAAAAAAAGAAAGGAAGAAATTGAAACATTTCAGTCTTTGCTGTCCAAAGGTTAGACAATGCTCTTCATATGGTAACGTGATTTACTAGGTACTACCCTTATTTTTTGCATTTTTGTTGATAGTGCATGTTGATGATGTTCGCTAGACCCTTATAACTAAGTAACCTGTAGGTTTAGTTGTTTTACATCAATTTATAATCAATAATGAGTACACAAGTGTTACCTTTTCATTTATCGAGTTGTTCATCAAGCCAATAAAAGTTTGTAACTTGCGTTCCGACGTTTGCAACTTCACAGTGGTCTCATTGATCTAAGATAATCATTACTAAAAATGTCTTTTAAAACTATAACCAAACAAAAGTTATTGGTAGATTTCAGTCATTGTTGCTGTTGTTGTTGTGATGGACCTTTTGTTTTCTTCTATTGTTTGTTTGTTTGTTTTTTCAAGGGCGGATTTAGGGGTGGGCCAAGGAGGTCCCGGCCCCCCTTTTGTGGTTTATTAAATATTTTAGCATTACATGTTCAATATGGAATCCAGGCATTTGCTAAATTTAAGCGTTTAGAATGCACTAGATTGCATCTCAGAAAACTTCAACCCCAAAGTTTTTCCCGGAGGAGCATGCACCCGAAAATCCCTAGAAAAGTGCGCCGTTCGCAGTCCTGATGGGCGCTATCGAGCCTATATTGCCACTGTATACTATATCCTTAGGCCCCCTCTATCACAAAATCCTCCGTCCGCCCCTGTATTTTTGTGCGTGTGCGTGTTTGAGGGGTTAAGAACAGAAAGTGAATAGTAGGTTAAACTACTGATATGAATGAACAATTTACAGCGAAACGAAATGAGCCACCTTACTCCTCCACTCTACTTCGCTTCTTTTGTTCCGATGAATAGTTGTTAAGGGAAGTAAAACAGACAAGATATAGTTACTTACCTCGCTCGTCAGATTCTCTTTAATTTCTTGCATAGATACTGACAATTCATTATCGCTTATCTGGAGCTGGACCCTCGTCATATTTAACTGTGTATTCATAAATGAAGTATATATTTAATAATTATTCCTCCGAGTCAATAGCCCATGAGACCGAAGGCCGAATGGGCTATCGGTTTTGTTAAGTTTGTGCTGGGAGTGAGACGCCAACAAGATTTTTATTTGCATCTACATCTCTCGAAAGTTTACATTTTCACTGCCCATTTTGAAATTCGAAAACTTATTTTTGTTGGGCTATGTGATATACACCCGAATTGTGACATTAGCCGCCAGGTCTTCTTTTTGGCACAAAATATATTTCAACTTTGAATTAAATTTCAGTCTTTTTGTCTGATAAAAAGCAAATTACACGGTGGCTTGAAGATATGAATTTTAATTTCTCGTGTTGAAAAACACCACTCGAAAATAAAATCCATATCTTCGCCCAAACCTCTATATATTTTTAGTTATGGTTTTTTTACGTAAACCTGATGTTTATTTGTATTTACGTAGTTTACATAAACCTACACTAAAATCTCGTAACGCGACCTCCGTACTCTCGACCCTCATGGGAACTAACGGTGATGTTACATTGCATACTATTATTAAAGGTGTCTTTAAAGTACTAAAATTTGAGCTTTTAATGGTCCTTGTTCACGATACCCAACCTACGTGCACGCCCTTTAGGATCAATGGGATAGAAAGCCAAAAAGACCGGTCAGGATTGAATAAGATTCATAAGTTCGATAATGCACTCACCTCGTTGAATAAAGTATAGCTGACATTTATTATCCGGTTGGTAATGTCGTTGTCTGTTGATCCTAGTTCTTGAACAGTGTCATTTAGCTATCAAGCAAACATTTACGAAGAGATAAGTATCAGGTAAATAATAGTGACACCTGAGTCTCCTCGTAACCATGGCCTAGTCAAAGCCTACCTCTGAAGCCAGGTTTGCTTGAACTGCTTCTAGCTTATTTGTCTTGTCAAACTAGCAGATAAGGATTAAAAGAAATAAATGAATGTTACTATATTAAGAAAAAACTTGAATAGACAATTATGCGCAGAATCCATGGATGGTGTTTTAGAATCATTGCATGGTGATGAATAATTCCCTGCTAGCAGAGGTTCTTCACGCCAAAAGAAGAAGGAGGGGAAAGAGAGATCGAGAGACCCCTGCCGGCGGCCGACGCGTTGTTTCATATAACAGCCGACCACATTTGTGGACGAAACCAACTGGCTTTGAAAACCAGTTTCGTTTAATGTGGAATGCGTGTTCCCTGTTGAGACTGAACATTGGAGATTTCTTGATTTCTTTCTATCGTTGTTATTGACCATATCGGTTTTGTAAGTTGTGTCACAGGTGACTAAAACGTAACTGGTTGTTTAGAAAACACCAATACATGCTTGATCGGAACACCCATCGAGGCCAGGAAGAGGTATATCTCTAGCTTTCCTATGATTTTTCTCTCGCCGTGAGAGGCCTTTGTTAGAAGGGAAGGTAGACATGTCCTCGTCTTTTAATTCAAAACATTGCCCTGTCAGTTTCACCCGGCCCTATGTAGAATCTGAAGACTTGCAAATTTAAGTTTCTCCTTGTAACTCTGTTATTTTTCATGGTTCAATGTGATGACTGGGTGATACGAAACTAATCGGTAAATCAAATTTATTTATTGCAAGGACAAAAGCACAAAGGTAAACGAGCAATTTCAACAATTATGCTACTATTTTAATTGGTACGGCAAGTAAATTCATTTCACTGTTCAGGTGGCCACAGGAGCTTATGACATAAGCAGGAAAATAACCGCAGATCTATGTGGAGTAAGCGCTAGCACTAATAACCATAAGAATGAATGAAATTTTCCCATTTTCTTGTGCCTGGTGTATGCTTATGTCATTGGGTCAAACGTGTAATCCATGGGGACTCATGGATAAGCACTCCCTCGCTCTTTATAGTAGAACACTCCAGGCGCTTAGCGTCTTCGCCTCAGAATTCGAAGGGGACGCTCGCTCAACAAGTTTTAATGAATGCAGATCGACTTCTGAATCAAAACAAAGCACATTTCTAGGATTTCTTCAAGAAATATACGGGCAGAATTGACCGGAAACGACGAAAGACTACTTCAATATAAGCACAGGTAGCCCAAGCTCGAAATATCAGCATCGGCGAACATCGGCATTGTTGCGTACGTAACATTCGAAATATAAGGATTTGTATTCTCTCTATATATAGAAAACCGTTTACATAAAAACCCATAAAACGGCCGTAAATCGGCCCGTGGACCACATTTTAAGTAAGGTAAGCAGTTTTTTATTGAAATCCTTTCATTTTCGTAGGTTACCGAAACGATAGGTTTTTTTTCCCATACAAATCTTTATATTTCGAATGTTACGCAACAGCCGATGCTCATATTTCGAGCTTGGGCTACCTGTGATGTAAGTAATTCAACCTCATTAATTAAAAGTTTGACCTTCATTTAGTGGAAACTTCTATGTTTCCTATGGCCCATGATGTATTGCTTCCTATTTAGTTTAGTTGTTTTAGTGAATTGCAGTCTGAATCAAGTACCTCACAGATACATAATGAAAAGATCTAAATAAATCAAAATCAAATTGCGCAAGTTTAGAACTTTGAAATTAGATTTAGCGAATACATACTTAGTTTACATCAGTTAACCATAAACGCTTTTCAACCATGTTCTCCCTATGTACTCTTGCTTAAAACCTTATGATTTCAGTTACATTTGCGTGAATCAGTTAATAACATGCACAGTCTTAATTCTTACCAAATCCTGCTGCAATCTTGTCATGTTATACTCTAATTCCTTCATCCTGGCCAATATCTCGTTATCCGATGTAACTCTCTGTGCTGTCACGGTGGCTGCAATAAATAGATCATCGCATCATGCCGCAAGTTGTATAACTACATTGTGTACATGTTTAAAAAGGTGATCACGGATAAACGCCTACTTTAGCTTGTGAACTGCGTACATTGTAAAGGGATGAGAAAGGGTTTCTGCTGCCCACCGCGATTAATATATACCTACTCATAGCATGTATCCTACAGTAGCTGTGTGTGTTTGTACTAGGATGATTTATAACACTGTCTAAATGCTATGGGTTATCAATACCAACCCCGATGTAATTGAGCATCGCGACTACTTTTCTAGAACTTACGACAACTTACAATTTAGACCAGAAAATCCTCCGGTAGCCTGCCCTGCAGAAGATGTAATAGTACCAGTTATCACTATCAAAGAGGAACCCACAGGCTAGGTAGTTGATAGTGGATTCACGTATCTCGGCGACAGACTTTCCAGATATCTGAGAACATCGATGACGACGTCAATGAACGCATTACCAAGACCAGCTCAGCTTTCCGACGACTGCGTGAAAGTGATTGAGCAGGGAGGGTTTCCTCCTAACTTTAAAACTGAGGGAACGCAAGACAGTAATGTACTGTTCTCACTACTTTCTGCCTGTTAGCCATGGGCAGTCTACGAGCATCACGACAAATGTGAAAACTACGCTAAAACTGTTAAAGATCACTTGGCTTCACTAAATTCCTGACACCGATCTCTCTCTCTGGCCTGCCAAGCATTCACGCTCAACTCAAAAGAGCCCTGATTAGTTAGGCTTGCCATCTTGTCAGAATGCAATGAGAAACGCCCGCGCAAAATTCTATTCGACGGCGAATTAGCGGAGAAGAAACGCTCACGGGTGGACAAAAAGAAGCGCTACAAGAACTATGCGTGTGTCAGAGGGTCCCTGAAAAGCGTTGACGTTGTTGTTGAAAACTCTGACAACCTGGCTGGCAATTGACTGACCAGCCTAGCTCTTTTAGGAGAACAAAATAGCAGAATCTTAGAAGAAGCGCGAGCAACGCGAGCCTAAAGCAATCTTTTTGCCAGCTGTCAGAGAAATTCACCACTTTATTATACTAATATTGTCGGAAATTTTAAGTACTGCACCGAGACTTAGCGAAATACGGATTATAGTGTAATTTTAACACCAAGTATGCTACTTATCCGCCCATTCCGATATATTTGTGTTTGTGTGTTTTTCTGATGTTCAATGCATTTTCTGCTCTTAAACAAACACTCCACACAGGATGTTGCCTCTTTCCATTTAGTTTCAGCTAAAGTTTATTTAATTTTGGGAGTCGGTTACAAGTGGAAGCGGAATTGTGAACATTATTACCTTTTTTTGGTACCCAAATTTGCTTTCATGTTATTCCTACCATTAGAAACTAATCATTGTTAGTAGTTACACAAAAATACGTGCATGGGCATGTCTAAGCCAATTGAAATTAAGCCTTATGACTAAATTCAAAGTACTTAGGACAGCATTCCAGACGTGAAAAAAATAGCCTTTTCTTTTTTTTCTTTTTTTTACCTTTTTATTCATTTTTTGTACCAAGCAACGCTACCTCGTTGTTTCTAATAACCTAGAACATGATTTCCTTTCTAAACTACGCTAAGTTTTGCAAGTTATGCAAAACGTGTCGAAGGTATCTGCTAAAAAGTCTAAAATTATCAAAAATTATATTAAAAATCCTACGGATGACGGTAACAGAATTATCAGCATTGTTTTTATTAATATTGTTTTTGCTATTATCACTGTGATATTAAACTACTGATTGTATAAGTCAAACAATCTACCGGGGTTACTCATCACGCGATTTGTTTACTACTAAAAGCAAAGCTAGCACGTTTTGTACTGCTGAAAAAAAAATATTAAAAATCATGAAAAATAGAGAAAATGTTACAAACCAAAAACCTAACGATGGATTGATTTCCTTATCCTTTTTTAAAAATTCTTATTTATATGGAATAATCACTGAGAACCAAGCAATTAAATTGTAACGTCTAAAATTCAAAGAGACTTTACTTTGGATAAAAGCAGAACCTGAAAAATCTTCCGAGCTCTAACTTTCCTTTATAGGGCAAGCCTAAACACTCACCTATTTGGTCCTCGTTGCAGCCGCATTTGTAGTGTATTTTTCCGAAAAACATCAACAGATTAAGCACCAATGCAGCAATGGATACAACGAGCAAGAGAGCAACTAGCGTTGATAGGGCTCGATTTGATCCATGAGTTGCAACAACCTTGCCGTAATCATAACTTGACTTCCCTTGTTGCTTCCATGGGTCATCATAAGGCTTCGTATGCCCAATTTCTTCTTGAACATGGTACGTGATTTGTCTTTTCATTGGGGTGGACATAGATTGCTTCTCGTCATCTTCGTAAACCCAATCTTCAAAGGTTGGATTGACGACGATTCGTCCTCCTGTGGCGTGCATTATTAGTTTTCTTTTTTTTCCGGTGTCGAAGCCCAAATACACTTCAGCACTGAAATGAATCTTGTCGATGAATGTATTTGTTTTTTACGGCTGCAAATATTCTAATTGTGTATTCAGTTATTTAGAGTGAAGTTCATTATTTAGGGTACGGTTCCACTTGAATTCCTTTTTTAATTGAGATTACATCAATATCGTTGCCCCACAAAATTCTTTTTCTTTTTCTTTTTTTTTTTTTTTTTAGCTTGAACGCATTATCATCATCTTGAAGTTTGGCAAGCGAAACATATTAAGTTAAGATCAAAGAAACAGTGCGCATATATATGTAATTCCAGTCTGATGATGACGAACTGATGAGGCCAAGAGGCAACTAAACCTAGCGTTTCGATCAGTATGTCTATGTTTGTCGGAATTAAAGTAACTGTGCAGAAAGCCTCTTTTAATTCAAAATTATTTGGCATTAAGGTATTAGCATTGTTTGGGGCTAAAGGATTATTGGGGACTACTAAGGTAACAATATTATTGTTTCCTTTTAAAAATGACGTTATGTGCAAGTTGGAACATGAGATGGCTGCCTAATTATTTAACCTTTAGATCCACATACAAATTCTCCAGTCATTTGCTTAGAATTCGTTAAGATGATTTGATAAAAGATCAAGCAATTTCTGGTCGAGTTATCGTGATAATTTTCGATACCTGTTTTCGTTGATTGTTTATTAATATTGTTAGGAGAAAAAGAAATAGGAACAATAAAAACGGCCCGAATTCAAGCTTTCAATCGTTTATACCAACTCCTGACACAAAATAAATACAATGTAGACTTCAGACAACTCAACTGCCTATGCTTTATTCATTTTTTTTTTCTTGCTTGCATGGTGTGGTCGCTCTTTGAAAGTTAAAGAACCTGGAGTGACAGCCGATGGTAAACTATATAAGTAGGCATGAAGTACAATTCCGCCGCTGTGCCAATGACTGGAACCAAGGTTAAGTTTGCCATAAAGTTTCTTGAAATCCTCCGTTTGTTGTATGCTGACTCTAAAAGGCAGTAGTACACAAGATCTATTCAGAGCGCTTAGTATCTCCAAAAATCTTGGACGTCCTTGTTCTTTTAAAGCTTGATTCAACGGACGTGAAATTAAACACGTTTGAAGCCTTTATCACATTTTTTTTTCTTAGTTCAAAGGAGAAATATCACCTAGCTCTTCTGCGGAGAATGCATGCCACAGGTGACGGATATCAAAGAAGGCGGCTGACGTACCATAGGCTTGACGGAAACGCATTGTGACTGAGTTGATCAAATTTATGTCATTGATGTTTCAACACCCACTTGAAATTATTACTACTTTTTTTTCGTTAGTTCGTTGATGTAAATTACTTTACGAACACTACATCAAACGAGTAATAGTCATACATTAGTTCCCCAAGGACGATGAGAGATGTTAGTCAATTTTTGCTACGGAGATGATCGTGTCAAGCACAAGCTATTTATTAGGGCCTTTACTTAACTTGCTTCTGGAATAAGGTGTTACCTCTTAGAACCTAATTTCATTTTGTTTATTATAAATATCTATTAGCTATTATTTTTTTCTTACGTTGGTTCTGGTCAAGTTCGCCCCCGCAACCCAACCACCTCTGTACGTTCTGTTCAAAGGTTAGAAGATTTTAATTTGAAGTCTCGGAACAAAATAAAAACCGTGTTTATTCATGCTGTGCGGCTTGTTTATTCATGCTCAGCGGCGGCGGTTTTTGTTCGCATCATTCCAACTACTTCTTAAACATAAACAAGATGAAACAAAGTTGAATTTATTATGTTTGTGCCAGTACACTATTAACCATTCTCATCTTTTCTATTTCTAAATTTTTTTTTCTACATAAAACTTCAAACCCATGCCCTCCACATCACTCGTTTGTAGCATTAAAGTAGGCCCTTATTTAAGAAAAAAAAGTTATATCGCAAGTTCAGTGAGTTTGTCTAACCAATTATTAGAACCAAGGAATTGAAAAGCCAAAGTAAACAGTAGTTTGGGAGCGTTTATTTTTTACTAGGCTCCTAAAACTTCAGTGAATTGTCTTAATACTCACTTCGTCTAGCTAACTCGACGTCAAATTCCCCATGTCATCAAGATAGTCGACGATTGGGATAAAAAAAATGCACCAAGTTTGATATCTAAGCCTTAGATAGCTGATATTTCTTCCGTAAAATCTTAAGGTTGAGTGATGTTCATTTGCATATAACTATTTAAACAATATATCCACTCAAAGAATCCGTCGTCACTCTAACCTTGGATGCCTGAAGGGCCCATCTTGTTTGCTTTTTAATTACGGAAACGTCTCATTAAAAAATGCTTAACACATACTTTGTTTTTACAACAGGAAGGCAAGTTATTGAAATTGGCTGAACATCATTGTCCATAACCAATTCCGGTCGCGGAAACAATTTAGCTTCTTGAGACCATTTTTCTCCAGAAGAGAGACCGTAATATGGCTTTGTTAATGCAATCGCCTCGGCCACCCAGGCCTCCAAGACCAACGCCGGGCAAGACGAACCTGTTTGTTGTAAATCCTGTATTCCAAAACTGGTGTCACGATGGTAGGGAAAACGAAAAGGCGTTGGGGCTTGTTCCATCTCGTGTCAGTGGTCCTCACTCGCATAAAAACAGAGGCACGCAACAAGACCACTGGAATTTACCTCATAGACAACCTAACAGCAATAAGTTACACTATCACGGCTATGGTATACACGAGAACAACACAGGAGTATCAGGAGAAAGCTTGAATCTCCCTAACCAGCAATTTCAGGAAAATACTAACAATACAGACTTAGCTGAGTCAAAAAGTATGGCCCAAGTCGTACAGTGATACTGCTAATTGCACTTTCGTGGCTTGTTTCGATCACAGCCCTTTTGTTAACAGTCATGGTTATTTTTGACAAAATAGGGAGTCCTTGTGGATGCTCGGGGACTCAAGGTAAGCGAAACAAAATAGCTGTTGTTGTTGTCTTTGTTTTTAAAGCTTTTCTTATTACTATTCTTGGCGTGGAATTGTGACTTTTCATTTTTTTGTTCTTGGTTTTGTTTTGTTTTTCTTACACCTGAAAATAAGTATAAAGTTAAAAAATTAAAATTATTGCATTCCTAATTAAATCAAGCTTCAAGTGAAAGTTAAGAGAAAAAGTGATCTTTTTCCACCGTTACCTAGCTTTGCAACCACAGAAAAGAAGTAACTAATTAGATAGCTTTGTTGGATCTATAGCATCATTTTTCACCCAAAGGTAAATTGAACGTTTGGGAACACTTCCAGGCTCCTGACACTCGCGACGGTCAGGAAATATCGAGCATAAAGTGGCAAGAGTTGAAAAGGCGATGTCGAGCACTTATTCTGTGGTTTACGTAGAGCCTACTAAAATCATTACAAAAGAGTAATATCAGCTTAACAACACTTTGCCGTGAGTAGAATTTACTAGGTAACATGGCAGGCTTATAGCTTACAACAATTTCTGCCATAAACGCACTACCCATATTCCATGACTAGTAGTTTGTACAAATTTGCGCTCTAGATCGGAACTAGGAGCAAGAATTCAAAACTCCTCAATAACTTTTAAATCATTAATTGTGATCGGGAGGCATGGACTTCTTCAGGCACCGAAAAATTAACACGACCATAATTCTTACAAATAAAAAGGGGCGTCAAATGATGACTTCCAACTTAAAAATATTCTGTCGAGACAAGCTTCCGTAAAGGAAAGTTCGTGCAACAAAAATGACTTAATTGTCCCCGCCTTCCTTGTACAAATAAATAAGGGGGCGGCTAATTAACTAACAGTTAATTGTTCAAAAACGCCGTCAGGATCATTGAAACGATGAAGACGATATATAACTCAAATAAAGTTATTAACAAAGCTTACTAATTCTAAAAGCACATCTTATTGCATGCATTTAACGCAAACTGAGATTTGTTCCAGTGCTTACGGTAATTTAGTCGGGCTTAAGACGATGAGTATAATCGATGCGTCCGATAGAATGTTAGGCAGTAGGACACCTTATCAGTGTGCTAGGCCAAAACAGTTCCGGCGTCTAAGTTTCGTAATTGCAAAATGTTAGAAATTTTTGTGTGAGTTTATTAAAGAGTTTGAGTGCTAATGAAAGCAGACTTTGCTTCTTTAGTTCAGGGTCCATAATTGAAATAGACAAGTCATTTCGCCGCTTTCGTAACAAAGGCATTCCGCGGTTCAAGTTAAAGGCTTCACTGAGACTATTAAAAAAATAACAACAGTTTTATTCTTAGCTAGGTTAATAGGCTCTAACGCTATAATGATATGCTGCGGCCAAAACCTAGATTAAAAAATTTACACTTGCACCGTCATCCGCAAACGGCTGACAACAAAAAAAGTGCTTTTGTTGTTTTTGTTGCTGCTGTTGATTTGGATACTATTTCTTCGTTTCTGATTGGATAAAATCCCACGCATAATTCATCACAACCAGCTACTGTCGACCGAGTTTGGAAGAAAACTGATGACGTCAATCGTGCAGCAAAATTGCCTTAGTATTGAAAGGTTAACCGAGAAGACCTGGGGACGAGGTTGAGTTGTGCTCTGCAAAGTATCAGTAGAAAGATTCAGTTCAAGACAAATGAAACAAATTTTAATAATAAAAACAAACAATAACTACCTAAAAAACAACTTTTAGGGCCTGAAAAATATATCTATTATGGGAATAGCAAATTGCAATTATTTTAAAAAGGTAACAAATGAAAAGTTATGTGGTAACTTACTTGACTTGCAACGAAATAATCATCGTTTCAAAGGGATTGAATAGACTAGTATTCTCTCATTCCAATTATGTTACCAGTATAATCAATTTTCTTACCATGGATATTTTTTTGCATGTTTTCTCAACTACTGAGTTGTATTGTTAGTCCCTCCTCAGGTGCAACAGGTGAACTCGAACCAAAACAATGAACTTCTAGCGAAGATGAAATTTCTAGAGGAAAATGTGTCCAATCACCATGATGCCTTGGTAAGGAATTTTAGTGGTTTAAATTCAAATACCCTGTAACAATATTGCCATATATAACTAGCACCTTTTATTGGAAAAAAGAACTCACGGTCGAAGGTACTGTGAAACTACACGTAACTAAGAATGCTTGAAATAAACTCTTTTCATCTAAACTTTTGCTTGCATACAGTCGCGGGACAGTACCTTATAAACAACTATAATAATTATTCGTTCAAAATATTTCTCCGTTTCTGATTGGATAAAATCTCACGCATAATTCATCACAACCAGCTACTGTCGACCGAGTTTGGAAGAAAACTGATGACGTCAATCGTGCAGCAAAATTGCCTTAGTATTGAAAGGTTAACCGAGAAGACCTGGGGACGAGGTTGAGTTGTTTTGGTAGTGAATACAAAAATGGCGGAACATTTCACTCGTTTCACGAATTGTTGGCTAAAAAAATAGCAAAAACAGCGATGCGACGACTTGACGGACGACTTCTGCTGCTTGGAGAACTTGCGGAACTGAACATTCCTTTACCTCTTAAACTTGCTGATAAACATGCGCTATCGAAGATGAAGGTGATGAGGTGGAGGTGGAGGTTGGCATTTGTGGCTTGTGTTTAAACTAGAAATTATTTTGAATGAATAATAAAACAATCATCGAATTCGGGTTTCGTATCATCTGAAGAATTATGGAGGTCGAGGGGAGTGTTATCCTCCGAGGCCGCAAGGCCGAGGCTTATTTGACCGACAAGGCTGAACTTGAAGTGTAAAGCCACAGCCTTAGACTATTTTTGGCCTGGTTTCGCACTTAATTATCCTCTGTTGTCGTTTTAGATTTCAAAGTCAAGCCGACTTGAGCAAGTTGAAAACACACTTAATGCACTGGAAAGGAAACATGAAAATATAATTAAGATGGTATGCTCGACATAGTATTATTGGTATCCAATAGAAGAATCAATTCATTTGAAACAACATAATGCAACTGGAAAATATGAAACTGAATTTAATCTAGGTACAAAATCTGTGTACTACCAAATGAGCAAATCAATACTGAACAACAGCAATCTAGAAAAGGCTGTTGTAAAGAAGCAGGCTTTGTTTATTTAATCACCTCTCTTGATAAAATTTGCTATTATTATGTAAACATACAGTTCTGTCTGCAATTGAAGGAATAAAAATGAGGGAATTCAGAGACATTCTTTTATATTTTTGACAACAAGGTGGTAAGAGAGGCAAATGATTTTTACTTAAGTATAATATTTTCAACCAGTGGAGAACTCTATTCAAATAAAAGAATAAAATAGCGCTCAAGATTTCATTAAACTGGCTTCAGTAATTGCCTAAAAAGCAGTGATCATGACTTAATAGTCTTTAAAAATATACCATTTATGCTGAGCTTAAAATGTTATACCTTCCAGGCTGTCAAATAGTATGAACATATATGCATTTTTACTGTTTTTTTACTGCTTTATTCCTTCTTTAGATAGAACGTATTGGTATTAATATGACAACACTACTTTCCACGACAAGTTATATGGACTATAAACTCATTGACCTCGAGAAAAGGACGACCAGAGCTCTAGACGCGGTATCTATTTCTTTTTATGTCAATAGAGTAACATGTTGAAAAAAATGCCAGAGCCAAATGCTTGGTCGAAGTTGACTGTTTCGACCTAAATGATCCAAGATAAGAAAACATGACCTAGAACTTGCAGTTCTGCTTCACCTGAGCTAGATACAGTCAGTTTGCCTCGACATTTTTTCGGTTTAATTGTGTTACGTGGAAATGCACACGCGATCAATTTGTATGGAGCATTAGACGTTGAAAAATTATCGTACACGGTTTGCAGCTCTATTCTTAAATTAGAAATTGTGACAGGGTAAGCCTCTGTTCACAAAGACGTAATAAAAGAGGTGTCTCAAGAATAATTTGTGCAATTTAGATAAGTAAAAGAACTGCAAGGCTCAAAGAAGAAGATATCACGTTGAATAGTGATTTAAAAGATGTGAACGTAACTCGATCCGCGAAGATAAATTATTATTAAGCTTTCGTTTTCAATTACACTTAATATAATGTAGTGTTTTTATTTTTTCTTTATTTTTTTAATTTTTTTATTCAGACAATCTTTATATTTTTGACAACAAGTTAGTAAGAGAGGGAAATGTATTTTTTTTCTTTTTAGATATAATTATAACATTTTCAACCAGTGAAGAACTCTATTCAAATATAAATATTATAAGATGAGTTGCTGCTAAAGAACTTTGATTCATTTTAAGCCACCCCTTAGACTTTATTAATTTATATTTATCCATATAGTAAAGATAAAATAATAATAATAAACAATTGAACAAATTTTATTGATAACAATGCAAACTATTTAAATCCTATTTACTATCAATACACTTTAAAAAACTGTTCCGTCAAAACACTTTTCTATTTACAATTCTTTTCGTTTAATAAAAGAAACACCTAACTTTGATTAGAAAAAAAAAATCGTTTACTTAAGAAATAAATAATAATCATAATAATAATGATAATAAAAAATAATCTAATGAACATTTTTTTACGTGTAAAATCTACCATTTGTTGAATTAATTATTTGTTTGTTTGTGAGTGATTAGAAAATATATCGGCTTAATATTCAGTGGTTTAACGGCTTTTGGCTTAGTTTTTAGTAAATATTTGGCATCATCGCGGACACTGAGTGTCTTGAAATCAGTTATCGTTATGGCTATGATCATTGTTTCTGCTGCTAAGAGAGAGATGAATTGACACCTTGTAGCTATTGTGATGCGTAGAAACGCACACACGATCAATTTGTATGGAGCTTTAGGCGTTGAAAAATTATCTTACACGGCTAGCACCTCTGCTCTTGGATCAGAAATTGTGACATTTTTAGGCAAATTTCTATTGACAACGACTCTTTAAGAGCCACCAATAAAAAGATACACATTTCTTTTTTAATTCATAAATAAAAGAGGTGTCTCACGAATAATTTTTTTCTTAACTGCGCAATATTTTTAGATCAATAGAACAACTGCAAGGCTCAAAGAAGAAGAAATCACGTTAAATAGTGATTTAAAAAAAGTGAACGTTACTCTGTCGGCGAAGGTAAATTATTATTGAGCTTTTCGATTTCAATTTCACTTATTATAGCGGAGCTCCACGCGCGCGCGAAGCGCGCGCGCGTTGGCGGAGCCCCATTGCTAAGTAAATCTACCCATCCCAGAAAATTTGGTAATCACGTGACCGTACACCGACCGACCGCCCGCCGTCCCTCCGCACCACAGGAAAACCAATGTTTACTCTCACACTTTTAGCTAGTTTGGGAGCCGAAGAGAAAACTAATTGCACAGGCTGCACATCAATGTTGTGATCAATAAACAGCTATCAAAACAGGGCATCCGCTGACAAGTATCACCTGACCGTACCGCGGGCTCAAGTGTCGACCCATCGAGGTCGAGTATTTTTTAAAGTTATCCGCTGACAAATTACCAGTTTCAAATGATCGCAGGCTCAAGTTTATTTTTTCCAAGGATTCATATCAAATATGTTGTGTTTATGTCACTATGGTCCCGCACTATTAGGATTTTGATTTCAAACTGACCTCGGAAGCGAAAATTCATCCAGTTTTTTTAAAAGTACAGGCGGGGAAGACCTTATCTTACCATGGTCACGCGTTGTTCACGCTCTACGTCCAATTTTTATACTCTGATTGGTCAAAGTTTGACAGGTGAGTTTATGCGGAAAAATTATGCAGCATCTTGAAAGTAGTTTACTTTGACAGCTGAAGCTGACAGAGTTTTGTGTCAACTTGTGATGTTTTTAACTGTCTTTGTTCTGGAGGTACAAAATGAAATACAGCTGCTATCAAGAGTCTTCTGTTATTCATGGCTGGTTTGTTTACTGGGTTTTGGTTGAGAAATGCGTCGCTTGTCAAAATTCGGTAATTCGATTTCGGATGGCATCGTTTTCGTTTTTCACCTTGCTTAATGCGTAAGAGGATTTAAAAGTCTCAAGCAACTGTGGCCTCCCTTGATAGCGTTCAGGAACTGAATCTCGAATGGTAAGCCTAAGTAATTAATGTATTTGATCTTTGTGTTTCATGAAGTCTTGCACAGTTCACGCTGACAGTTTATGCGGCAAGTTTATGCACGTTTGCAGGATTTGAGTCAATGATCTGACCTAGTATCAGGTTTGATATAAGCTTACAGAACTTTAAAAAGCCTTCAGATATATTTGCTCACCACAAATAGAAAGAAAACGTTCCGAAGGATATTTAGTTATAAATTTGGCTGTAGAAAGAAAACTTTGAGCGATTTTCTTGCTTCGAGGAGTTCACCTTCGAAAACAGTAAACACCGCGCTGGGAAGCCGGCTAAAACATAAACTTAAGCTTTACGCTTAAAGACTCAGGATTTTAAGAGACACTTTAATACTTGTCTTCGTGAATGAAAATTGTTGTCTCTGTAAATGTTTCACGGAATTATATTTCTTTTTTTAATTGTTAGTAGTTTCTCTTACAATTTTAATCGCTTGTCCGGGCCGATTGTTTTCATCGTTCATAACCATCGCTTGCAGGAGTACTCAAAAATGTCGCGCGTATCAAACGCCTTATAAGATTACACATCGTTATAACTAAAACCATTAAATAACAAAACAAATAATAATAAATTCGCTGTTATGTTGAAGCGTAACTCTGTTAAAGTTCATTCAAACACTCGACCACACTGACAGCTCGCACTATAGAAACGAGAACCAGCTGGCCGTATGGGTGATTTTGGAAATTTTCTGAAATTTTTGAACGGTTTGGCTCGTCCTGAATATTAACTGAGTGAAAATTGTGAAATACCGCATTCTGTCCGAGCTCTGTATGATATTTAGTACTGTTTCACCTCAAATGTGGTGTATAAAAATTATAAAAGGTTGGTTTAAACAACCCCAGATTTGTTGGCAAGAATTTGTAAAGTAAACCTGTCGAACGCAAAAAAATTTGGCGTGATTTGTTTTCCAAGAATTTGCTTTCGAGGCCTAAAGTACTGTAATCTTGAATGTGATCGAAGATGTTTGCTATTTTCTGGGTGTACATATAAGGTTATCAATTCGATGTAAGATGTTTCACTCTAAAATAACTTAGCCTTTCCCTCAAAAGTCACATGAATGTGCCCTTAAGTTAAATGATTTGTGGATTAAAAGTTTATTGTTTGATTTAAATTATAAATTTATTAAAATTGGAGCTTCGCTTTTAGCCCTGGCTAAATCTATATATTATTTACCCTTTGTTTGTTTTATTATTATTTTTTTAATTCAAAGGCACTCTTTTCTATTTTTGACAACAACGTGGTATAGAGAGGCAAATGATTTTTACTTAACTATAACATTTTTAACTAGTGTAGAACTCTATTTAAATGAAATAATAAAATAGCGCCCATGATAGATTTATTCTTCATTAAACTGGCTTCAGTAATTGCCTAAAAAGCAGTGACTTAATAGTCTTTAAATCTATACCATTTATGTTAAGCTTAAAATATTATACCTTCCAGTCTGTCAAATAGTATGAACATATACATGCATTCTTTTACTGTTTTTTACTGCTTTATTCCTTCTTTAGATAGAACGTATTGGTATTAATATGACAACACTACTTTCCACGACAAGTTATATGGACTATAAACTCACTGACCTCGAGAAAAGGACGACCAGAGCTCTAGACGCGGTATCTATTTCTTTTTATGTCAATAGAGTAACATGTTGAAAAAAATGCCAGAGCCAAATGCTTGGTCGAAGTTGACTGTTTCGACCTAAATGATCCAAGATAAGAAAACATGACCTAGAACTTGCAGTTCTGCTTCACCTGAGCTAGATACAGTCAGTTTGCCTCGACATTTTTTCGGTTTAATTGTGTTACGTGGAAATGCACACGCGATCAATTTGTATGGAGCATTAGACGTTGAAAAAATTATCGTACACGGTTAGAAGCTCTATTCTTGGATTAGAAATTGTGACAGGGTAAGCCTCTGTTCACAAAGACGTAATAAAAGAGGTGTCTCAAGAATAATTTGTGCAATTTAGATCAGTAAAAGAACTGCAAGGCTCAAAGAAGAAGATATCACGTTGAATAGTGATTTAAAAGATGTGAACGTAACTCGATCCGCGAAGATAAATTATTATTAAGCTTTCGTTTTCAATTACACTTAATATAATGTAGTGTTTTTATTTTTTCTTTATTTTTTTTATTTTTTTATTCAGACAATCTTTATATTTTTGACAACAAGTTAGTAAGAGAGGGAAATGTTTTGTTTTTTCTTTTTATAATTATAACATTTTCAACCAGTGAAGAACTCTATTCAAATATAAATATTATAAGATGAGTTGCTGCTAAAGAACTTTGATTCATTTTAAGCCACCCCTTAGATTTTATTAATTTATATTTATCCATATAGTAAAGATAAAATAATAATAATAATAAACAATTGAACCAATTTTATTGATAACAATGCAAACTATTAAAATCCTATTTACTATCAATACACTTTAAAAAACTGTTCCGTCAAAACACTTTTCTATTTACAATTCTTTTCGTTTAATAAAAGAAACGCCTAGCTTTGATTAGAAAAAAAAAATCATTTACTTAAGAAATAAATAATAATAATAATAATAATAATAATAATAAATAATCTAATGAACATTTTTTAACGTGTAAAATCTACCATTTGTTAAATTAATTATTTGTTTGCTTGTGAGTGCTTAGAAATATATCAGCTTAATATTCAGTGGTTTAACGGGTTTTGGCTTAGTTTTAGTAAATATTTGGCATCATCGCGGACACTGAGTGTCTTTAAATCAGTTATCGTCATGGCTATGATCATTGTTTCTGCTGCTAAGAGAGAGATAAATTGACACCTTGTAGCTATTGTGATGCGTAGAAACGCACACACGATCAATTTGTATGGAGCTTTAGGCGTTAAAAAATTATCTTACACGGCTAGCACCTCTGCTCTTGGATCAGAAATTGTGACATTTTTAGGCAAATTTCTATTGACAACGACTCTTTAAGAGCCTTCAATAAAGAGATACACATTTCTTTTTTAATTCATAAATAAAAGAGGTGTCTCACGAATAATTTTTTTTCTTAACTGCGCAATATTTTTAGATCAATAGAACAACTGCAAGGCTCAAAGAAGAAGAAATCACGTTAAACAGTGATTTAAAAAAAGTGAACGTTACTCTGTCGGCGAAGGTAAATTATTATTGAGCTTTTCGATTTCAATTTCACTTATTATATTTACCCTTTGTTTGTTTTATTATTATTTTTTAATTCAAAGGCACTCTTTTCTATTTTTGACAACAACGTGGTATAGAGAGGCAAATGATTTTTACTTAACTATAAGATTTTCAACCAGTGTAGAACTCTATTTAAATGAAATAATAAAATAGCGCCCATGATAGATTTATTCTTCATTAAACTGGCTTCAGTAATTGCCTAAAAAGCAGTGACTTAATAGTCTTTAAATCTATACCATTTATGTTAAGCTTAAAATATTATACCTTCCAGTCTGTCAAATAGTATGAACATATACATGCATTCTTTTACTGTTTTTTACTGCTTTATTCCTTCTTTAGATAGAACGTATTGGTATTAATATGACAACACTACTTTCCACGACAAGTTTTATGGACTATAAACTCACTGACCTCGAGAAAAGGACGACCAGAGCTCTAGACGCGGTATCTATTTCTTTTTATGTCAATAGAGTAACATGTTGAAAAAAACGCCAGAGCCAAATGCTTGGTCGAAGTTGACTGTTTCGACCTAAATGATCCAAGATAAGAAAACATGATCTAGAACTTGCAGTTCTGCTTCACCTGAGCTAGATACAGTCAGTTTGCCTCGACATTTTTTCGGTTTAATTGTGTTACGTGGAAATGCACACGCGATCAATTTGTATGGAGCATTAGACGTTGAAAAATTATGGTACACGGTTAGCACCTCTATTGTTGGATTAGAAATTGTGACAGGGTAAGCTTCTGTTCACAAAGACGTAATAAAAGAGGTGTCTCAAGAATAATTTGTGCAATTTAGATAAGTAAAAGAACTGCAAGGCTCAAAGAAGAAGAAATCACGTTGAATAGTGATTTAAAAGATGTGAACGTAACTCGATCCGCGAAGATAAATTATTATTAAGCTTTTGTTTTCAATTACACTTAATATAATGTAGTGTTTTTATTATATTTTTTCTTTATTTTTTTATTTTTTTATTCAGACAATCTTTATATTTTTGACAACAAGTTAGTAAGAGAGGGAAATGTTTTGTTTTTTTTTTTTTAGATATAATTATAACATTTTCAACCAGTGAAGAACTCTATTCAAATGCAAATATTATAAGATGAGTTGCTGCTAAAGAACTTTGATTCATTTTAAGCCACCCCTTAGATTTTATTAATTTATATTTATCCATATAGTAAAGATAAAATAATAATAATAAACAATTGAACAAATTTTATTGATAACAATGCAAACTATTAAAATCCTATACTATCAATACACTTTAAAAAACTGCTTCGTCAAAACACTTTTCTATTTACAATTCTTTTCGTTTAATAAAAGAAACGCCTAGCTTTGATTAGAAAAAAAAAATCATTTACTTAAGAAATAAATAATAATAATAATAGTAATAATAACAATAATAATAATAATAATAAAAAATAATCTAATGAACATTTTTTTACGTGTAAAATCTACCATTTGTTGAATTAATTATTTTTTTGTTTGTGAGTGATTAGAAAATATATCAGCTTAATATTCAGTGGTTTAACGGCTTTTGGCTCAGTTTTAGTAAATATTTGGCATCATCGCGGACACTGAGTGTCTTTAAATCAGTTATCGTCATGGCTATGATCATTGTTTCTGCTGCTAAGAGAGAGATAAATTGACACCTTGTAGCTATTGTGATGCGTAGAAACGCACACACGATCAATTTGTATGGAGCTTTAGGCGTTGAAAAAGTATCTTACACGGCTAGCACCTCTGCTCTTGGATCAGAAATTGTGACATTTTTAGGCAAATTTCTATTGACAACGACTCTTTAAGAGCCTTCAATAAAGAGATACACATTTCTTTTTTAATTCATAAATAAAAGAGGTGTCTCAAGAATAATTTTTTTTCTTAACTGCGCAATATTTTTAGATCAATAGAACAACTGCAAGGCTCAAAGAAGAAGAAATCACGTTAAACAGTGATTTAAAAAAAGTGAACGTTACTCTGTCGGCGAAGGTAAATTATTATTGAGCTTTTCGATTTCAATTTCACTTATTATATTTACCCTTTGTTTGTTTTATTATTATTTTTTAATTCAAAGGCACTCTTTTCTATTTTTGACAACAACGTGGTATAGAGAGGCAAATGATTTTTACTTAACTATAAGATTTTCAACCAGTGTAGAACTCTATTTAAATGAAATAATAAAATAGCGCCCATGATAGATTTATTCTTCATTAAACTGGCTTCAGTAATTGCCTAAAAGCAGTGACTTAATAGTCTTTAAATCTATACCATTTATGTTAAGCTTAAAATATTATACCTTCCAGTCTGTCAAATAGTATGAACATATACATGCATTCTTTTACTGTTTTTTACTGCTTTATTCCTTCTTTAGATAGAACGTATTGGTATTAATATGACAACACTACTTTCCACGACAAGTTTTATGGACTATAAACTCACTGACCTCGAGAAAAGGACGACCAGAGCTCTAGACGCGGTATCTATTTCTTTTTATGTCAATAGAGTAACATGTTGAAAAAAATGCCAGAGCCAAATGCTTGGTCGAAGTTGACTGTTTCGACCTAAATGATCCAAGATAAGAAAACATGACCTAGAACTTGCAGTTCTGCTTCACCTGAGCTAGATACAGTCAGTTTGCCTCGACATTTTTTCGGTTTAATTGTGTTACGTGGAAATGCACACGCGATCAATTTGTATGGAGCATTAGACGTTGAAAAAATTATCGTACACGGTTAGCAGCTCTATTGTTGGATTAGAAATTGTGACAGGGTAAGCCTCTGTTCACAAAGACGTAATAAAAGAGGTGTCTCAAGAATAATTTGTGCAATTTAGATAAGTAAAAGAACTGCAAGGCTCAAAGAAGAAGAAATCACGTTGAATAGTGATTTAAAAGATGTGAACGTAACTCGATCCGCGAAGATAAATTATTATTAAGCTTTTGTTTTCAATTACACTTAATATAATGTAGTGTTTTTATTATATTTTTTCTTTATTTTTTTATTTTTTTATTCAGACAATCTTTATATTTTTGACAACAAGTTAGTAAGAGAGGGAAATGTTTTGTTTTTTCTTTTTAGATATAATTATAACATTTTCAACCAGTGAAGAACTCTATTCAAATGCAAATATTATAAGATGAGTTGCTGCTAAAGAACTTTGATTCATTTTAAGCCACCCCTTAGATTTTATTAATTTATATTTATCCATATAGTAAAGATAAAATAATAATAATAAACAATTGAACAAATTTTATTGATAACAATGCAAACTATTAAAATCCTATACTATCAATACACTTTAAAAAACTGCTTCGTCAAAACACTTTTCTATTTACAATTCTTTTCGTTTAATAAAAGAAACGCCTAGCTTTGATTAGAAAAAAAAAAATCATTTACTTAAGAAATAAATAATAATAATAATAGTAATAATAATAATAATAATAATAATAATAATAAAAAATAATCTAATGAACATTTTTTTACGTGTAAAATCTACCATTTGTTGAATTAATTATTTTTTTGTTTGTGAGTGATTAGAAAATATATCAGCTTAATATTCAGTGGTTTAACGGCTTTTGGCTTAGTTTTAGTAAATATTTAGCATCATCGCGGACACTGAGTGTCTTTAAATCAGTTATCGTCATGGCTATGATCATTGTTTCTGCTGCTAAGAGAGAGATAAATTGACACCTTGTAGCTATTGTGATGCGTAGAAACGCACACACGATCAATTTGTATGGAGCTTTAGGCGTTGAAAAAGTATCTTACACGGCTAGCACCTCTGCTCTTGGATCAGAAATTGTGACATTTTTAGGCAAATTTCTATTGACAACGACTCTTTAAGAGCCTTCAATAAAGAGATACACATTTCTTTTTTAATTCATAAATAAAAGAGGTGTCTCACGAATAATTTTTTTTCTTAACTGCGCAATATTTTTAGATCAATAGAACAACTGCAAGGCTCAAAGAAGAAGAAATCACGTTAAACAGTGATTTAAAAAAAGTGAACGTTACTCTGTCGGCGAAGGTAAATTATTATTGAGCTTTTCGATTTCAATTTCACTTATTATATTTACCCTTTGTTTGTTTTATTATTATTTTTTAATTCAAAGGCACTCTTTTCTATTTTTGACAACAACGTGGTATAGAGAGGCAAATGATTTTTACTTAACTATAAGATTTTCAACCAGTGTAGAACTCTATTTAAATGAAATAATAAAATAGCGCCCATGATAGATTTATTCTTCATTAAACTGGCTTCAGTAATTGCCTAAAAAGCAGTGACTTAATAGTCTTTAAATCTATACCATTTATGTTAAGCTTAAAATATTATACCTTCCAGTCTGTCAAATAGTATGAACATATACATGCATTCTTTTACTGTTTTTACTGCTTTATTCCTTCTTTAGATAGAACGTATTGGTATTAATATGACAACACTACTTTCCACGACAAGTTTTATGGACTATAAACTCACTGACCTCGAGAAAAGGACGACCAGAGCTCTAGACGCGGTATCTATTTCTTTTTATGTCAATAGAGTAACATGTTGAAAAAAATGCCAGAGCCAAATGCTTGGTCGAAGTTGACTGTTTCGACCTAAATGATCCAAGATAAGAAAACATGACCTAGAACTTGCAGTTCTGCTTCACCTGAGCTAGATACAGTCAGTTTGCCTCGACATTATTTTCGGTTTAATTGTGTTACGTGGAAATGCACACGCGATCAATTTGTATGGAGCATTAGACGTTGAAAAAATTATCGTACACGGTTAGCAGCTCTATTCTTGGATTAGAAATTGTGACAGGGTAAGCCTCTGTTCACAAAGACGTAATAAAAGAGGTGTCTCAAGAATAATTTGTGCAATTTAGATAAGTAAAAGAACTGCAAGGCTCAAAGAAGAAGAAATCACGTTGAATAGTGATTTAAAAGATGTGAACGTAACTCGATCCGCGAAGATAAATTATTATTAAGCTTTTGTTTTCAATTACACTTAATATAATGTAGTGTTTTTATTATATTTTTCTTTATTTTTTTATTTTTTTTTTATTCAGACAATCTTTATATTTTTGACAACAAGTTAGTAAGAGAGGGAAATGTTTTGTTTTTTCTTTTTAGATATAATTATAACATTTTCAACCAGTGAAGAACTCTATTCAAATGCAAATATTATAAGATGAGTTGCTGCTAAAGAACTTTGATTCATTTTAAGCCACCCCTTAGATTTTATTAATTTATATTTATCCATATAGTAAAGATAAAATAATAATAATAAACAATTGAACAAATTTTATTGATAACAATGCAAACTATTAAAATCCTATACTATCAATACACTTTAAAAAACTGCTTCGTCAAAACACTTTTCTATTTACAATTCTTTTCGTTTAATAAAAGAAACGCCTAGCTTTGATTAGAAAAAAAAAAATCATTTACTTAAGAAATAAATAATAATAATAATAGTAATAATAATAATAATAATAATAATAATAATAAAAAATAATCTAATGAACATTTTTTTACGTGTAAAATCTACCATTTGTTGAATTAATTATTTTTTTGTTTGTGAGTGATTAGAAAATATATCAGCTTAATATTCAGTGGTTTAACGGCTTTTGGCTTAGTTTTAGTAAATATTTAGCATCATCGCGGACACTGAGTGTCTTTAAATCAGTTATCGTCATGGCTATGATCATTGTTTCTGCTGCTAAGAGAGAGATAAATTGACACCTTGTAGCTATTGTGATGCGTAGAAACGCACACACGATCAATTTGTATGGAGCTTTAGGCGTTGAAAAATTATCTTACACGGTTAGCACCTCTGCTCTTGGATCAGAAATTGTGACATTTTTAGGCAAATTTCTATTCACAACGACACTTTAAGAGCCACCAATAAAAAGATACACATTTCTTTTTTAATTCATAAATGAAAGAGGTGTCTCACGAATAATGTTTTTCTTAACTGCGCAATATTTTTAGATCAATAGAACAACTGCAAGGCTCAAAGAAGAAGAAATCACGTTAAGTAGTGATTTAAAAGATGTGAACGTTACTCTGTCGGCGAAGGTAAATTATTATTGAACTTTTCGATTTCAATTTCACTTATTATATTTACCCTTTGTTTGTTCTATTATTATTTTTTTAATTCAAAGGCACTCTTTTCTATTTTTGACAACAACGTGGTATAGAGAGGCAAATGATTTTTACTTAACTATAAGATTTTCAACCAGTGTAGAACTCTATTTAAATGAAATAATAAAATAGCGCCCATGATAGATTTATTCTTCATTAAACTGGCTTCAGTAATTGCCTAAAAAGCAGTGACTTAATAGTCTTTAAATCTATACCATTTATGTTAAGCTTAAAATATTATACCTTCCAGTCTGTCAAATAGTATGAACATATACATGCATTCTTTTACTGTTTTTTACTGCTTTATTCCTTCTTTAGATAGAACGTATTGGTATTAATATGACAACACTACTTTCCACGACAAGTTTTATGGACTATAAACTCACTGACCTCGAGAAAAGGACGACCAGAGCTCTAGACGCGGTATCTATTTCTTTTTATGTCAATAGAGTAACATGTTGAAAAAAATGCCAGAGCCAAATGCTTGGTCGAAGTTGACTGTTTCGACCTAAATGATCCAAGATAAGAAAACATGACCTAGAACTTGCAGTTCTGCTTCACCTGAGCTAGATACAGTCAGTTTGCCTCGACATTTTTTCGGTTTAATTGTGTTACGTGGAAATGCACACGCGATCAATTTGTATGGAGCATTAGACGTTGAAAAATTATGGTACACGGTTAGCAGCTCTATTCTTGGATTAGAAATTGTGACAGGGTAAGCCTCTGTTCACAAAGACGTAATAAAAGAGGTGTCTCAAGAATAATTTGTGCAATTTAGATAAGTAAAAGAACTGCAAGGCTCAAAGAAGAAGAAATCACGTTGAATAGTGATTTAAAAGATGTGAACGTAACTCGATCCGCGAAGATAAATTATTATTAAGCTTTTGTTTTCAATTACACTTAATATAATGTAGTGTTTTTATTATATTTTTTCTTTATTTTTTTATTTTTTTATTCAGACAATCTTTATATTTTTGACAACAAGTTAGTAAGAGAGGGAACTGTTTTGTTTTTTCTTTTTATAATTATAACATTTTCAACCAGTGGAGAACTCTATTTAAATATAAATATTATAAGATGAGTTGCTGCTAAAGAACTTTGATTCATTTTAAGCCACCCCTTAGATTTTATTAATTCATATTTATCCATATAGTAAAGACAAAATAATAATAATAAACAATTAAACAAATTTTATTGATAACAATGCAAACTATTAAAATCCTATTTACTATCAATACTCTTTAAAAAACTGTTCCGTCAAAACACTTTTCTATTTACAATTCTTTTTGTTTAATAAAAGAAACGCCTAGCTTTGATTAGAAAAAAGAAATCATTCACTTAAGAAATAAATAATAATAATAATAGTAATAATAATAATAATAATAATAATAATAATAATAAATAATCTAATGAACATTTTTTTACGTGTAAAATCTACCATTTGTTGAATTAATTATTTGTTTGTTTGTGAGTGATTAGAAAATATATCAGCTTAATATTCAGTGGTTAAATGGGTTTTGGCTTAGTTTTCGTAAATATTTGGCATCATCGCGGACACTGAGTGTCTTGGAATCAGTTATCGTTATGGCTATGATCATTGTTTCTGCTGCTAAGAGAGAGATGAATTGACACCTTGTAGCTATTGTGATGCGTAGAAACGCACACACGATCAATTTGTATGGAGCTTTAGGCGTTGAAAAATTATCTTACACGGTTAGCACCTCTGCTCTTGGATCAGAAATTGTGACATTTTTAGGCAAATTTCTATTCACAACGACACTTTAAGAGCCACCAATAAAAAGATACACATTTCTTTTTTAATTCATAAATGAAAGAGGTGTCTCACGAATAATGTTTTTCTTAACTGCGCAATATTTTTAGATCAATAGAACAACTGCAAGGCTCAAAGAAGAAGAAATCACGTTAAGTAGTGATTTAAAAGATGTGAACGTTACTCTGTCGGCGAAGGTAAATTATTATTGAACTTTTCGATTTCAATTTCACTTATTATATTTACCCTTTGTTTGTTCTATTATTATTTTTTTAATTCAAAGGCACTCTTTTATATTTTTGACAACAACGTGGTATAGAGAGGCAAATGATTTTTACTTAACTATAACATTTTCAACCAGTGTAGAACTTTATTTAAATGAAATAATAAAATAGCGACCAAGATAGATTTATTCTGCATTAAACTGGCTTCAGTAATTGCCTAAAAAGCAGTGACTTAATAGTCTTTAAATCTATACCATTTATGCTAAGCTTAAAATATTATACCTTCCAGTCTGTCAAATAGTATGAACATATACATGCATTCTTTTACTGTTTTTTACTGCTTTATTCCTTCTTTAGATAGAACGTTTTGGTATTAATATGAAAACACTACTTTCCACGACAAGTTATATGGACTATAATTTCACTGACCTCGAGAAAAGGACGAGCAGAGCTCTAGACGCGGTATCTATTTCTTTTTATGTCAATAGAGTAACATGTTGAAAAAAACGCCAGAGCCAAATGCTTGGTCGAAGTTGACTGTTTCGACCTAAATGATCCAAGATAAGAAAACATGATCTAGAACTTGCAGTTCTGCTTCACCTGAGCTAGATACAGTCAGTTTGCCTCGACATTTTTTCGGTTTAATTGTGTTACGTGGAAATGCACACGCGATCAATTTGTATGGAGCATTAGACGTTGAAAAAATTATCGTACACGGTTAGCAGCTCTATTCTTGGATTAGAAATTGTGACAGGGTAAGCCTCTGTTCACAAAGACGTAATAAAAGAGGTGTCTCAAGAATAATTTGTGCAATTTAGATAAGTAAAAGAACTGCAAGGCTCAAAGAAGAAGAAATCACGTTGAATAGTGATTTAAAAGATGTGAACGTAACTCGATCCGCGAAGATAAATTATTATTAAGCTTTTGTTTTCAATTACACTTAATATAATGTAGTGTTTTTATTATATTTTTTCTTTATTTTTTTATTTTTTTATTCAGACAATCTTTATATTTTTGACAACAAGTTAGTAAGAGAGGGAACTGTTTTGTTTTTTCTTTTTATAATTATAACATTTTCAACCATTGGAGAACTCTATTCAAATATAAATATTATAAGATGAGTTGCTGCTAAAGAACTTTGATTCATTTTAAGCTACCCCTTAGATTTTATTAATTCGTATTTATCCATATAGTAAAGATAAAATAATAATAATAAACAATTGAACAAATTTTATTGATAACAATGCAAACTATTAAAATCCTATTTACTATCAATAAACTTTAAAAAACTGTTCCGTCAAAACACTTTTCTATTTACAATTCTTTTCGTTTAATAAAAGAAACGCCTAGGTTTGATTAGAAAAAAAAATCATTTACTTAAGAAATAAATAATAATAATAATAGTAAAAATAATAATAATAAATAATCTAATGAACATTTTTTTACGTGTAAAATCTACCATTTGTTGAATTAATTATTTTTTTGTTTGTGAGTGATTAGAAAATATATCAGCTTAATATTCAGTGGTTTAATGGGTTTTGGCTTAGTTTTAGTAAATATTTGGCATCATCGCGGACACAGAGTGTTTTGGAATCAGTTATCGTTATGGCTATGATCATTGTTTCTGCTGCTAAGAGAGAGATGAATTGACACCTTGTAGCTATCGTGATGCGTAGAAACGCACACACGATCAATTTGTATGGAGCTTTAGGCGTTGAAAAAGTATCTTACACGGCTAGCACCTCTGCTATTGGATCAGAAATTGTGACATTTTTAGGTAAATTTCTATTCACAACGACACTTTAAGAGCCACCAATAAAAAGATACACATTTCTTTTTTAATTGATAAATAAAAGAGGTGTCTCACGAATAATTTGTTTCTTAACTGCGCAATATTTTTAGATCAATAGAACAACTGCAAGGCTCAAAGAAGAAGAAATCACGTTAAATAGTGATTTAAAAGATGTGAACGTTACTCTGTCGGCGAAGGTAAATTATTATTGAGCTTTTCGATTTCAATTTCACTTATTATATTTACCCTTTGTTTGTTTTATTATTATTTTTTTAATTCAAAGGCACTCTTTTCTATTTTTGACAACAACGTGGTATAGAGAGGCAAATGATTTTTACTTAACTATAAAATTTTTAACCAGTGTAGAACTCTATTGAAATGAAATAATAAAATAGCGCCCAAGATAGATTTATTCTTCATTAAACTGGCTTCAGTAATTGCCTAAAAAGCAGTGACTTAATAGTCTTTAAATCTATACCATTTATGTTAAGCTTAAAATATTATACCTTCCAGTCTGTCAAATAGTATGAACATATACATGCATTCTTTTACTGTTTTTTACTGCTTTATTCCTTCTTTAGATAGAACGTATTGGTATTAATATGACAACACTACTTTCCACGACAAGTTATATGGACTATAAACTTATTGACCTCGAGAAAAGGACAACCAGAGCTCTAGACGCGGTATCTATTTCTTTTCGTGTCAATATTTCTTTTAGTGTCAATAGAGTAACATTAAAAAAAAAAAGAAAAAATGCCAGAGCCAAATGCTTGGTCGAAGTTCACTGTTTCGACCTGAATGATCCAAGATAAGAATACATGACCTAGAACTTGCAGTTCTGCCTCACCTTAGCTGGATACAGTCAGTTTGTGTCAACGTTTTTTTCAATTTAATTGTAATAAGTGGAAATGCGCACGTGATCAATTTGTATAAGCATTGGGCGTTGAAAAATAATCGTACACGGCTATCACCTCTGTTCTTGGATCAGAAATTGTGACTTGATAAATTTCTGTTCACAACGACGTAATAGAAGGGGTGACTCACGAATATTTTTTTTCCTAACTGCGCAATATTTTTAGATAAATAGAACAACTACAAGGCTCAAAGAAGAAGATATCACGTTAAATAGTGATTTAAAAGACCTGAACGTTGGTCAATTGACGAAGGTAAATTATTATTAAGCTTTTCGATTTTAATTTCACGTAATATATTTACGCTTTGTAATTTTTTAGTTTTTTATTCAAATACATTCTTTTATATTTTTGACAACAAGGTGGTAAGAGAGGCAAATGATTTTTACGTATTATAATTATAATTAACATTGTCAACCAGTGGAGATGTCTATTCTAATACAAATTATAATATGAGGTGCTGCCAAAGAACTTTGATTCATTTTAAGCCACTCCTATAGTAAAAATATGGTAAAGATTAAATAATCATTATAAAAGTAAATTGTAGTTATCATAACAAATTTCCCAGAATCCTTTGAGGCATTTTTTTAAAAAGCCTTATAACTTTGACAATTTTATGCGAAGAAGACTTTCAGACATTTGCCATAGTATATCTTCCGATGTCAAATCTAAGGTAATGACTTCATTGGTCACGTGGCTATTTCCCATTAATTTTTTTTTCGTTGCTGCGACAAGATTTCATTAACTAGTTAAAATGAAATGGGATATTTGAGGTTTTAGTTGTGTGGGTCGTTTAAACATAACCCGGCTGTTGACGTCCGGCTTGGCTTTTATAGATTGTGCTATCATAATTTTTAGCACAATTTGAGAAAACTGGCATAATTTTTCCCATTTTTTTAAAACGTAACACTGCTAGCATAATTCGCACATTTTGAAAATTATCGGAACATTTTTGGATTTTAACAGGCACGCTGATTCCCAAATCCCAATTATACGTTGACGTTGTTCGATGTTTTACGAGTATTTGCAGTTTACTGGGCCCGGAAATGGGGGCCTGGGAGTAGGGTGTACAGGAAATGGAAGTCCCATGGCAAACCAAGTCGGTCCTAATACCTCCCATAGGCAAGGCTACAAAAAAGCGTCCGCTGTGCCAGCCGATTCGAGCGAAAACTTACAGCTCTCTCAGAGAAATGACGGGCAAGAACCAGCCACAATTGCCAGAGACCGTTCCTTACATCAACAAAGGGAAAGTACAGTAGGATAGGAACATCTGACACGACGAAAGTTCCATCACACGATTGTATTAACCGGTTCCCAAATCAGCTAACAAGTTTAAAAAGCTTCTGATTAAAGAAAATGTATTTTTGGACTCATTTGCCATGGTTTTTGAAGAGCACAAGTAAAAAAAACAATAGCATAATTTGGACAAATGAGCATAATTTTAGCATAATGTGGCCAAAAAGAAAGCAGTGCTACTGGCATAATATGCTACTTTTACCAGCACAGTCTATAAAAGCCTACGTCCAGTATTTAAAATCTAAGGGGGTAATGAACATGAGCGAAAAAGTCGTGAGATTAGGCCAAGGGCTGCAGAGACTCAACCTTTCATCACACGGCAGAGAAAATTTGCGTGAAAGTAATGTTCTACCGCGCCTGATAATTTTTCTACAGACGATAACTTTTAGTTCTAACTGATTCTGAGAGCCCGGGTTGGAATCCCCTTGCGGCACCGAAGGAAGACGAAAAAGCTAACCCTTTGTGAACAAATTATTTTGAGGTTTAAGCTCGAAGCTTTATATGGTGTAAAATAATAATAATTTACTTTTATCGGTATCACTTGTAATAATAAAAATAATAATAATAATAAATTATATTTTTTTAAATTTTCAAACCAAAAAAATATACTTTATTAAGCTCTTCTCAAATTGAAAATTAAATACAAACTTAGTATAGCTATAGTTAAAAAAGACTTCTTGGTGGTCCGGTGGTTTTCAACAGAGCAAATGTAAACAACTGTCTATAAACTAAAAAATGGAAATTTCTATGTACATCCCAATAATAAAGTATCTATAGCTGTTGAGTCTAAGGAAGTCCTGCTTAACCCTTCTCTATTTTTAGATCCCTGTCCTTAACATCTAAGTTCCTCCTTCTTTCTTAATAACAATAATAATAATATAGATTTAGCCAGGGCTAAAAGAGAAGCTCTTGATAATATTTATAGTTTACTATAAAAACGTGTAATGCTAGGCGGCGAAAGCAACGAGAACGGTGGAGAAACAACAATTGGTCTATAAATTAGCAAAAAAAGCAACTTTGCACGTGCAGCACACTTTTTTTTGTGATTTTTTTTGCCGTTATTTTGCACAACTACAACGTGAAACTTCCAGAAACTTTCTGATTACACGTTTTTTGGAGTAAATGTGGTACGTGTTCTTGTTCAGTTCTTTTCCGCTGTCGCTCATTTTCACCCTGGTGGCCGCCGGCGTTTCTCATTTTCTCACCGCCGCTACGAAATTTCATTTTGTTTCTCCAACAAAAATGACTCCTTTGTTTTTCCTATCTCGCTCTAGCTCTGTTTCTCGTTGAGCTTCGCTGGACTGTCGCCTTACTTTCTCTCTTTCTCTGTCTTTCTCTTTATCTATTTTCCAAATTGTAGGACATGACAATTAATCTAAACTTAATAATTTGGACAACACGGATACAGAAACATTTTCTGCTTTCCGTTTTTGTCTTTATTGACTCTTTTCTTGTCTCTGCTTCACAGGACGCAGGTGGCCACACGCTTTCCTGCCAAAATAACCTGACATTTGACATCGGCTTACATGCAGTGGTTGTACGGACGGTCGGCGTTCGAACGCTACGTCAGAACCAAATTTACTTTCTTTCATAGGTTACCAATTTATCTTAGCGATGGAGCTCCGCCACGCGCGCTTCACGCAAGTGGGAGCTCTGCTAATAATGGAAACTTTATTTGTGTTTTGAAATGTACAATTGTAAATCTCGCTACGCATACGCAATTTACAAATGCCGCTTGAGATTGGATTATTAAAAAAAAACGCAAAAAACACACACACAAAAAAAGAAAGCAAAACAAGAAAAGAAAAGAACTAAAATTGCATTTAGTCTGGGCTATCCCAATTCCTATTTCTACAACAAAAGATGTAATATGTTGCTCTTATGGCTATCTTTATCATTTTCTTGATCATACAATGTTGCTGCTTTTTGTCAATGCCAATGTCATTCATCATGTCTATGAAATAATAATAATAATAATAATAATAATAATAATTACATAATCTAATAAACTTTTTTTACGTGTGTAATTTACCATCTGTTGAATTACACATTGTTTTTCTTCTTTTGATTTCCCTTTTCAGACCCTTTACTCTTTGTGAGTGATTAGAAAATATATCAGTGGTTTAATGAGTTTTGGCTTAGTTTTTGTAAATATCTGGCATCATCGCGGACACTGAGTGTCTTGGAATTAATTATCGTTATTACTATGATCATTTTTCTGCTGCTAAGAGAGAGATGAATTCACATCTTGTAGCTAACTGTATAAATTTGGAAATATTCGTCTTAATTGTTCGTCGTAACGCTGATTCTACATTGTTCTTTAGCTAAACACCACTGTTCTGAGGATTATTGTCACATTTAATCTAAGCGTACTGGCGCAAGACGTCAACGCATCACTATCACTCAAGATAGGAATACACCTTGAGGTGTCATTGCCCGATACCGAATGATTTTACACGTCTGTTGTCCTGTTTAAGTGTGTTAAAATCGTCAATGTTATTTAGTTAATTTACTAATGTAGTAAAGCTGTTGTATTGGCTTGATTTCGATCGCAGTATTGTTTTCTTCATTAATGGGCAATGAATACACCTTAAGACGTCGCTGACTGTTGTCATTTTGGTTTTGTTTATTTGTTGTTCTGTTTTTATGGCTATTTTAAACATATTGTTTGTGTGTTTATGTGTGTATTGGATAAATTCTACTGGATAATTTGCTACAAACTTTTACAGATTTATTTTAGAAATGCCCCATTTGGGGCTAAGGGCCTTGGAAGAAAGTACGTAAGTAAGTAAGTTAGTATGTAATGTATGTTAAGTCTGTACCTTTAAAAAAAGTTAATTATATAACCACTGAAATCTTTCTTCAGTTAACGCTGCTAAATTCATCGTTATCTGTCGTTACCGCGTTGGCTAATGAGACGAAAAGGGACTTCCAAACGTTTAAGTTGAGCATGGAAAATTCCCTGTCTACGGTAAGATTGTACCCTTGTTGTCACACTTCAGCTTTGATATTTCAGTCTTTGTGAGACGCTTAGTTTTTACAAAATTAGACAGAGTTTTAGAGGTGATGTTAAAATCGAATCTACCCGGCGCTCCCTGTGTGGCCGGCTGGAAGTCACTGGCCAAAATAAACCTTCCCCGGTGGAAACATCTACTCAAGTACTATTGTTTATACAAGCCAATCACAGACCTTGTTTGCCGCCCCCAATTGTATTTTGCATAACCTTTCTTTTTGTAATTTCTCCTGAGTAGTAAAGTCGCCTTAAGGAAAATTAAGACAAAAGTTATCATGTCTTTTTTGTTTTTGTCTTTTTTTGTTTTTTGTTACAGTATTGGTAGCCAGGGCGGTACTGTCAGTGAGCCTGGGTATCCTGTAGTTCAGCGACCTTTTGTCAAAAGTGTAATCATTGCTTCTTATCTATACCTCAGGTCTTTAAAAGCCTACAGAACCTTGAAGAAAATGGGAACCTTACAAAAGACAGCCTTTCCCTGGATATTTTCAACACAAAAGAGATGGTAAATGCGATAATACTCCCAAACTTTGTACTTACTGACTTAGTTTTTGAAGGTTCTAATTTTAATTTGCGACTATACGGATGCGTGGACACGTCTCTAGAAACCAACCCCATGGACAAAAAAAGGCCATTTCCGAGTTCCACTTCGCCCACACACAAAATAAATGCAATTGCTTTAATTTACACTTGTTTTCTAATCTTGTTTACAATTGTACGTAGTTTGACTTAGATAAACGTTCGACTGATGAATACGATTTCTAACAGAAATATTAATACCCGCTAAGAAAAACCAGACTTGACCAATCGAAAAAAAAAAAAAAAAAAGAAAGAAAAGAAAAAAAATAATAATTAAGTTGCCGCAAAATACACAACATTGCCTATCCGCAATGTAAAGTAGTAGTAGCTCACTCTGTCATAAATGTCACACAGTACTGGCGCACGGTATTGATTTCACTGGAAGAAATTTTTTTCTGCTTTTGCTCTTGAAACAGCTCTAACATCAAAACCAAATTTCTTTTTGTCAAAGTTATCACAATGCCTTTTGATAACTTTTGAAACCTTGACTTTTTTCAACAGCTACAAAACGCTACAGATAGACTTGATCGAGAAGACGCCAACGTGAAGTTGCTCTTGAGTGAAATTAACAGCACCCTCTTCTTAAAGGTAATGTTGTCATTTCCTTACAAATATATGGCTTTCCCTGTAGACTTGCAGTTCTAATTTTGTCCATTTTCACAGCTATGATATACTTTCCCTAGAGGAATGACGACAGGGCATGAGGGAAAACGCTTCCTGTTATCTCAGGGGACCAAGGAAAATACGCTGGGTTTTTCTGTTTATCAAAGAACTATTAGTGTGTCATACTGTAGATTAAATTCTTTTTCCCACTCTCTAATAGCCACGATTTAAAAATTGAGACCCCAATTTTCATAGCAATCAAAATAATCACCATTGATATCCTTGACGCAACAATGCAAGTGGCCTCGAGCTGTGTAACTAAGGCAGATTTTTGTTGTTCTTGTTCTTTTCCTCTTGTTGGTTTTCATCTCTCTAACGACCTGTGCAATGTAGGGAAACGAAAAACATAAAAAAGATAGAAATCTATGCATTTCTTTCCAGATAGAGAATGTCAGCAAACTTCCGGGCCCAGTCGGTCCTCCTGGCGTAAACGGCTCCCAAGGCCCTATAGGTCCAGCAGGACCTCAAGGATTTAACGGATCCCAGGGTGCAATAGGTCCCCAGGGATTCAATGGTTCCCAAGGACCTATTGGACCACAGGGACCCCAGGGTGCTGGGGACTTCTCTTTATGTGAATATGTGAGCACCTCTTCAACGGGAAGTCAGAATCCAGTAACAAGCATTAACCCTGCTACTAGTATTCAAGTAACTCTCGGGGAACCAAATGTAAGTCTATTATTTTTGTTGTTATTAATTATTATTATTATTTTTTTAAAAATATATTTTGGGATTAGATTTTTTTTCTTCTCCTGTGTTAATTAAGAATAAGTCCATGAAACATTCAGAGCTTTTTGAGAATACATTTATATGAAAAAGCTCAGTAGCTTTTAAATGCAACTCCTTTTGTAGATCATTTACTAGTTTTTTCTCCATTTTATATAGCTTCCTTCTATCGAGTTTGTAACATTAGATATGAGTTTACCTAGTTATCAATCGAGAATTATTATTCTTAAAAATAATAATAATATTATTATTATTATTATTATTATTATTATTATTGTTGTTGTTGTGTGTTCTTTATAGTGATTTCACTTAACCCGTCAGTACAATACTAAGCACTATTATGCACTAATTCTAATGTCTTCTTTGGTTTATTTGTAGCTATTTTGCGCTAGTTATTATCGGTCTCACGGTTTAAGTAAAATCACACTTAACGTTTGTGCTCATTCAGCGAAAGTAATTAGTTTGTCTATCAAGTTTAAATAAACTCGTGGATTAAAAATCTACTTAAAAATTGCTAATACTTGTCTGATTGTGATAATATAAAATGCTCCTTGGTTAAAACTAAGCTAACGATATAACTACAAAATCGTACATGTATAATTCCGTTTGACGCTCTCTAGGCCGATAAGTCCACTGGGCTCGCGCGTTCAAAATAAATTGCGATTATTATTGTTTTTTTTTTGTTGTTTTTGTTTTTTGTTTTGTTTTTAACCTGTTGCCAGGTTGTTGTTGTTATTATTATTGTTATTATTATCATAGTTTTTTTTCTACAACAATTACAGAAAAAAAGAAAGAAAGAAAAAACATAAAATATAATAACGGAAAAGAAAAGAGGCATTAATGCTACGACTATCACTACGTACATCATTTTTATTCCAAACAAGACATAAGTTGCGACTATGTCTGTTAACAGGAACAATTCCTTCGTGCAGAGAAGAGCATATCTCTCATTTTTATCCTTTTAGGACAAAAGAATAGTTGCTGTGTCATGCTCCACGGACCGAGCCCAGATGTATCTTCTTTCAAGCCAAATCAACCCATCAGACGGCCAACGGTTTTATTTCTGCGACTGTTTTGGACATTTTGATGGTGGATCGCAGTCTGTGACTTGTTTTATGAACTACTGGCTTTGCCCTCTTTCTACATAATATTCAAGGGCGTAACATCTGGTATAAGTAATCACATGATCGCTCCGAAAGCAGTTGTTCGCTTTTTCTAAGCCGGCTTCTGGTGTCATGATTTGGTTTTTTGAAGCAATAGAGGACAGTCGTTACCCCTTTTTGTCATAGTCGTCAAGGGACAACACTATTCTGTGACTTGATTTGTCAACGTTTGCTTTCTACAGCTTACTGATTGTTGTTGTTGTTGCAGTTTTTTTTTTCTTTTTTAAGCCTCTGATTCGTATTCTTTAAGGCTAAGAACCGCAACAATAATCTTTTTCATTATCTTGGTTAATGGAATTTCTGCGCGATGGAAAACTTTTGAACCACATGTTATCAGTCATTCTTTTTTGTGTTTGTTTTCCTTTGAAATTGAGGTGAAAAAGAAGCAGACAATTATTGTACATGATTAAAGAATTGTATTATTTTTCATTCAAATGCCTGGAGACTTTGATATTACGAGATTTCATGGTTCTTGTATCCCTCAAGAGTTATACGTGACTAACTGGGAGGCGTATAAGGCTCTTCGTGACATTAAAACCAAGAAGGCGGCTGGACCGACGGTATTCATAGTGTTTTCCTCACGCTTTTCGCCTTTGAACTCGCGCCAGTTGTTGCCGATCTTTGCAACTAAACTCTTCGTGAGGGCTTCATTCCTTCTCTCCTTAAAAGTGCGATAGTCCACCCCCTCCCCAAGGTGACCCCTCCCTAGTGCATCGAGGACGATGTGAGGCCAATCTCTCTCAAATGCCAGCTCGCTAAAGTGCTGGAGGGCTTCATATTAGGTAGAGTATATCAATCTATTGTAGTCAACCTCGACAGAAACTAATTCGTGGTAGCTGGTAAATCGACCGAGCAGTCCCTTGTCTATATTTTACACCCGTCTTATAGAAGCCCTGGACAGGGGCGGTTGCTATCTAAGGTTATTTTTTGCTGATTTTAAAAATGGTTTCGACCTTATTGATCACTTTATATTAATGGAGAGGCTTTCTACACAGTACAATCTCCACTGGAGCTTGCTTAGGTGGATCGCATCCTTTGCGCAAGGGAGGGCTTAGGTCACACGCGCTGGTGCCTCGGTTTCTGCTCCTTTATGTCTAAATAAAGGCATTCCTCAGGGCACAAAATTGGATCCTGAGTTGTTTGTTGTTATAGTTAATGACCTTGTTCAAAGCTGGGACACCCGCATTAAATTCATGGATCATCTGACGTCACGGTTTTAGAGGTTGCACCACGCAATTCTCCATCCTTACTCAATTTCCTGATGGATTTTGTCTTAAATCGGTTTTCAGATCCGCATAGTTATGCTTATTCTTACAGCTATCGTTTTGACTGTCATCGCATCATTTTGCCGCAGCAGATCTACCTAGAGCGTATAAAGAGACACGAGGTGCTGTTCTTTAAGGGTCCTTGTCCCGCAAAATATCAATCTGACGGAGGCAACATGTAATTAACTTAACTTAAAAAAGGGCCCACCGTATTCAAATCCTTGTTTTAAGAAACCAAATTGTAACTTAAAGTTACTGTATCTCCACCATAGGTAGACCTCGACAATGACGTTTCCAGAATTCCCAAAAGAAACTTTGAGTGAGAGACGAGTCTCCATGACGACTAAGAACGGTGGTACTTTGCAATAAATAACTTTTATGTTCTCACTGCGAAAATAACGGGAATATCGCTGCCTAATGGTAGGTTTAGAAAAACAACAAAAACAAAATATTATCGCTTTATACATAAACCAACTGTAATGTGATTAAACCGTTTACTTATAGGAATTACTGTTAGTAGAGCTTCCTTTACATATCCTTTCTTTGCGATACTTGATTAAATTATCTTTCTCTCCTAAAATAATATAAAATACTACCAGGTCTTATAAACTGAACTCCGTGAGGTTTTGCGATTAAACGTAATTCTAGTTAATTCAAACAATAAGAGCCAATCACAGGCTTCAATCTGCAACATTTCTCTCAAAAACGGGGTTTTAAAAAAACAATAAAGAAATAAAATAAACCTTAGTTCTTAATTATATTCCTTTATAACTCATTGTCCATAATGAGGCAAACGCGTCTGGAAGAAGACAGCAGCAGCTCCGGCAGTGACACAAATGCTACAGCTGTGCTTTTCCCTTCATTTTTTGTCCTCTAGTTACAACCGACTCAAAGGAAAAGAACTAAAGTATGGTCTACTACGGACTTGCAAGTTTCCAAACAACTCACTGACGACCCCTCCGCAACCTACAAATAAAAGAATGCCTCTTTTTCGTGTTACCGTACGGCAAGGAACGGGAGGTGACGGGCATTACTGCAGCATTTGAAAATTTTTCATATATATATAAAGCTAGTATCTGCATCTACCGTAACAATCGCAAGGATTCGACAAATAAACGAAGAAGCTGTTTCCGACAACACGAAGAAGGCGATGAAACTCGGTTTGGCAGTTTTTACAGGTAAAGCTTTGTCTGAAACCTGAATTTATCGATGACACCAGTGAAGAATTTTTGTTTACAAATACAAATTGAGTCTTGTGTTACTTTATTGAAATGATATGTTGATGAAGAAGCTTAAAACTAAATCAAATGGTGTTTTAAACACAATGGTTTCAAAAACAGAAGAATTCACAATTTCTTTGGAAGAAATGTCCCCGCAAAAGCTTCACAAATGGCTTCAAATGTTGAATTGGTAGGCAAGAAGACGTGACAGCAGTGAGGTCATTTGCGCACAAAAATTGTAATCGTTGACAGCAAAAAATTAGTCAAATATTATCTTTTTTGTGCTCAATTGTCTCACTGTTTTAGTATTTGATAAAACCAGTGGCTCCGTAAATATCCACCACTAAAATGAACCACCGACACTGAGGTGAATAATTGTTATTAATTTATAACTTTCAACCGCTTTCTTGAATTCGCTAGTTATGTTACATACACAGTGATGGGAAACCTACCATTAACACGTCTCGGATAAACACGAATTTTTGAAATGCACGTTAATTTTCTATAATATGGTAGTCAAACTAGATGACTTATGCCCCATTTACACCAACTAAACGCGTTCAGCTAACTTCTGTAGGTTAAAAAAAAAAGGAAAAAACAAAAACAGTAAAGGGAATTATTAAACACAGGCTTTTACACATATGATTCAAATGAACCTTAAAATATTACAAAAAAAAGGGTACGGAGAAACGGGCAACAAAAAACGTGCAACTTGTCATGCAACATTGCTGCAAAGCGAGTTAAATAGGGATGTTGCGCGTTTTACTAACCTAGTTCAAACCTGTTAACAACCTGATTTAATTTGTTGCAAGGCAGGTTTGATGTGGGTGGTAAAACGCACAACATCGCTATTCCACTCGCTTTGTCATGCGACATCATTTTTATGAAAATGAAAGTTATATGATTGTACCTTCGAAAATCGATTACTGTGTCATATTTTTAACAAAATAATTATAGTGATTGGGTTTTTCAAACCCACACCGTTTTCTTAGAATGAGCGAGTTTGTAGCTGATCACGTGACTAAATTGTGATTTTTGAAATTATGCATTAGCTTTTTCTAAACACAAACTTTTAAATTTCATGGGAAATATTGTAAAGATGATGTGGTAACGTTTAAAGCAAATCTGAGCGTAACTATTAATGTTTTAAGGAGATACAAGCAAAAAATAGTTTTGGCCGCGTTGTTGGAGGGCACGAGCATGGCCTGCAACATGGCGGCCAATACAAATCATGCTACTTTGTTGAAAAATCAAGGTGCAATAAATATCTCCCTTAAATTTGGCATCAGCATGAGTCCAACTCATTGTTTAAAGGGAGCACTGGTCACGCGACCTATTGATGGGTGATTTCGCCAGAAATTTTGAACCGACATGAGCAGTTACGACGTGACACTTAGCAAAAATAAAGCTCTAATGGCTCTTGGGATACGGTATTTTTTTTTTTGTTAGCCTGTTCTCTGAAAATATTTTCAAATTAATGGTCTTGGGTGTATCTATCTATCCAGCCGGTTTTTGCAGATCAAAGCTGAGGTGAATTAGTGTACTGTTTCAATGTTTGCTAGCTGAATTTAAATTGTTATGTAAGCCTTAATCAGGCACTTTTTGACCTCATTTTCTCAACTTAAAAATTTCTTGACTGAAATAATAAAACCGGTTTGAAACCTCACGGAGTCAGATTACTGAATAAATGTTCTAAAATTTGGACTCGGTGGAAATGCGTCTAGGGACCACTAGCTCACTGCCCGGCGTCCGGGAAAGGCTTTAAATCGGCCTTTGAATGATTTTGTATTCTTTTAAATTGCCAAGTAGGAAAAAGAGTCGTTTTTTTTTGCTTACCCGGTTTTCAAAAATCCAGGTATATAAAAAAATGTTTAAACATGAATTTCCTGAGTCCCAACGTCTTGTGTAACACATGAAAGCGATAAAGTCATTAGCAACAGGTCACTTAAAATGCATGCCAGTAGTCTAGGGAAAGATTTCAAAAAGAGGCCTACAAAAAGGGCTACTTACACTAGAACACAAAAGGTATTATTACAGATTCTAATAGCCAGATACTTGAAGATTGCCTTTGCTGGAGACAGAAATTAAAGCTTCGATATACTTTTTCAACGTGCCAAGGCCGTACTTGAACTAGAAAAAGAGGCAGTTTGTTCTACGGTCACACATTTGCCATCATGATGACTTTGCTATAAGCTATTTAAAACAGCTAAAAACAACTTAACGAACTGCATTGCAAAGGTTAAACAGATCGATGTATTCTGTTGTGGGTTTGGTACTTCGGGCAAGTATTCAACCGAATGTTCAGTTTTCGGTTGGGCCTCCTGTTCCTCATTATTAATGTCAGCTGATAAGTTGCCGGTAGCATTTGTTTTCTCGGCCTCTGGTTCTACTTTTAAGTTGCTTACTGTTGAATCGCTCGACGCTTTGTCGAGTTCAAGCTCTCCTGAACCATCAGCGTTATTTTGCGACGAGACAGACCCATTTTCTTGATTTGCATCGTCAGCAACATCGGATAATAGGAATGCTTCGTTAACGTGGAATATATACTTGCTGGCTCTTGACTGGATTATTACTTAATTCTGATTTGGTTTTGTGTCACTGGTCTTTTGCGCAAGTGCTGCGCTAGACGGGTACCCAGGCAATGATGGATAAAGACGGAATGCTGGTTTATCCTGGATCGGGTTAACAGTTGCATTTATCTCATGCTGAATTTTGTTCGAAGAGGACGACCTGACACCCGTTTTAACCCTCAATAATCGTTGTCGCAGTTGCTCCCTACTTTCACGTCGCGGTCGACTGCAATGAAAGCTAGCAAGTCAAAATGTACATAATTATAAACCTGATGAACGTGAAAAGTTGTCGTTTAAGGTCTAATAAACCTAGTGCCTTTCTGCCAATTTTGTTCACGTGTCCGTCTGCGTTGCCTTAGCTCTTAAAAGCGTGAACTCAACGAGAACGTAATTAATACAAATGGAAATCAAATAAAAGGGCTATTTATATTACTGAAGTTCGAGCGATATACCTATCAAATTGAGAACAACATTTCTAAACATTCAAGTCGTAAATCGCAGCATAAAACTTTTTAAAACTTTTATCGACTTTTGAGCCTACCGAGTTATTTCATTTTACTTATTTGTTGTTGTTAATGTCGTTAATTATCTGTCACATCATTAAAAATCGTCATCATCTTTGCCAAGTTTGGGACCTTTAATAATTAGGAACTAATCTACTAACACCTTTGATGAAGATCTAAAATGGCTTATGATGAAACATTTTGTTTTGCCACTAAGAAGACTTGACTTTGTGCCACCAGTAACCATAACAAGTAACCAAGGTCTAAAATGTTCTTGAGCAGCAAAGGTAAAGAGGAGAGAAATGCAGAGAGCAAAAACAAAAGACTTACGACTTAGTTTGACAAAGTACATAAATCGCTGCAGATTCAAGTGATTATTAAAAGCAAAAACTGAGAAATCTATCTGCTAACTCAAAGACAGTTTACCTGACCGCCGCCCGGTTAGCTTAATTGGATAAATAAGCGCCGGTGTGCCGTGTCGAGAGGTCAAGGGTTTAAACCCTGGGCGCGCAGGCTACGACACTCAGGGTCCTAATATAACTAAAAAGGAGTGTACTGCTGTTGTTCTGACATCTACTTGTACATTCAAAAATGTTTAGACATTCTGATTTTCTCAGACAAGGACGAAAGACCGTAGGCCCAGTCTCTTTCGCAGCTCACTGATTCTCGTGAAGATTAGAGGATATAAGCCCTGGTAGACAACCCTTCACGGGCTGGGTGGATATCGGTTGAGACGCATGCGCAAGTCCTGTCTCGACGTTCCTTCGAGACGAGACCACAACATAAGACTGAGAAAGATAATGCATTTAATCATAACCATCGCGAAGTTCTCAATTCTGATTGGCTATCAGCTGTCCAGATTTCAGCGCTAGCATTATAGGTCAGTGTAATAGGACATGACGAGTAGGCGTCATGCCTAAGTACGCGCCATCACGTGCGCACAAGTGAATGTGTGTGTATGTGTGTGTGTGTGTGTGTGTGGTTTTCTTTTTCACTGCTAGCAAAAAATCTGGGAATATATTGCGTATCATGTTAATTTTAAGACAGCTTTATCAAAAATTTTGTTGTAGTTATGATTAATTGGCAACATAACTTCGTCAGTCGTCCAATCCGGTCTGTACTTTCACTCGCGATTAAACAAATCGGGCGACCGTCGTCTGATTTGTTGGGTTTCCGTTGGTGTTGCGATTTGTTTAATCATTCGTATGATTAAAGGCCGAATTGGACTCCACTGAGTCCTAACAAAGAAAAAAAATCAAGTACAATAACATGGGAGCTCTTTTACTTTAATCAACAATATGAAAACAAAGAAGCAATTTGATTGCAAATTGAATGTATATAGATAAAAAAAATGCCGTAACGTTACTAATTGTTTTAAGCACTAATTTTACTGAAGCTGGTTGCACTGTTGCTAATATTTTAAGCTGAAATGCAAAGAATAACCATAATGTTGTGTTAGCAAATAACTGAGCTCATTTCCTGACGCCTTTAGTGAATGCACCGTGAACTATGATGACCAAGAGAAGTAGCATACGAACCATTCATAAGAGTTGTTGAGTGCAACTAAAAACTATTGGTAGCTAGCTTAAACAATCCATGGTAAATGTTCGCATTCTTACTCGGAGGCGAAAGTTCTTATCGGATTGTATGAAACAAGCCTCACCGTTTTACTTTCTTAGAAAACTCTCCAGAAAAATGAAAGCTTTGACCTACTCTTCAAAACCCCGTCCACACTATTGCCTTTTCGTTTGTAAACGCATAAATTTTGATGCGCTTCCGCCTTCCGTCCACACTGATGGGCTGAGCATTTTTTTCGAAAGTGGATCAAAAAGCATAGATGTCGTATAAGTGTGGACAGTCAAAAACGGTCGAAAACGAATAAAAACGAAAACGATGCCCGAAAATATAGCAGGCGCGTGTGTTGGTAGCATGCGCATAGAGTTCAACCTAGGTCAGAACTTGCAGTTCTACAGCTTTCGAACGTTTTAAGTAATCAACGGAATGTTCAGTCTTTGGTTGGGACTCCTGTTCCTCATTACTAGTGTCGGCTGATGACTGTCCTGCAACATCTTGTTTCTCGTCCTCTGGTTGTACTTTTAAGATGCTTACAGGTGATTCGTTTGACGCTATGTCGGGTTTAAGCTTTTCTGGGCCATCAGCGTCATTTGGCGGCGATTTGGACCCATTGTCTCGATTTCCATTGTCGGTAACATCGCATTCTTGGAATGCTTCGTTAACGTGGAATACTTGTTGGCTCTTGACTGGATTATAACTGAGTTCTGATTTACCTGCTTTCGTATAATCAGTCTTTTCCGCAAATGCCACGCTATACGGTTCCCCAGACAATGATGGATAAATGCGGGATGCTGGTTTATCGTGGATCGGGTTAACAGCTGGATTTTTCTCATGCTGAATCTTGTCTGGAGAAGACGAACTGTCATCCTCACTTACATCCTCCACTTCCACGGCTTGCTCAACAGCATGAATGTGATCGACGTGGCCTCTAGGAAAAGTACTTACAGGCCCCTTGTGTGCGGCATCGCAGTGCTTTAATCCTTCTTGGCTTGCCACACGTCTGTTATGACTGAGCCTGGATAAATGCAATTTGATAATCAAAGGATTGTTACATATTTTATTTTCAGACCACATTCTCCACTAAAAGCAAACGACAAACATAAAGAGCATTCGAGCGCGTCAGTGAAAAAACGAAAAACTAGAATTACCTGTCAGTCTTTTTGCATCCGATTAGAATGGCAGCAATAATAATTAAGAGCAGTCCACCACCCACCGACGCCCCAATAAGAACGTTGGTTGGTTTTGACTTTCCGTCGTTTCCCTTGTCGCTTTCCTCGTCTTTCTGTTGCTCTGTGCCGGATGGGAAAGGATCAACACTTGAGATTTCACCTCCAATAGATGTTTGAATGTTATCTTTATTGCCCATCACGATTTTATGTAATACCGTCTCAGGGACAATACTGCTTTCCGAAATTCCTTGTGGAAGACTCAAGTAGAATGCCAGTAAGACTACTTCAGAAGGATCGTCTGAGTGTTTGGGATAACCAGGAAGAATGTGAACCATGTCAGCCGTAAATGTGACGTTTACAGACGAGCGCCTTCGTCTAAAAAAATATGGATAACATACATGCAAATAATGAGAAAATAAAAACGAAATAATATAAAAAATTAAGGTAAGATCATGTAAAAGTAAAGATTAACAAACTGACGCAAATAATTACGAGGATAATGATGACGATGATGATGATGATGAAAACGAAGATGATACTGATGATGATGATGATGACCAATAAACGGATAAAGATTTTAGCGGAGCTCTTGCGCGCGAACCGTGCGCAGCGGAGCATTGTGTGTAAGAAAATGTGGTAAACTACCCATCGGAGAAAATTTGGTAAATACGTGACCGTAGACCGCCCGCCCGTCCGTCCGTCTGCACCACAGGCATACCAATGTAAAATATCTCAATCAACAGGTATGGCAACCCAAATGCAACTCGAGATTATTTTGACGGGAAAGCGCATAGCCATCCGCGTCTTGTGAAGCAACTAAAGAGCCAATGAAGACGAAAAGGGAAAGCGGAAATTTAATTAGATTAATTGTCATGTCCACAAATTTTGAATATAGTGCAAGAGAAAGACAGAGAAAAAGAGAAATTGGCGGCAGGCCAGCGAATCTCGACGAGAAAAAGGGCGAAGAAAATATAGAGCGAGAGATAGAAAACAAAGGGGACATTTTCTGTTGGAAGAAGAACATAAAGATTTTGTAGTGGCGGTGACAAAATGAGAAATGCTAGCGGCCACCGATGTAAGGGTGAAAATAAGCGGCAGTGACAAACAAAAGTGAACGAGAACACGTACGATATTTCCTCCATAAAACGTGTAACTAAGAAGTTTCTGGAAGTCTCACGTTGTAGTCGTGCAAAAAACAGCAAAGAAAGGTACAAAAAAAGAGTGTGCTGCACGTGCAAAGTTGCTTTTTTGCTAATTAGGACCTATTGCTGTTTTTCACCGTTCTCCGGCGTTGCCTTCGTCGCAAAGAATTACACTATCATGATTTTGTATTTTGTTTGAAGAAACTATAAATATTATCGAAAGCGTCGCTTTTAGCTCTGGCTAAATCTACATATATTATTGCAAAAAAATGTTCTTATTTCTTACCTCTATAAACGCTGTTTATTGCCATCAATGATCAAAATATTAAATTGCAGCTAGTATGCTTTAAAAGAACGGAAACATGAACGAGGAACCCGACGAAAGACTTTGGCAAGGGTTTAAAGGGAGAGGATGTTCACAAGATATGATCGTGGCAGTGGTAATTGCAATTTAAGCAACGCGACTTACTGGCCTCTGCGTTAGTGCTGCCCTTCTCTACCATTTGAGCTATGAAGAACCATACATTTGGAGCAGGACAATTTTTTGAGTTCATCTTAACCCGTGAAGAAACACGAAGACGATGTGAACAGCGGAATTCCAATTTTTAAATAAAGCCGTGATATTATTAATTTAAGAGTTCATTCGTATCTTGCAAACAAAAATAAACAACACCATTCACCTTGACTGCTCAGGGTAACATTGAGCTTTAGCACAATATTCCATCGCTGCTTCTGCAACTTTGTTTTTGAAAGAGCGTTCCATGTTTTGGTCCCACTGATAAATAAAAATAACAAGCAAAAAGGCATAAATAAAAAGCAAAACAACACCAAACCAAAAAAACAGCGTTACTACTACTACGACTACGACTACGACTACGACTACGACTACGACTACGACTACGACTACGACTACGACTACGACTACGACTACGACTACGACTACGACTACGACTACTACTACTACTACTACTAATAATAATAATCATAATAATAATAACACCTAATTTTCGCACGTCTGACTGGCCAAATATGGGCTTAGAAAAAACAAACAAAAAATATACAACAATAACGACAAAAACAAAATCTGCTAGAAATATTCCATATTAACCTTTGTTATGTAAAGCTGGTTTCTGGATATTAGCTTGGGTCATTCAAAACAAAGAAACAATGTTGTCAATGTTCCTTTGAAGAGCTTAATGTTATAGCATAGAAATCCAAGGTATCCAGGGTAAACTCCCGGTGGTGGGTGCTGTCTCACCTGATCCTTCTAACTATCTGCAAAGCAGCGCAGATATATCTTTTTGACGCTTAAAAGCTTCCTTTGCTATCTTGCTACCTTAAAATACCAACAGTTCCTTTTACGGCCGGGAACATAATAACGAGCTAGCAACTTCATTTCTTCAAAGGCTAAAATTTTAGTGAGGTTATTCCTGTAGCACCAATTAAAACAATCAAACCAAGAGCAAAAAACGAACAAACAAACAAAAACAACAATAAAAGTAATAAAAACAAGCTGCACGCAGTGTATGGACAATCTATTTTGGGCACTACTTAAGTTCACTGATCATGGCGTGAAACGAACGAACTACCGGTACCTTTTTTATATCCATATTCTTGACCTTCAACATAACTGATTCTCTCATCTCTTCTTTTGATGGCGTTTGTCTTTCTGGTGAATAAGTACTTGGTGGTAACCTGGAACCAGCTGCAGTGGGCGTCGAATAAGCATTAGCTAAAAGATGTAAAGTATAGAAAGGTTAAAGCTAGAGAGGGTTAATCTTCAAATGACAAAGGAGGTTAAACCCCAAAGGATTTTTTTGGTACACCAACATGGCCGCCGTCTCGTTGTTTTGGCACACCTATATAGCCGCTTATGTAATGTTAGAAATTTTATATGGAGCAGCTCGTTATATATAATGAACACTTAAGATAAAACGAGACCATAAAAGGTTACCACTGATCCATATGTCAGTTGGTCTTACAATTAGGAAAAGACAAGTTGATCTGCGTCCATAACATAGTATTATTATTATTATTACCATAATTTTGACGCCAAAATCTTGCATTATTAACGAAAGTAATAATAACAATGATAAAAAGCTAATTATAAAATCCTATTTACGATTAATTTCGATTTAAAAAAGTTTATTTCATTATTATTATTATCCCAAGCTCGGAGCCAATATAAACTTAAATTGGACTAAACTGGAAAAAAAAAAAAAAAAAAACAAAAAAAAACAAAAAAACAAACAAAAAAAAGAAACAAAGAAAGAAAAAAGGTGCAGAATGTTTACCTGAACAGAAACCACAAGACCGTCGACAATTTTGCCAGGACCAGTAGAAATGAGCGGAACAAAAGCTGTTTGAAAGATCTGAGCACACAACCTGACTATCAGAGCAACCCGCTGTAAAAGAGAGATAAACGATAAATAAGAAAATAAGTAACCAGCAAAAATCTGTTTACAAAGATAAAAGGAAAAAAAGGCTATTAAAAAATACATGTACAAAGGCAAGATACTGGCGTCCTTGATACATACCTCCACAAAAACCACATGTTTTTTCGCAATATTTTCGAGACAAATCAAAACTATTCACACAGAAATTTCCATGAGCGAATGATGAACAGAAGTTCGGGGATAGATCTAAACAACCTGCAAGAAACAAAAAGAACCAAATCTATCCTTAAGAACTGCAAGTGTCGGTTGAGATTGTTCCCGGGTCTTGCTTAAGTCATTAGTTATTGCCTGTGCCCATACACAAAACACAACGGCATAGTTATCTATCAGGCAGCACTAACTAACAATCTTTTGGTTAATTTTTTCAGGCATAGTAGTTAAAACTTGAGTAATCTTACCCAATTTTTTCAAGTGCTAATACATTTAAGCAAAAGTACCGCTTATGGAAGAGAGCTAAGCAGTCTAATTCACCAATACTCTGGGACAATTATAGGGCGAAACGTAAACAAATAAAAACTGCTACCAAGCGAAAACATCACGACTTCCTAATGAATATGCAGACCAATCTGAAGAAATTCTGGCCCTTCTACGGGGCAAAAACAAAATCTGCAAGGATTCCTAAAGTGGTCTGTTTTGGTGATCAGAAGGCTTCTACACATATAGCCAAGGCTAACCTAATCAATCGCTTCTTTGCCTCTGTATTTCAGAAGCCCAATTTGCATACAACAACAAGTACGCAAACAGCTACAGATAATGAGCTTCACCTAATTCAAACAAGCATCGAAGAAGTGACAAAAGAATTAAAAGCTATTAATCCATCGAAAGCTTATGGACCGGATCAAATCCCAGGGATACTTTTAAAAGAATGTACTTCTGAGATTGCTTCCTCACTCACGCGTTTAATTAAGCTATCTTTGCGTGTTGCCTGTGTCCCTAAGGATTGGAAGTGTGCAAACATTGTTGCTGTTTTTAAAAAGGGTAACAAAGAGGAGGTTATCAACTACAGACCCATTTCTTTATTAAGTCTTGTTTCCAAGATTGCTGAACGTTGTGTATTCGCTCATTTTTATTCTCTCATCGCTGGTAATATTTATCCGCTGCAGCATGCCTTTGTTAAGGGACGCTCAACTATCACCCAGCTTTTGGACAATGTGCATCGGATAACAAGCGCAATTGACCAGGGTGTTCAAACTGACGTCGCTTTTTTAGATTTCTCCAAGGCATTTGACTCAGTCTCGCACCCCCACTTGATCAGCAAGTTAGATCAAATTGGAATTAAAGGCCCTCTTCTGCAGTTGGTTCACAAGTTATCTGGATAACAGGGTGTAGCGTGTGGTAATCGATGGCAAAAACTCTGAGTGGTTACCGGTCACCTCGGGAGTCCCGTAGGGCTCCCTGCTTGGTCCTGCTCTGTTTGTGTTATTCATCAATGACATGCCTTGTGCTGTGTCTCAGACTAGCACATTGGCATTGTTTGCCGACGATGCCAAATGCTTCCGCACTATTAGATCTGCCAGTGACTGTGTGCTGTTTCAAGGTGATATTGATAACCTGGTTGACTGGAGTGATGTTTGGAAGATGGCTTTTAACATGGATAAATGCTCGCTTTGCACTATCACGAAGAAGCGCAATCCAATAATGTATGATTACAATATGACAGGAAAGGCATTTAAGAGAGTGGAGGCTCAGCGTGACCTTGGCGTTCTCATCACTTGTGATGCTCGATTCAATGAGCATATCTACGCCCAGGCGAACAAAGCTAATAAGATGTTAGGTTTTATCCGTCGTTCACTCAGCAGCAGGAGCGACCAGTTTCTGCCAACATTTAGATCTCTCTACGTGGCCCTTGTGCGTTCGCATTTGGAGTATGCCTCTGAAATCTGGAGTCCAAAGTCTGTCACCTTAATAAAGCTTATTGAGGGTGTCCAACGACGTGCTTCTCCTACCTAATTTAACTTACAATGAACGCCCTCAGCAGCTCAATCCTCTCCCATTGGTGTACCAAAGAGCAATTAAAGACATAACAACATTTTATAAACTGAAGTGTGGTTACTATAACTATCCAGTTGAAAGATATTTTGACTTTTGCTCAGACAAAAGATTAAGGTCATATTCTAGTAATAAGTTAAAGATCGGCAGGACTTTTCCGCGGGTGGCGGGTGGCAGGTGACGGGTGACGGATGACGGGTGACGGGTGACGGGTAGCAGGTGGCGGGTGACGGGTAGCGGGTGGCGGGTGAGGGGTAACGGGTGACGGGTGGCGGGTGGCGGTTGGCGGGTTAAAAATATATATTAAAATAAAATATTATAATAAAATATTATTATTGATAATGATATAACTGTATGTTGTAATTTTAAAATAATCTCAACGTTTATGTACTAGGTATCAGACTCCAAATAAAAGTATTTTCTTGTTTTGTTTTATCTACTTGCGCGGACTAAAAATGGAAAAAAAAAAACGAGAAATCATGCCTGTGAAAACACTCGCCTCTCCTTGCTCCGCACCGCAAGTGACGTTTCTTCAGGCTACACGCGGTGTGTCAAATGAAAATGGGCTATGTCAAGCAAGACACATGGCACATGTCGATCTTGTTTGTCTAGTTTGCTTTTCTTCCACATCAAGACGAGAGATGATTGCACTTCCCCAACTGTTTAGCCGTGTTTATAACAGACTGCAAGAGATTCGGCCTCCCGTGTCGTAGATCAGTTTTTGCCCTAGTATGCGGCATGATTGCCATAAATGAGTATTTTTAAGTACTATTTAAAAAATGCATATCCTTTTTGTATATATATACATACGAGATCAATTCGCGTCCGAGACGCCACATGCGGCGAAAACGGTCCATGCTGTGTCAAAAACGTTCTTGCTCCTTCTCTGGTACGCATTAACATTGACAGCTTTGTTGCTTTAGTCTTACGAAAATTTCTTTGTTTTCTCGAAATAGACATTTTGTTCATTTCAAACTACAAGTCGGGAACGAAACTGGCAAAGATTTATCCCACGGGCAAGGCAATGTTTATCCCAACTTATAACAAAAGAACAAACACACTTGTCAAAAATCTGAGACACTGTTCAAACATGTCGAGAAGAGAATGCGTTCTTACTTGTCTGGTCGCAGGATAAATATTCCTTTAATTTTTATGAGTTCCTCAAGCTATCTCGTGCATGCGATATCGTGTAGAATAATATTGCTAAAATATCGCTTTTTGTAATGTTTATTATTATTTTTATTTTTTTGGTTTCCCCTCTTTATTTTTATTTTTTTTTTTAATTTTTTACGGCCTGACCCACCACCCGCTGCCCGTCACCCGCCACCCGTCACCCGTCACCTGCCACCCGCCACCCGCGGAAAAGTCCTGCCCGTTAAAGATCAACAAAGTCAGAACCGCATTATTCAAAGGCACTTTTTTCAATAGATTACCATATTTATGGAACAACCTTCCTGATAAACTCAGGACCTCTAATTTACGCCTATCATTATTTAAAAAACAATGAAATGAGTTCTATAAAAAGAAGAGCTTCGACCCTGACCACCCGCATGTCACTTGGATGTAGTGATCGATGTTATTTTCTGATAAGATTAATCTAGGATATGACATGTTAGCAATTATAGTTTTTACATTTTAGATATAATTTTAATGTTTTCCTTTCTCTTTTTCTTTATTTAAGTGTCTGTTGTAGTTTTTGGGTGTAGTTTTCTTTTTTGCAGTGAAAATGGAATAAATTAAATTAAATTGAATTAAATTATTCATGTCTTCCTTGCCAACCGTAGTAAAGACGGCAAGAAACAATTTCAAAGCCTGAATGTAGTCTTTAATAACAAAACTTGACCATTACAAAGACTCGCTTCAAGCTTTTTTTTCTTTTTCTATCCCCTTTAATATGCACATTCTTACTGAAGTATCAACAGGTGTCGATGTATCCTACAATTTATTTTCCATCATAAAATCACTCAAAGGGCTCTTACAGATTAATAAATAACTAAATTCAGATGCCACATTCAAAGTAAACAACCCTTTCCATGGCTACAGTCTTTCGACGCCGGCATTAAGACCATATAATGCATCAAGCAAAATCACGAAATGCAAAGAAGCCCTTAAAAACGTGCAGTTTTAGTTTAAAACTTTCAAATTAAACATAACAGAAATAATTTTTGCAAGTTGCAAGTTGTAAGTTCTTGAAATAGTTCCTTCTTTTTCTCGAATGTTGCTCAGCGCAACCATGAATATTTTTGTAGCCTACGTAGTAATTATGGAAGTAGAAACTGAAAAAGAAAACGAGTTAACCACAAGCGAAGTTGTGCGAATTTAGAATCCCAAACGGAAGGAATGAACTTGTTAGCTATACAGAGCAACACAAGGCCACCGAAGTACAATAAAAAAAAAACGATCTAACGATCTTTAAACGATCGCTGGCCACTTTAAAACGGTAACAAGGTTTATCCACGGTGAAAATACACTTAGCTTTCCAGCTAGTTACACGCACCCCACTAAAATTATTAAATGTAGAACCAGATAGTCTAAAAAAAATTATCAGGATTAAAATAAAAACAACACAAACAGAGACAACAATTGGCAATCGTGGCCGGGAATTTGAATTCAGGACGACCTAAAAGTAAATTCAGCTGGCGGTCGGAGCGAAACAAGAACCTGGGACTGCCGGATTACTCAGCAAAGCACTGACCACTCAGTCAATAGCGCTGCCTCTCATATTGAAGATACTTGTGTTCTTCATCTTAGTTTCAAACGAAATATGTACCAAGTATTTTAAGTCTAATCAACAATTTTGGGGAATATTTACCTCCAATGCTTTGATTTGTCGGCAACACAGTCGGACTATTACAGCTTCCACTGGTGATTGCCACATCATCGATAGCTATATCTCCTCTATATGAAGACCCCACAATACCCTCAAAGGTTACCTATAAATAAAAGACGAAGAATCGGGAAGTGTTCAAGTACTTGAAAAGGTCAAACAAGTTGGGCTGCTGCAAGTGGAGACTAAAACGGCATTAAAAAAAAAAGTGATCAACACAAAGAAGGTAACTAAAGATTAACAACATGGCGAATAGCCAATTAATCATCACGTCTCTGCCGTTGCGCATAAGATCATATCGACATTTTAGTCCTAGCAGTATGCAGGACATTTGTCACATGAACCTATAGTTTAGTGGCCTTAGGGACGGACCATTAGAAAAGTTATGGGGGAGGGGGAGGGGGGGTGGAAATTTTCGAGCCGCAGAAAATTTTTTTTCGTTATCAAAATCTTTATGTGAATCTTTTTTAGGCCATAGCATGAATATTTTTTCGGGTTTATTGGCGGGCATGAATTTTTTTCATTTAATTTTCCCTTGGGCAAATATTTTTTTGGTACCCTCCTTCCCCCATAAGTTTTCTAATGATCCGTCCCTTAGCTCCCACGATCCTCCTGTGGCTTAGTGCCAGAGCAACTGGACTAAGGTGGAAGGTTCCACTCCTATTGGGAGTACCTGGGTTTTTTCCTCAAAGCCATCTGTGTCACTGGCTGAAAGATCAATGATCTTTCTAATAATTTCAATCTTTTGTGCGAATAAAGCGAAAAGGATCTTTAAAAATATCGTGAGAGGGTTAATTGGCAAGATAATCCGATAGATGCTTTTATATTCTAATGAGACCCGTCTTCTTCAACCGATCTAAGAACATGTTCAGGGATTTCTGAAATTTAATCTACAGAAAAGTCGCGTTTCCTTGAGAATCGAACTTTATCAAAGCCAGGATTCCGGATTCCACAGCAAACATTTCCAGGATCACAATGGAATCGGGATTCCATTACATGGGGAGAAGTCGCGTTGATTCCTCGAGAACCAAACTTATTCAACTTACGCTGTGTCGAAAATAAATTGTTTCCCTTGCTCGTATCCAGTATTTACCCTGGTTTCCAGATACATTGAAAACCATCTCATTTCCGCTGTAAACATTAAGAGTTCCTATGGTATCACCATACATGTGATAATAGAAAACGAGACAAGCTGCTGCGCCATTTCCAGAAACTGACACTTGAAGTGTTGCATTGTCACCTTGTCGCCTAGACGTTGCCTCTATATACATGTAGTAGCCTGCAAGAGCATTATGATGATGATAATAAGAATAAGAATAATGATATTGGTTATGATGAAAATATGATAATGTAAATTATCTATTAAGCAATTCGCTCTTCCATACACAAAGTACCCTTTTAGAGGAGAAATAATTTCGTTTAGTACTTAAGCTTCTCCCGTACACGCCAATCAGGGTAAGGTACAAAGACGATAAAACTACTGTCACTTAGATCCCCATGCCAGATGATTATACAATGTATCTCTCGTTCCGACAAAACATAAACTAAGAATAGGTAAAAGTTAGTCACCTTTTCATTTCGTTGCTACCAACACCATATTTATAGTTAAATAAACCCCTCTCCTTTTTTGTCCACCTCCCTCCACCTTTTCCAATATGGGCGAGGGTTAATTAACTTTGAAAGTTTAAACTTCCTAAAGAAATGAGTACAGGGTTTTTCAAGGATCATATAAATACGGCTAATTCTCAGTGTTATGGCTGCATGCATGAATAAGCAAACTAGTTATGAAAATGCTGTCGGTTGACGTTTATTTCTAATAGTTTTCTAATGTCTGCAATATAATGCATAAAGGAGCAAAAAAAAAATGGATTAAAATCCAAGCAAACAAACAAATAGAAATGACGATTAAGAAATATAGTCAAGTTCATAAAGGAATTGTGATCTTCTACACAGATTTATCGATATGCCAGCAGAGTAAGGCCTCATTTGCGAGGATCTTAATGGCGTGGTAGCTTTGACGGTTAACGTTTTTTTTTTTCATTTCAATTTTGACAGCTTACGGTTTAATTTTATAGCTTTTGAGGGTTAACGGTCATTAAGTGGAAACTTAGTTCAAAAGCTAAAGTAAATATGTACTTTTGTACAAATTAATATTTACTGTCGTGTTTTGGAGGCTGTGTTTGGCCTTTCACTCATGAAATTCCAAAATATTTTCAGGTAAAGCAAGTTCTAAGGTCTTGCAATTAAGAGATTCCTCAGGAGCCATAGCAAGACCGAGTCTGTGAAGATTAGCTAAAACAGCGAGATTTGAAATTCTTTTTGACGGTAACGGTTGACGGTTAAGTTTTAGGCCGATTGACGGCTTACGGTTAACCCCATTGAGACACTCATTTGCAGACTTTGTGCCGTGAGAAAAAAAAAAAAAAATATATATATATATATATATATATATATAGGAAGTCTGTGTTTCGATTTTTCCGTAGTAGAGTGCTCGATACGTTAAAGTAGAACGTGATATAAATATTGGAAGTAGGAAAAAAAACTAATGCCCTCTTAACGGAAACTGCCTTCAATCATCAGTTATCTACCAAGCAACCGTCAAACGTAACGACAATAACACTTCTGAAACATACATCGGACTCACAGAAACCCCCTTCAAAACTAGGTACAGAAACCACACTGCATCATTCCGTCACACAAAACACAGGAACTCTACGGAACTAAGTAAACACGTCTACGTCTGGTACCTGAAAGACAACAACATTGACTACTCTATTTCATGGCGTATCATTTCATCTAGCTCATCGTATAACAGTTCAAGTAAAAGGTGTAACCTTTGCCTCAAAGAGAAATTTTTAATTATCTGTCGCCCCAATCTATCATCACTTAACAAACGTAACGAACTTGTATCTTCTTGCCGCCACAGAAACAAAGCGTTGCTATGTAACAATTAAACATTTAAATTTAAATTTTCCCTAACAATGTAATCTCAAAGTATATAGTCGATGGTTATGAATATTCTTATCATTAAAATCTCCTGAAGAGTGAGAGATCACGAAACAGGCTTGTCGGGATGAAAGTGTAGTTTTTTTCCTACTTCCAATATTTATATCACGCTCTACTTTAACGTATCGAGCACTCTACTACGGAAAAATCGAAACACAGACTTCCTATATATATATATTAATAATCAGAGGAGTTCAGGCTTCAGGATTAATCATTGATCGTTTATTGCGACAGTGCTGTTTCGTATGGTCCGAAATTGTAGGACCACACTCATCAGGCAACTTCAACGATATAGAGATGCGTTAAGAGATAGTATCTAGGTAATAGATGGATTGTGTCTTAGTTACGTTACTCTAGAGTTCTGAAGTACATATCTGTTTCTGTGGGGGCATGAACTCGCTAGTTCGTTTCGCCTGTTTAGGCTACAAAGCTCTTTTTTACAAATGATGATAAACTTTTCATAAAGACAAAGATTACATTTTTTGCTAATGTTGCTATAGGCTTTACATTTCTTTAAAACTTTCCATTTTATCTGGAAAGGTTTGTTAGAGTCTTGTAAAGTCCAAATATATTTTGATAGTTCCGTTTCATTTCTTCTGTTCGAGCGTCGAAAGGAGGACTGATGGTTTCTGTAACGTTCCATAAAGTTTGTTGCCAGTCCGACGTAAGTTTCAGTTGTCGTCGCTGTAGTTACACTGGCTTGGTAGATTACATTTGATTGGAGGCATTTTCCTTCGAGTGGACAATCTGGTTTCTTTCTGCAATTGCAGGTGTCAGGTTGTTGCGTTGGTGAGTTTAAATTTGAAAGAACGTGCTTGTTGTGTGACGAGATGACAGATTTCATGTTAGGCATGCATGAGTAGCTTAGTTTTAGCGTGTGTCTGTTGAAAATCTTGTGGAGTGGGTGGTTTTTTGGAAAGCATTTGTCGACGATGTGCAGAAATTTTCTTCCAAGGTTAGTTCTGACGTTTGAGTTGAAAGGAGGGTTGTACCATGTGATGTTTCTTGTTCGTTTTCTTTTGTTTTTCGGAGCTTTCTCTTGTGGGGGGTTGTATGCTAACTTGTGGTCGTATCCGCTTTCTGTTAGAGCTTTCTGGTAAGGGGCAATAGATTCGTCAAATACTTCTTTGCTGCATGAGATGCTAGTTAACCTTTTGTTAATGTTGAGTGGGATATTCTTTAGTAGTGCTCTAACAGAAAGCGGATACGACCACAAGTTAGCATACAACCCCCCACAAGAGAAAGCTCCGAAAAACAAAAGAAAACGAACAAGAAACATCACATGGTACAACCCTCCTTTCAACTCAAACGTCAGAACTAACCTTGGAAGAAAATTTCTGCACATCGTCGACAAATGCTTTCCAAAAACCACCCACTCCACAAGATTTTCAACAGACACACGCTAAAACTAAGCTACTCATGCATGCCTAACATGAAATCTGTCATCTCGTCACACAACAAGTACGTTCTTTCAAATTTAAACTCACCAACGCAACAACCTGACACCTGCAATTGCAGAAAGAAACCAGATTGTCCACTCGACGGAAAATGCCTCCAATCAAATGTAATCTACCAAGCCACTGTAACTACAGCGACGACAACTGAAACTTACGTCGGACTGGCAACAAACTTTAAGGAACGTTACAGAAACCATCAGTCCTCCTTTCGACGCTCGAACAGAAGAAATGAAACGGAACTATCAAAATATATTTGGACTTTACAAGACTCTAACAAACCTTTCCAGATAAAACGGAAAGTTTTAAAGAAATGTAAAGCCTATAGCAACATTAGCAAAAAATGTAATCTTTGTCTTTATGAAAAGTTTATCATCATTTGTAAAAAAGAGCTTTGTAGCCTAAACAGGCGAAACGAACTAGCGAGCTCATGCCCCCACAGAAACAGATATGTACTTCAGAACTCTAGAGTAACGTAACTAAGACACAATCCATCTGTTACCTAGATACTATCTCTTAACGCATCCCTATATCGTTGAAGTTGCCTGATGAGTGTGGTCCTACAATTTCGGACCATACGAAACAGCACTGTCGCAATAAACGATCAATGATTAATCCTGAAGCCTGAACTCCTCTGATTATTAATAGTCAATGCTCTTCAATTAAATGAATTGAGCGCTCTACGGAATACGTTCTACCCAGAATACAAGTATATATATATATATATATATATATATATATATATATAATTGACAGTGGTCAAGAAAATGGTCTTGTCGACTGATAGCTTGCAGATACTGTGGAATTATTCAAAGTGAGATTGTATGTACCGTTTCCACTAGTGTGATCTGATGAAGGCCCCGTATTTGAAGATGACGTATTTCCTCTTCGGGGTGTCCAGTCAAATATGTCTGAGGAAGACTGACTCCATCCATAACACAATCCATAATCAAAGTTACAAGATGCTTGAGCAGAAGGCGACGTCCAGGGGGACCACGTTGTCCAAGGCACGGAAGTTGTTGGTGCTATTAGTATAGAGAAGTTGCATATTATTTTAACGTCTCCCGACTTTCAGTTCTGGCGGCAGCAAATAAACAACCAAAACCAACAACAACAAAGATGAGATCTTAAACTATAGTCAATATTTGCCTCAAATAATATTATCTTGCTAGTTTTTTCAAAAGCATTCATACCAGGACGCGCTCACACATTCATGGTTCGTTACTAAACAAAACAAACATGATATGGTTTTTATTGTCACATACCTAAACATATCACCGATGCATCTTCGCTGTGGCCGCAGTTATGGGAGCCCCATCCGCGGTGCACACAATAGAGAATAGAACTTTCACTCCCCGAGCATGCAACATCATCCAGCCAAATTTGACCACTTCCGGCTCCGAATCGGGCAGATCCTGGGGCACTAACCGCACCAGAATATCCAAGCTGGCGACAAACAACTCGCGCGTCAAATATATCCCAGGAATCATCACAAACAGTTCCCCAGATGTTGTTATGATATACTTCGACTCTTCCTTCCCAGCTTCTAGATCCTCCAACCAGCCGTAAACCTAACAATGGTAGCAGAAAAAGTCAAAACGCAGTCTATAGCATGACTTAATTTCAGAGGTAGATTTTAATTTACTCGAATAAGATATCTCTGGCTCCCCAAAACACTAAACAGAAAACAAAAGACGAAATGTTTGCCTAAAATGTGCTTGAAATGTAAAACATCTTGCGCAGATTTTCCTCGAGATGCAATCCCAATTGGAAGCTAGGAGGCGAGCCAGTTGGCTATTTTACAAACACAAGCGATGATCTGAATTGGGAACTGCCAAGAGCAAATCCTCGGGAATAGCAAAAACAATTCCAGCTGGCGGTCAGGGCGAGATTTGAACTCAGGGCCTGTCACCTAAAATTCGGAGTAAATGTTACTTCTCCTTGCTAACTATACTTGGCAGCGTGGCCTAGAGTTGAAAGAAATAAGGTGTATTCACCGTGAAAATGCACTTAGCTTCCCAGCAGCATGAACAATTAGAAACAGTAAATCAACCAAATAGAACACAGCTTTATAACAATTACAACAACAACAACAAATTAAACAACTTGCAAATGGCAATCTGCAGCTATTTACAAGTGTGGTCCATTTAAATTTGGGATGGCCGCAAAACAAATCCAGCTATAGCAGTCGGAACGTGGCCAAAATTCGGGACTGCCAGATGACAAGAAGTATGGACCACTTGGCCACGCTGCCTCATATAAAGAAAATACTTTTCTCCTTTAATTGGCTGTCTTAACTTTATGGGGAATACACATAAGGAATATCACCAAATATCTTTAAGACTAATCAACTGCTGGGCTATGTACCTCCAGCGCCAGGATTCGTCGGCAACACAGTGCGATTATTACAGCTTCCATTGGTGATTGCCACATCATCGATAGCTATATCTCCTGTATATGAAGACCCCGCAAAGCCCTCAAAGGTTACCTATAAATAAAGTACAAAGCAATAGAGTACCGAAGTGTGACGTCATAGAAAATGAAATTTGTGAAATTATGAGATTTGTTGAGCTATTCTGAAAGAACAACGTCCAAGACGCCTACTCGCCAAAAATTAGCAATTTGGGGCAAATTGTCTCTGAGATATTAGCCCAGATATGCTCCAATGACTCCATACAAATCCTTCTAAATCTTACCTGGTTCCTAATCTTATGAACCAAGCCAAATTTAGAAGGATTTGTATGGAATCGTCACAGCATAACTGGGCTAATATCTCAGAGACAATTTGGCCCGAATTGCTAATTTTTGGCGAGTAGGCGTCTTGGACGTTGTTCTTTCAGAATAGAGACCTTAAGATACCCCGATATCGGTGTACGGGTACGGGTAGTGTACCCGTACACGTAAAATGTTCATGTGCGTGACCATTTCGATTAAGATACCCGAAGAACAAGCACGCAAAATTAACTTCGTACATGCATGTCGCTTAATGCATACAAAATCTCCCTCAAATTCTACACTTCATATCTTAACAACAAGCTGCAACAAATAATTGATTCATACATAAGCTTATTGAAATATCATGGAAAGATTTTAAGAAACTTGGCGGGAAGTCCCTCGACCGAAAGCTTGTTATCGCAAACCCCGCCGTTTTGATCGAGGCACATCACCAAACAATTCCTTTGATTGTCAACTTCAACAGTGGCTCCCATGCCAAATATTTCAATGCTATTTCTTTTGCGAAACTCAAACCTTCGAGCAATTCTCAGAAATCCCCCCCGAATACCGCCACAAATTGACATCGTTTCAGAGTTCAACCTGCGCATTTGAGGTCCAAAATCACTATACATTTTGAAGCGCTTTCTTTACAGCTAAAATTCAAATTTGGCAAAAATATTTGAACAGACTTGCAATAACATTGCCAAGGAGTCATACAATTTACATTTGTACTTAAAAAGTCTTAAAAACTTACTCGCTTCTCCATCATGTAGGACTTGCAGCTACTCGTAAATCTTCTACGGGTAAACTGGTGTCTACCCCGGAAAAACGGCTGGTTTTACCGGGTAAGGTCGATGACGTCACCACAAAATGGAAAAAACATGGCGCTACCCGTTACCCGTACACCGATTTCGGGGTATCTTAAGGTCTCTAATATCTTAACAAATCCCATAATTTCACAAATTTCATTTTTATGACGTCATCACTTCGGCACTCTATGGGAAGTCTTCAAACACTTGGAGAAAGTCAAACAAGTTGGATCGCTGTATGCGGAAACCGTAGTTGATATTAAAATTTATAAATAAATAAATAAAATAAAACCATGACTTATAAGGGAAGTAATCGACACAAAGAAACTAAGGGTCACATTACCCTCAAAATGACATTTATATATAGCGGCCAATTTTAATGGAGAATAGGTATAAGAGATAAGAATATCGTAAGGGGGTTTGCCAAAATAACACAATAGATCCTTTTGTATTACATGTAGGGTTTTCAACCGATCTCTAAAGATCTTCAAAGATTTCTGCAAATATTATGCCCTCTGAAATCTATGACCAACGGTCGCTCACCCCATTAAAGGGAATGCAAGACATTCTTGGATTCTGGATTCTTGATCTTTGTCAGTAGAACTTGGATTCCGGATTCCAATCTTAGTGGGATTCCCCATTCCTAGAGCGGTTTTCCGAAATCAAAATTAAAGCCAGGTTTCCGGAAACCACAAGCCAAAAAAAAAGTATCCAGGATTCCGGAATAGGCGGACTTACATGGGGCGAAGTCGTGTTTCCTTAAGAACCAAACTCTATCAAACTTACACTGTGTCGCAAATAAATTGTTTCCCTTGCTCGTATCCAGTAGTTACCCTGGTTTCCAGATACACTGAAAACTAACTCATTTCCGTTGTAAACATTAAGAGTTCCTATGGTACCACCATACATGTGATAATAGAAAACGAGACAAGCTGCTGCGCCATTTCCAGAAACTGACACTTGCAGTTTTGCGTTGTCACCCTGTCGCCTAGGGGACGAAGTCTCTATATACATGTAGTAACCTGAAAGAGCATATTGATGATGACAATAATTAGTAAAATCCAACTAGTGGTCTATTATCAATGATGCGTTCTGATTGGTTGAGCTACTACTAGGCTATATGTTATAGCGTCCTAGTAGTGAAAAGCGCGGGCTTTTTGGCGGCAAAAAAGGATTAAAGTCTAGCTTTAACTAGCTAAAATGTTTTCTTATTCTTGATATTTTTTGACCAACTAGCTGGATTTTACTAAAACAATTATTCCTTTCGCCCTCATGGCCTCTGAGTTAATAGCCCATTCGGCCTTCGACCTCATGGGCTATTGACTAAGAGCCCATTCAGGCTCGAGCTATAATTGTTAATAATAATAATAATAATATTAATAATAATGATGATGATGATGATGATGATGATGTAACTTAAGGTATTTTAAGGTAATGCAGAACATAGAAAGCATTGTATTTGACCGAACACGTGATACAGAACTGAGAATCAACGACCCGTGTGCGTCTTTATGAGTACCCTGCTCATCCGGTCTTCAACCAATCGTCGGGTGGCTTCATTTAAAACATTTCAAGGGGCCAAATGCGACAACTATACGCGTGTTTCTCGTAAATTACGGTGATTCATGACATTTCTAAACAAATTGAACAGCGCGAGCGCGGAGGTAAAATCTTTGCTCGTTGGCAATTAGCGATACCTATATCTAGAAATAATAACAATAATAAATACTTCGAAATAACTATAGCAGTGTTGATTAAAATATATTTTGTATTTACGGCTATTTTTCATTAAGCTTCAATGAAATCGAACTCATTTCAATTTACAGCGTAATTGTTTGTACCGTTTCTAGTAGTGTGATCTGATGAAGGCCCCGTATTTGAAGATGAAGTACTTCCTCTGTGGCGTGTCCAGTCAAATATGTCTGAGGAAGACTGACTCCATCCATAACACAATCCATAGTCAAAGTTACAAGATACTTGGGCAGCAGAAGGTGACGTCCAGGGTGACCACGTTGTCCATGGTGCAGACGTTGCTGGTACTGTTGGTAGAGAGAATTCGCTTATTATTATTATTATTATTATTATTATTATTATTATTATTATTATTATTATTTTAATAATCACGGCTTTGGGGTTCAGGTGATAGCTGCGCACTGTACGCTAACAAACAAACGAACAAATAAAAAACTCCAATGATAACTTATTAGGTCTTTTTCCTCAACTCTATTACTAATGTATCGTCCACGCTATTGATTATATGCTTCCAATAAACGTTTTTCTAATCAGTTTTGTAAAGGGTTCATATCAGGACGTTCCCCCACATTATAAGATACCTTACTAAGCGAAACGCACATAATATGACTATTGGTTATTGTCATGTCCAACATACCTCTAGAGCATACAACCGATGCATCTTCCCTGTGACCGCAGTTATGAGAGCCCCAACCTCGGTGCCGACAATAGATTATGGAACTTTCACTTCCCGAACATGCAACATCGTCCAGCCAAATTTGACCACTTCCGGCCCCGAATCGGGCAGATCCTGGGGCACTAACCGCACCAGGATAGCCAAGCTGGCGACAAACAACTCGCGCATCAAATATATCCCAGGAGTCATCACAGACAGTTCCCCAGATGTTGTTATGATATACTTCAACTCTTCCTTCCCAGCTTCCAGATCCTCCAACCAGTCTCAGGCCTATAGTCCACGAAAATAAGGGTAAGTGAAACGTATTTATTTCCGTTTTTTTTTTCTTTTAGATACTGTCTCAGCCTTTCTGTAAAGGCGAAGGGTGCACGAACGTACACCAGTTTTAAATGTCTTTGATAGAAATAATCAACCCCATTTGACTGGCATTTAAGTTTTTTGATTGCTTTATTTTTCAGCTATCTTACTAAGCCATTTAATAAATAATACGTGCAATAAACGTTATAAACTGTAACCCTTTCTTGGTTTAGAAGAGACCGTTAATTTCAGTTTGTAAACCGCCAATATGTAAATGAATAAACAAAGTTGTCGTTCTTTGTTGTTCTTGTAGTTTTGCCGATCCGAACAACGAGTAACGCTTGAACTTATATTTTAGCTGTTCGACGCTTGCTCAACGAGAAAACTCGCAAAAGTACACTGCGAGTTGATCGGGCATAGTGATTGATCGAGAGAGATCTAAAGCCTAACCATTGCCAGCGTTTTGGTAGATTATTTTGTACACTATTTTAGACTTTAAAAATGACTTGGGAATTAGTAAATATTACGTATATTATTATTATTATTATTATTATTATTATTATTATTATTATTATTATCATCATCATCATTCACGTTCCTCTTCAGACCGTACCTGAGACGCCAGAGGGAGGTGGAGAAGGAGTAACAAAGCCATTCATTTTGTTGGTTATCCAGGATTTTAAGTTACGAATGTTTGCGTACACAGTTGGCTTTAAAGGGGCGGCACAAGGAAGGCCCCCCCAGCTCGTGGCTCCTTCAAGATACCATTTACCATTAAATTCGCAAACAAGCGGCCCTCCACTATCACCATGACAGGCACCCTGACCTCCCTGCGCCTTTCCAATGCATATCATGGAGTCGTCTATTCTTCCAGGGTAATAACTGAGACAGCGTTGCTTAGATACGAGTGGTAAATCAACCTGCATGAGTGCGTTTGGCTGTGGACCTAGGTAGTAAAGTCTTCCCCAGCCAGTGATCCAACAGGGCTTGTTAGAATTATCAAAGGGAAGCTGAAAGTTTATATCTGGAAGACAAACTAGGCCAACTCCTTTGCTAAGGCTAGCTGGTCTTGATAACCTGAGCAAGGCAATATCGTTGCTATAGCGGTTGGGAGAGTGATAGTTTTCGTGTTGGATTATATTTGTAACGTCAAAGTCTTGTTCTGTTCCAACTGAATACCACAATCTGTAATGTGCTCCCAATCTATATAAACGAAAAAAATAATAATAATAAAAGAAAAAATAATTAAAAATCTTATAATAATAATAATTAACAATAATATTTTTGTAATTAATGAAAATACGTTATTAAAATCTTATAAAAAACTGCACACAAAACTTCAGTAACATAATCATGAAAAGAAAACGTCAATATCAATACATCACATGGAGTTTTCAAGTCAAAAGTCCCAGTGGATGACATAAGTGTCAGTGCGCTGATTCTAATAATACGGATAAGTTTCTGAACCATGAGGCGAGATATAAGTCTATTGCTGTTCACTTTCCGTAGCAATTTCCCGATAAGGAGACGTAACTTATGAAGTAACTGAGCATTTCAGTATTCTTTAGCCTTGTTGGGATGGCGCGAAGGTAAGTGTAAATGAACTCTGCATATTGATCTGTGTATACATGAATGCATAGCGGATTCGATGTGAATGCACTGGGAGGTGTGAATGCAAACGAGACGTACAGTAGATGATTTGTATGGATTTGTTCTTTTTACTATAGATTCCACAACAATACTCTTATCAGATGGGATTCGGAATGATACGAATGTCCCTTCTAGGCTACCAAATTGTTAGGCCCTGTTATAGAAGAACTGGGTATTGATTATTATATATCTTTGCAATGGTACGCCACGCTATCAAGCCCTGTCCTAACTTCCTTACGGGGGTGCATACCGGCAACCGTCTCCTCCCCAGTTTATATATCATCTTGTACTGAAAGCACATTTAGAGTTGCACTTCCAATTTCACTGTACTGGTTTATCGCTTATCGTCAAACCGTGTACAGTTAGACCTCTTACTCTTACCTCACTTTAACATCCGACAGAGCCCTGCTTCTTACGCAGTGCGTTGCTGTTAAAACCCATTGAGGATGGATTAAGGAGCCTCCACAGAATTGACTACCGCTTCTTGATAGCAGCATTGCCTGCCAGGGCCAGCTATTTTTAGGTGCCTCAGACCCGTTAACAATCCGTGGGGTATCGACACTGGGCCTTATACCGCATGTTACTGTAATGATAATATAACCACTCTATTCATTATGTATTGTACACATTATCTGTCTTCTCATTGGCTAAGAGCCTACAGCTAATTTTTGAAATCAGAGCAACCTACAGATTAGTCAGTTTTCTGCGCGCGCAATGCATGATTTACAATAACGATATCAATTCAGTTTCCTTGCGACGGTGTGTTTGTCGTTATATTTCCAAAACAATGTATAATAAAACAATTATTAGATTCGGTTTTGTGATATCCTAAATAATCGAGGTCTCGGTAAGTGTTATCAGCCTTGGCCTTCGGCTCGGCTGATAACACTTACCTCGACCTTGATTATTCCGGTTATCACAAAAACCTCATCCAATAATTGTTTAAAATCAATACATTTTCAAAAAAAATCGACACCGAGAAGCACTAAGGATTATTGGAAAAAAAATATGAATGTTCCAAATAAGGACAAATTCCTGTGTTTGCTCAAGACGTTTTGCACAGTTGAAGTCCATAAAAAAGTGCCTATAAATGTAAATGATATAGCACTACCTAAAATTCATCATGGTTTAGAAAAGAGCATACTTTTTGCCTCAAATTTGTCCACATTTTTCAAGAAAACGGCAACGGTGAAGTTTAGTCATAAAACAGATACGAAAATTAGACTTCATTGCTTTAGCCCCAATCCACATACAAAATTCTCTAGACTAATCTCCATAAATTTCCTCAAAAAAATTAGTTAAGACCATCTGACATAAGTTCAAAGCATTTTCCCTTCGGTGATAATTTTATCAATTATTATTACCTTTTTTTTTCTCTTAAAATATTTAGGGAAAATTGATGTTGGTCACTCTTCACAGTCGGAAAAGTTAAAAGTACCTAATTGTAAAACTTTTCTTATCATTAACACAGGGTTCGTACATATTTCTAATCCCAAAGTCAAGACTTTTTGCAGACTTTTTCCAAAACAATAAATTTCTTTTGCCAGACTCAAGGTTATCAAATATGTGATCAATAGAGACTTAAGGGGAAAAAAAGTTGGAAAAAAAATAATAAAATAAAATAACTTGTGAGGCATTTCTTGTAGCTTTCAAAAAAACTCAAGACTTATTACATGTACCTTTTTTTTTCAAGACTTTTTCTTTATCTAAAGAAAATAACTGGACAAGTTTCAAGACTTTTTCAAGAATTCAAGATTCTGTACGATCCCTGTTAGCAAGAAAAAGAAAAAAAAACAGTGGCGTTTCGTCTCTTACGATTTGCCGTCATGGTGGCTTCTTGTGGAGTTTTGTAAGGCTTCCCCATTGCGTCAATCCCAACGACTTCCACTGTATAATTTGTTGAATGAGTGAGTCCGTTGATTTCCGTGGTTAATTGATCCCCATCCACGATCTGATGCAATGATACACTGTTATTTCTTCTGTTCAAGAAGACAACGTAATGGCCAACTTTACGGTTAAGAACGTTGGTAAGGTTTGTCCACCGAATTAATATGCTTGAAAAGGTGGTGTTCTCCACTGTCAAATTCCAACCAAAAAGCATTTGAGCTAAACATGGGAAAAAGATATATATTAAAAAAAATAATACATATACAGTAATCTATAAAGTGTTCTAACAGAAATAGAAAGAATGAAATATAAAAAACTTCATGAGTGGTTTCAAGGGAAACAAAATTAACTATTTCCCGAGGGATTAGTCTTTAAGCGGTTTGTTATATACCTGAAAATTGATTTAACCTAGCTGTAAGGGCGGTTGTAGGCCAATATCCGCGGGTAACAGACCCTCTGACGCCATAGATTTTGCAATGATCATAGATTTTGGCCCGAAACAGTTTCATTGTTAGATGTCATGTGACCTCAAAGTAACCAATAAGAGCACGCGCTGTTGGAAAATTTCCAGCTAAATAACAATGATTAATAAAAGTTATATAATCGTGCTAAATAACTAAAGTCTACTTGCGCCAAACTTCAAATTGAACCAAAGGGAAACTAATGGCGAGTTTTAAGCGACCCAGCTCATTTTAAGGAAAATTAATGAAGATAAAAAAGACAAGATTAAAGATGAAGTTGTTGTAATCTCACATCAAAATATTCATGATTACCGCATGCGTAACTCCCTTCTCCTTATTTTAAGAAGTCTACAGTTATATTTTTTATGTCAGGGCGCTTACAAAAAGTCAGACCCTGTCATTTTATAAGGCTTAAAGGCAAGTGACATGCAAGTGAACGATACTGGGGTTTACCTGCATGAACACTTTTCCCCAGTATCAGGTAATCAGCCTTGATAGTACTTCTCAAGCGACGCATGTTAAAACTCGCTGTAATGTTGTTTGACGCAAAGAACGGTACCTCTACCAATAATCCATGAACAGAGGATAAGCAGCCGCTTTGGTGAAATTTCAGAACCCCATTGCCGTCAAAAATCTTGAAATATTCACTGTGGTAGTAATGACAGAATATATAAAAGCACCTTAAGACAATTAATTCCTTTTTCATTTTCTTTACAAGATAGGAAAGTATGTAGTTAAATTAAATAACAGGCACTCGAAGGAGTCAATCTATGATCGTTCATACCTCGTTTGACTGCTCTTCTTATACCTTGGTCCAACAGAGATGAGAAGTGTGACGTCACGTTGCCATGGTAGCAAAATTTCTGGATCACAACAATAGGGAATTTTTGCAACGGCGACAGCGAACAGCAAAAAACAATAGGTTTAGATTGGCAAAAAACAACAACAACAAACAACAACAACAAACAACAACTTTTCAGGTACATCAGGCTTATTTGTACATTTCTTAGCCGTTGTAGCACGATTGCGACTGGAAACGTCCTAACTTCACGCACCCACTTTATGGAGTAGATGAGCACAACACACAAACGTTTTCTTTTTCTAAACTTAGATACGGTCCTTTCGGATTTAGTCCAGAATATTTCGCCAACATTTTACACATTAAATGAAATTCAATAAGGTCGATGAAGTTTGAAATAGTGCGCATCTACCTTTTAAGTAATGTTTTGGTCTGTTGTCATCCGAAAAGCTTGCTACCATGGCAACGTGACATGATGTGACGACTTCTCCTGTCTATTCAGCACAGACAATAAAAACTGCCCCAAATAACGAAAGGGCTGTTCTTGAAACCAACACGTTTTAACAATATTACGGTGGCTCTTTTCCTCTAGAAATCAATCATGGTTAATGTGGTCCGTAATACATAATAGAAGGCAACTATTTGAGGTTTAGAATTGAGTGGCATCAGATTTTGTTCAGTAACAATAACAATGAATACCTGCAATAACCGAAGCGTATCTCCCGAATTAGCAGTAGACCAATTGCTTGGGGGATACCGGTATTCCCAATTGACCAGAAGCAGTATAAGCTGGTGTAATCAGAATGTGTCACATTCATATCGCCAGATGATTGGTTGACCACCACCTTGCAAGCTGTAACCACAATGATTAGTAGACACTTTAGAGTCTGCTTTGAACTCTAAATAAAATAAAATATTGATAAAAGCGCAACATCGGCTGACCGCACCCCACAAAAGATTATCACCTGTTCAATGTGCCTCCGGCCCAGGAAAATACCCTGTTTAAGAACCATACCCTGATTAGTACCGCCCCCTCTCCCTCTTAAAAAAAAGTCCTATTGTCACGTGCCTGTTTTTTCCCTTCTCACCCATCGGCATTTTATTTTTCCTTTCACTCTTGTTGCGTCACATCGCGTCGCCGTCGTCATCGTCGTCGTCTTGTTTTGTTTGTTTGTTTCAATGGTGATGCCTCAAGATTAAAATTGACTATTTTGCCTTAGGTTTTACCTGTGGTAACATAATAAAACGAAGAACGTGGTCCTTCTCCTTTGGATGTATACGCCGCCACAGAAACATCATAACGCTGGGCCGGTCCTAGTCCTGTTATCAATGCCCATGTCATGTTAGGACTGCTGGTGACTAAACTGCTTGTATTAAAAGGCATTGGAAAATAGGCGCTCCTCCTGAAGTAAACTCTATAGCCCAACAATCGTCCATTGTGAAACTGCTGAGGAAGAGGATTCCAAGTAACCTTGAACTGCGTTGTCGTTACTTCAGAGAACAATATATTGCTCGGAGCAAGACCAGGAACTAGAACGAAATAAAACATGAGAGGCTGTTAGACGGGCACATTTGCATTTTAAGACTTCTCATTAGAAGTTTTATACATTAAGCACCCCAAAAATGCATTAAATAATAATAATGATGATGATAATACTAAAAATAATAATAATGATAATAATACTAATAATAATAAGTAACATAATAATTAAAGGAACAATAACGATAAAACTTTATTCAATAAATATATAATGTACATAATTTCCAGAAATATTTGACGTAAAAATTAAATACTATTTATTGTTCATTCAAAATATTTTCCCGATTCTGATTGGCTAAAAGCACAGTCACTTTTAATTCACCATAACCAGTTACCGATGAACAAATTTGGAAGAATTCTGTGTTTAACGAGGAAATGACGTCAAAAATGCAGCGTTTTGGCAGGTTAAGGCACCGTTAACCGAGAAGACCTGGGGACGAGGTTGAGTTGTTTTGGTTGCGAACTTGAAATATGGCAGACATTTCACTCGCCTCAAGAGTAAGAACTAGGCGAAACAATAGCTAAAAACATGGCAAGAACAGCAAGAAGACAACTTGAAGGGCGACATATGCTATTTGGAGAATATTTGCGGAACTGCACAAACCTAAACGTGCACTATCGAAGATGAACTTAACGTCGATGGATCGATGGATGTAACCATGTTTCAGCCATGTTTTTAAACTAGGAACTATTTTGAATGAATAATAAAACAATTATTGAATTCGGCTTTCGTATCATATAAAGAATTATGGAGATCTCCATAATTCTTCTTAAGATACTCAGCCTCATTCATTAATTGTTAAATAACATTAAAAATTATATAAGCCATAAAAAATAAAATCCCTGTGTCAATACCGATTTCCCAAATACATTCATTGCGGCTCAGAAACGATTAATATCTCTTGCACACAGTCCAGGGTTTTAAATTACGTCGTAACAAAAGAAAATTATCCTTTTCTGATATTAAAGAAAAGCAAGTTTAAAAGAATTGTTTACTCGTAATCCATAATAGCGCCTTCTACATGTTCGATCTCAATGGCAGCGTTCTCAATATCTTGATACGGAGCTCTCCCTTTTGCCCTAGATTCTCCACGACAAATGAGTGCTGATCTTAATAATGCAATTGAGATTTTGCTTCTGATCCATGACATAGTCTTAGCATAATGTTCGCCTTTCTTGTTGGCAATCAGCTTCGCTAGTCGACTGCGATACCTGAGGCATTTCTCTTCCCACACCAACAGTTGTTGTAAACACCAAGGGCGTAAATGTTCCTTTCTCAATGTCGAGAACTCTTCTTATATACAGACGTTGTTTCGCGCCCTCATGAATACAATAGATCTGTTGCGGTTGGAGGTCCTTATACGATTAGGCATTTGGGTGACAGACCCTGACATCAGAGAATGCCGATCGTTGGTGCTCCCAGAAACCACGTGCATGGATATCCTATCTCGCATCCTGTGATTTATTAGACCCTCTACTGAGCTGTTCTACATAGATGTCTTGCAAGACTGTCTCAGTTTCAATGTCGCTACATGTCGTATTCAGAAGTTCGGCTTTCACATCTCATTGTGACGCTGAGTAACAAATTATAGCGTGGTCTGCGGTAAAAAAACAAGAAGGAGGGGATACCATCCACTGGCCAGTCTAGCATAGTTTAACAACGTTGGGGACTCCCTTTTAGTCAGGGTAAAGCCCAGATCTTGGATATGATGCTCGCTTAGTCTTCTATGGTGCCATCTCCTTAATACTATCGTGAACCTATCACCACCCCCAGGTGTTTCTGTCCCTGCACTGTTACATTAATACAGACGTTTCCTTGGAAGCTTCTCTGACACTTTCTTCCTTAGCTGGTTTTACAATAATCCAACATTTCTTGTCGTTCGGAAAATACCCAAAATCTGGACCAAGGATGCTCACTTATGTCCAGAAATGCAAGGAATGGCGAAAATGGCGAAACTGGCGAAAAATCGTCAGCCGCTGGCGATTTGAAGTGGATGCCAAAAGTGGCCCCTTGGAGGCTGGCGATTTTGGCGAAATTGGCGATTTTGGCAAAAATTGCCATGCATGCAATGGTGAAAATGGCGAAAAATCACCAGCCTCTGGCGATTTGAATTGGATGCCAAAAGTGGCCCCTTGGAGGCTGGCGATTTTGGCGAAAATGGCGATTTTGGTGAAATTGGCGATTTTGGCAAAAATCGCCAGAGGGCTGGCGATATGTGGCAAAATATTCAAATTGGATGCCAAAAGTGGCCCCGTCAAAGTAGATAACTAAAGAGGTCCTTATAACTGTGAGGCAACAGTACTAAAAAAAAGTTCAAATTACTTGCCTAATAAGAGGCCCCAATAACTGTGAGGCAACATTTATCACATACAACTGAATCAAATATATGACAAAACAGCTTTACCTAACTGTCAAACAACATTATTTTATCAAATACAACTGAATCAAATATATCTGAAAACAACAAATGGAAGTCGTTTCAGTTAAGCTAATATGTATTTGTGCCATGTACTTCACAGCTTAAGTAAACATTTCCTTACTTTCGATGTCGCTTGACTTACCAAAAGTGATGTGATGCGCTGAAATATCACACTAGCATCATTTGCTTTTGTATGGTTCATTCCTTTCAAAGACTTACAAGTCCACTAATTACTCGAGGAGAGAACTACTAAGTCCTTGAAATCATAATAATTCCTTGCCATGGACACTCTAACTTTTGAGGTTCGATGTAGACCTTAACAATCCTCACTGGTTACAATTCTCTTCACATTGGTTCCATTAAATTGTGAGGTAGCCTTAAATCAAAAGCGATTGCGACACAGGAAATGGCATAGTCAAATAACCAATTGTAATTTCAGTAATGATTTTATGTGTTTGAGGAATCATAACCTTGGTTTGCCCAGGCTTCACCAAGTCATCATATCATTTTGTCAGGCACAGGAATCATAACCCTGGTTGTTAAAGGCTTTATGAAATCATTTGAGGAATCATAACCTGTGTTGTCATAGCTAAGAATCATAACCACGATGTTGCAAGACTTATTAAATCATTTGAGGAATCATAACCCCCACTATCGCATTGTTAAAATCAAAGTATCACTCATTGTAGCTTGAGAGTATACTGTCAGTGGAATCATACCCCCCCCCCAAATTAAAGAATTTCCCAAATCCTTTCATTTCAGATATGTGAATATACAGGAAATCATCGCAATGATTTTTGCTTTTGTTTATTTGGGTCTTAAAATTATGCTCAGATACATTTTTTTTTCAAACATTTCCCTTTTTAATAACAATTTGAAAAATGCTTGGTGAACTGAAGTAACATGAGCAAAATTCCAGAGTCTCCCCACAAATTGCACTGTGAAGTGTGCGGATCAAAAATAATCCAATATGGAAAAATAACAATACACAAGGAATCAGTGTAGATAACAGCGGTCCGAGAAAACGTAAGTTTAATGGCGATGTTATATATACAAAACAATGTTGTCTGAATGTTAATAAAAGATAATCAAGTTCGTGTTTAAATTAATAAACATTAATAGACCAGTGAAATCCAATTAATAATGAACAAATATCAATAAACAATGTAAAATAACAAATTTGTTTTTTGCTGCAATGCGCCAAATTGCGCGATTGTGGCAATCCGTACTATTGTGTGACAATGTTTGCGTTAATTGATTTGACTCAAGTTGAAAAATTTTTGGTCGACCAAAGGGGAGAAATTGCTCCTTCGAGAAGGGATTTTTGACGAAATATACATGGAAGTGCAAAATCCAGAAGAACTTATGAAAGTGTTACACAAATGTACTTGATAATCCTTCTGCTAAAAGCCAGTTGAATTCATTTGTTGAGCAAGCAATTATATCATGTCAGAATTAGAGAATTAAATAGGAGATCAAAACATATTCCCCTTGGACATCCTCTTTTTAGACTAGTGAAATCCAGTATTTACTCCTTAAGCCTGACAATATCAATAAACAAATTCTGTGAGACTGATCATGATATCCCATACATCTCATTATAGAAAATTTGATAGAGGATCAAAACTTATTCCCTTCGGAGATGACTATTTCTAGGCTGTGTATAAAAGTGGGACGGGGACAAAGGGACGGGGACATCGGGACGCGTGTGTGGGGACTTGGGACTTAGGGACGCGAGACGAGGGACTTGTGGACATCAAGTATGGGACGCGGGGACGTCAAACACAGGGACGTAGGGGACGCGGGATGTGAATAATTGTTGCAACAGTCGGAGGTAAATGCGATATCAGTCACTTTCCTCGTGAATATGTCTTGGTGAAGTCAGCACACCCTGCCCTCCTAAGGGTTCCTTCATGCCTGTTTACGAAGCGAAGACTCGGCGAAGACCCCCTATATTAAATTGCTAGTCTTGCATTGAAGAAAGTGAAACTGTTGTCCTGACGGTCTTCTTGCTGATGGAATATTGGAGCCTAAAGCAGGGTAGGGTGGGTTGGGGTCGCCAAAATTTTAGTAGAATAACAGCATTCGATTCCAAATAAATAAAAAATTATGTGGCATAAGCGAGCTTCGAACCCCGCGGTGCAAGCTCCGAAATCCATTGCCTGTACCACTAATCCACCGGGGATTCAGCTACATATTTGTAGTGGCAAACCTAACAGTAAATGCTTGCTAACAGTACTTTAAGGTTGATTTCCACTGACGCGTTTTTGGCTATGCACGTTAACGCAAGTAAATTTTAATCACGTAAAAAAGGCCAAATAACATAGAGAAGATATAAATTGTTGAGATTAAACGTGATTAGATTAAACGTTGCCTTCACCAAGACATATTCACGAGGAAAGTGACTGATATCGCATTTACCTCCGACTTTTGCAATAATTATTCACATCCCGTGTCCTCTGCGTTCCTGTGTTTGACGTCCCCGCGTCCCCGTCCCATACGTCCCCGCGTCCCACACTTGATGTCCTCAAGTCCCTCGTCTCGCGTCCCTAAGTCCCAAGTCCCCTCACACGCGTCCCGAAGTCCCCGTCCCCTTGTCCCCGTCCCACTTTTATACACAGCCCTATTTCTATGAAAGTTCTCAGAACCTTCTCTCTTGATGACATATTGATATTGCCAGTAGGAACTGATTGACATTCAGGGTCACTATTAGGAATTGTAAGGTTCAATACTTATATACATGTATATTATAAATTATAACCACTTCTCTCCCAGAATGGCATGCAATTGTCAAAAGTATCTGACAAGATTTTTAAATTTCATTCTGTAAAGTGCTAAAAAAACAGATAGCGCTAGAGTTATGCCAAAGAGGTTTCATTTGAATGGTCCTACCACAGAATTTCATCAGCAGATTTTAAATCTAGTACAAGAGTCATTATTCATTCTGGGAATGAAGAGATAATTAATACATCATTCTGTTGTTGATCTACTGGTTTGTGTCAGTGACCTATACTAGCTGGAACACTACACTTTGTGTTTTAAATTTCAATATTTTGCGTCAGCCTAAAATATTAATATTAGCTGGACTTTTGGGCTGCTATATTCAAGGAACCTGAGTGATGCGGGAATTCAAATCCCATATAAAATGACATGATGCTCAGTATATAACAAATTAGAGTGAAATCCCTAAAAGAGGACAATGCGGGTTTGATTCAGGCTTGAATTGAATCCTTACAGAGACTTATAATAAACTCCAACACATTTCATCAAATTATATAGACATAATTTCTTTACCCACAACATCAAGCAGTGCCTGTATGGGTAAAAATATTGGTTATTTGTCCTAAACACCCTTATGCGGTGCGATCAAAGCCAGGGTTATCTCCTACCTGTCCCAGATTCTGGGATATACATGACCAGACCTGCCAGGGTCTCTCGACGGATAGGAGAGAAAACCTGGGAACGAGATTGGATCAAAACCTGTAAATCCAACACCTAAATAATCAAGCATCCCTATCAATTTTATTATGGGAGTCCACACTCATCCACAAGGATAAATCCTTTTATTGGAATTAGGACTGCAGATAGACCATAAAAGTCAGTAATTTTTCACTGTGTTTGAATTTCATGTCTAATTAGGCACTCTGTTTATCCACAAAAGAATTCAAAGGCTAATATTGCTTCCTAATTAATCTCCTAGGATGTTCGTACAATCAACCTGATTTGATTGCACTATGGGACAATTCCAAAACATTGAATCATTTGAGATTTTACTGATTGTATTAAGAGAAACAGCACAGTCTTTTAAAGACAACCAAAGAATAATTTAGACCGAACCTTTCAAATAAGATCCTTTAATGGACCAAAAAATGTCTATTTTAATATTGCCAGACCTGCCAACTCTCACAATTCTGGCTTCAAAGACTCTCATGATTTTTCACTTGTCTCATGGCCCCACAACAAGACTCCCAATCTCATGTTTTTTGGGGGAGATATCCTTCTGAAATGAAATGTTACCTTGTTGAATATAAAACAGAAATTCTGTGGGGATGCTAGTGCCAGTGTTTAACCTTAATGGGGCTTTGTAACATTTTAGCCACGAATTGGCAGGTCTGTATTGCTATCTCTTACACATGTAGCCTCACTTACACTGTCCTTAATCAGTAAAATCTCCCTGAAAGAGAAATGGTGATGAGTCAACAGCCATAGATAAACTATCCTCCTCTATATATTACGGACAGTTCATATTTAAAAAGGTGGGGAATCGAAAAGTTAGAAAGTTCTTTGCATTTGGTTCCATTTTGCCTTGGTTTCCCTACAAAAGTAACCAAGGATCATGCTCAAAAGTAAAATGCTTGCTCCTTGGCCACTGGTGGCAGCCCTGCCTTTAAAAAAATCAGTTGTTGGGTGTTCAGGCCTATATATAATTCTCGACTGATAGTCAATATCTATGACAAGTACAAACAAGTAAAATAAGAGAACAAATTGTACTTAACATTTCAAAATTTCTGTGTTGTTTGATCAAGTCTGGATCTTAAAAACTCATTGTCACTTAAGTGCAACATTTTATTAAAGTTCAAGGCTGTGCTCTAAGGCTGTAACACCTAGGGTGCCCAGCATATGATTTGAATGAAAAAAAAGTAAGACTTTCAAGTTGCTTGAGAGCAAGAGTTATAGGAGCGGGGGTGAATAGGCGAATGGATCGGGCGGATTTTGAAAATATTTTTGCCCACATTTTGGATTCAAAGCGAGATTTTAACGGTTTCGGATCCTGTAATTGCAGCGGATTGCGGATTCATCGACTTTTTAGGCCCGGATTTTGGACTTTGCGTGTAATAAAAATTTTTTTTTGCCCAGATTTCGGATTCAGGGCGAAATTTTTAACGGCGGATTTGGCCAATAAATCATAACGGATTGGCGGATTTGCATACCCCTATTCAGCCCCCTCTTATAGGCACTAGGAGCCAATGGGCTCTGCTAGAGAACAGCTCTGATTAATTAAAATATTTGTGTTTCATTTTAATTTGGACCTGTTTGACCCCAGGGGTAATCCAGATTTCAAATAATGGGGATAATTGAATGGGGGCTATCACCAACAATCATCATAATAATAATCATATACCTTAACTGGTTTGGTGTCATTTAAAATGTTGTTTAACTCAAATGAATGATTTTATACACTTAATTACTTTGTGCATTGTTCAAATCACCATTGTAAATTGTGATTTATAGTTTAAATTAATTTAAGGTTATAATTAATATAGATATTGTTATTCAATATTCTGTCAAATTTACTCCAAAAAGTATGCAAATTAGTGTTATTTTCTGCTATACAAAATGAGCTGTTTTATTTAGTTTGATGTAAAACAGGTCTTCCTGCTATCATACAAATTATATAACATCAGTGGTATTGTTTTTTTTGTGTGTGTGAAGGCCTCTTTGTGTTAAATAAATTACCCAACCAGCAAAAGGCAACAGTATAAAGGTAGTATACACATGTTTTTGACGTCAACAAGCTTCTGTTATGAGTACCATCACTTGAATGTAAATGTATTACCATTTTATTTATGAAGCAAAGCAAGAAAGTTTACCTTTAAAAGGTCCGGCCTGCATCCATGGATGATCACGATCTTCAACTACCTTCAGATTAAACGATTTCAACTTGAAAGTTTCAATAACATACAATAGGATTTTCGTGTTAGATCAGAGGTACACGGTCAAATCTCGTACCAAGCCCCTTTCAAGTTTTAGTTTATGCGCGCACGCTAGGAACTACAAGACTTCTTCTGCTACACTTTTCATATTTGTCTTCGTTTCAACTTCGTCTGATCCTAGTTCGGTTTATGACAGTTCGACGACCGATCTTTCACTCGTGAATCCAACGTTCCCTTTTGTTGGGCACAAGGTTATGATTCCACAAACGATTTCATAACAGCAGCGAATCGCCTGGTGATGATTCCAGACACTCACGGTTTCGTACGTTATGATTCCACGAATGATTTTGACTTTGCTGAAAAAATCATCACTTATGATTTAGCAGAACTTCAGTCATCATCACATATGATTCCGGGACAATTTGATTCGCTTGACAAAATCAGCGGGCAATTCTCCCGATGATTCTCAAGCCTGTAAAAATCATATATGCTAATTCATGTGCCGTTTAAAATTCGTCTTTTGAATTGCATCGAACGATTCCACAAGACAATTTCCTGTGCGAAACGCATGGTTCCTGGCTAAAAGATGCTTTCACGATAACCAGTGTGTGCCCTTCACTCTTTTTTGGTTCTCCACTATACACATTATCTTCTTCCGTCGTTTTAAACTCTTCACTTTCTTCTCGCACTTACTTGTTTTGCTCTTTAGAGAAACGGTCCCCTAAAAGTAACGAAAGCCGAAATGTTCAGCAGCTTGCATGCGCCATTTTGAAATGTGTGAATTCGCTTGTTTCCACTTTATGTAAACCTGCACGAAATGTCACTTGTGCCCAATACTTCACCGCATTTATTGAACATCAGCATTGGATCAAAGTAATAACTTGTTTGTCTCTTTCATTAAAACATATCCCATTCAAACTAATTCTGTATCTTTTCATCAACTAGATATATAAAAAGAGAGTGTACATGTTTGTCTCGTTCTTAAAAAATGTGTCCCATTATTGCTTTATGAGGTGAGGCCAGAAATTTAGAAAATGTATTGTTTTTTTGCGCTGAGACCACCAAACCAATTCTCAGTACAATATGTGTTCCATTAAATTGCTAATGCTAATGCTCGTCGAAACACGTCACCCGGCCTTTTTACCTTCTATTTTAACAATTGCCTAAGAGTCCCTGTGAACGACATTAATCGTTTTGCTTACATAGAGTGACCCTTCAAACTCGGCTGGGAATGACACTAATCGTTTCTACTTACATAGAGTAGTTATCCAAAATCGACTATTTCAACATGGCCGCCGCGTCTATATAACAACTACTAAACCTTACACGTTCCTGTTCTGTGAAACTGCAATGAAGCAGCTCGTTTATATATACTTGTACGATTGAACGCCATTATAACAAACAGGATGGATATACAAGGCAATACGGACCATCTAATTATCTGAATGCGTAGCCAAGAACCAACCTGGATTCCTCATAACATATAATGTTGAACTGTCGCTATTCAAACAATGCCTACAAGCCTGGAAAATTAAGGCTACCTATCTTGGATTTTTTGGTAAGAAAGTTGCCATGAACATTACGAAGATTACCATTTACTGATAATCGAATACAACTCGTTGGCCATTCGATTTGAATTGAGCAAGAAATTAGTTATAAGTGGTAATTCCCGACCAAACACTCTTGTCTGGGACGAATTTCAAATCACAAGAGGTTATCAATTAAAGGTAAAAGCATTAAAAACAGATTAATGACACGTAAGTTACAGTAGCGTTGTCATTATTAGTATACAATTATACTATTGGAAACATTTTTATATTAATATGTGGTTAACTATTTGGCAATTAATAGCCATTTCAAAAGGGACCCTTTGCTTTGTCATTTCACTTTGTCTTGACAAATTAGGTATTTCATCGAGTAATTGCCATTTCTGCCAAAACACGTTTTAAGAACGAGGCCAACATGCACTCTCTATTTTTTATTATTTGTGGTTGATGAAAAGATACAGAATTAGTGCACGCCATTTTCGCTAAAATCGTCACTTTCCAAAGGGCCCCTTTGCCATCTCATTTGCATTTTTGTTTATAATTTGGTGATTTCGGCGATTAATCGCCATTTCCGCCATTTTCGGCAAATACGCCATTTTCACCAATATCGCCACTTTCCAAAGGGCCCCTTTGCCATCTCATTTGAATTTTTGTTTATAGTTTGGCGATTAATTGCCATTTCTGCCATTTTTGCCAAATACGCCAGTTTCGCCGAAATCGCCACCTTCCAAAGGGCCCCTTTGCCATCTCATTTGAATTTTTGTTTACAGTTTGGTGATTTTGGCGATTAATTGCCATTTCTGCCATTTTCGCCAAATACACCATTTTTGCCGAAATCGCCACTTTGCAAAGGGCCCCTTTGCCATCTCATTTGAATTTTTGTTTATAGTTTGGCGATTAATTGCCATTTCTGCCATTTTTGCCAAATACGCCAGTTTCGCCGAAATCGCCACCTTCCAAAGGGCCCCTTTGCCATCTCATTTGAATTTTTGTTTACAGTTTGGTGATTTTGGCGATTAATTGCCATTTCTGCCATTTTCGCCAAATACACCATTTTTGCCGAAATCGCCACTTTGCAAAGGGCCCCTTTGCCATCTCATTTGAATTTTTGTTTATAGTTTGGTAATTTTGGCGATTAATTGCCATTTCTGCCATTTTTGCCAAATACGCCATTTTCGCCGAAATCGCCACTTTCCAAAGGGCCCCTTTGCCATCTCATTTGAATTTTTGTTTATAGTTTGGCAATTTTGGCGATTAATTGCCATTTCTGCCATTTTTGCCAAAATCGCCACTTTGCAACGTAGGGCCCCTTTGCCATCTCATTTGAATTTCTGTTTACAGTTTGGCGATTTTGGCGATTAAGCGCCATTTCTGCCATTTTCGCCAAATACGCCATTTTCGCCGAAATCACCACTTTTCAAAGGGCCCCTTTGCCATCTCATTTGAATTTTTGTTTATATTTTGGCGATTAATTGCCATTTCTGCCATTTTCACCAAATACGCCATTTTCGCCAAAATCGCCACTTTCCAAAGGGCCCCTTTGCCATCTCATTTGAATTTTTGTTTACAGTTTGGCAATTTTGGCGATTAAGCACCGTTTCTGCCATTTTCGCCAAATACGCCATTTTCGCCGAAATCGCCACTTTCCAAAGGGCCCCTTTGCCATCTCATTTGAATTTTTGTTTACAGTTTGGCGATTTTGGCGATTAAGCGCCATTTCTGCCATTTTCGCCGAAATCGCCACTTTGCAAAGGGCCCCTTTGCCATCTCATTTGAATTTTTGTTTATAGTTTGGCGATTTTGGCGATTAATTGCCATTTCTGCCATTTTCGCCAAATACGCCATTTTTGCCGAAATCGCCACTTTCCAAAGGGCCCCTTTGCCATCTCATTTGAATTTTTGTTTATATTTTGGCGATTTTGGCGATTAATTGCCATTTCTGCCATTTTCGCCAACTCAGGATGCTAAGAACATCCCGACCCTTCTTAATTTTTGTTGTAGAGCAAGCTCCACTGGCATCATCTGCAAACCAGCATTGCTTCACGCTGGAAGTTGCTTGAAGACTCGTAGTTAAAGGCTAAATGCTTAAGGCGTATAGACCATGCAGGCATTGATAGCTTAGGCTGCGATCACAGGGCATAAACGCGGATGTTATGTAATGCATTAGAAGCATCAATGAGGAGTGAAGCACCAGTGACATCTGCTTCAAACATAGCATTGCATAGCGCGTATTGCAGCCTCACTTCCAGACCTGTCTACAACACAGCTGGATTAAGCCACTTGACTCGACCACACCCTTTTTGATGACCATCATCACCCACTTTCCGCACACTCTTCTACTTACCTCTCCCACTCAGGACTATTGGTCTCACAGCACCAGTGGAATTGGATGGGTAACCACCGGAGGCTTTATGGTCGTAGGATCGATGTATTGTATACATAGAGTCCTTGTCATTGTGGCTATTGCCTCACATAGCCTTGGAAATGACTGTTTAAAGGACTTACAGGCAAGGATTCTTCTGAAACCATTTGCGTCAACACCAGAGGGGCCTCCTGCGCCCTTTGTTCTCAAAACAGCTTGCCTAACCATCTCACAATTAATCTCCGTGTACACTGATTTTGGAAACTCATCGTCAATCGGCCGGAATGAGTATGAGTTCCTCAAGCAATGAATTCATGCGTTAGTAGGAAAACTCAATAACAGATGCTTCTGTGGGTTTCCAGCGGCCATATTTGTGCCCCTCAAAGGGACACCAACATGGCGTCGCCACACAAAGCTTATAAATTTGGGTAAAACGTTTTTTCCGAATATCTCGCATATGAAATATCGCACAGACCTGATTCTTGGCGAGGCTTTTTGTATAATTTTTTTAATCTTCTTTCATTTCCCAAATTCTGGATATTCTGTATTGAACGGTTTGCATTTTTATTTTTGACGGCGTAGCAATGAAAACAGAGAATGGTTTAATACGTGTTCAAGTGCTGTAACCCTATTCAGACCGGGGTGTCCCCACCCACACCCCGAAAAGAAAAAATCTGAATAACTTGACATTTTGCCAACTTCCGATTAAATTTTCGCGTTCAGCGAACTTGAGTTCCCCGAAAAAGTGCACGGGTATTTTGAGCACTTGCTTGGTGTCTTTTTTTAAATGCCTAAAATACCTTAATGAACATTTCCTCCGTGACATTGCTGTCGAAGGTTAATGAGCCATCTCGGGCTTCTAAAGACACTTACTTTCAAAACGAGGCTAAATGCAGCAAAGGTTTTTCTGTGAAAATGAGTTTTATTTGCATGAGAATAAAACAACAACATTTTCAAATCAATAACTTCGCACTTAACCTCGCTTTGAAACAGAGGCTTGTGGCAACTCGGAAATGGCCTTTCAAAGCAACCGATGATATAATTGCGCGGATAATGTTATAAACATACCCGATTCCTCAGTCCACTCTGTGACTTCTGAGCTCTTGTAAACCTTTTGGTTATCATTTACACCAAGAACATCTAGTCGGTATTCCATATACGGCGAAAGCCCATAGAAGACGCTAGATGTGGCATTGCCTTGCAGAATATTTCCATTCACGATACTTCCATTGCTACTTTTTATGACAGTTATATAGTGAAGAATGCTCTGGCTCAGCAATGCTGATAGATTTTTCCAAGAAACTCGCATGCTGGTTGCTGTTTTGTTATCAATAGACACACTCCAACTGGACAGTAGCTGAGCTAAAAAGGAAGGACGAAAGTTTATTACTTGGTGATAATGAAAGCGATTACAGTGGTTATTGAGTTCGACAACACTAAATCTCACAATCAGGCGCAACGCTCAGATATTTGATGGGCGCCAACTGCCAAATCTGTCTGTGCAGGAAGCCGAGTATTGAGAAAGAAAGGCTCACAACGTCTTCTCTAAAATGATGTACCCGTTTAAAACGAACCTTGTGTAATGTGTCTATTAGTCATATTTTATTTTCTTATTCTCCGTCTTATTATATATATATATATTTTTCTGTTGTATATGAGTCGACGTTGACAACGTACTTCCGTCCAAAGTTTGAGCTTTCTCTGCAATGGTCTTAGTTTGAAAGTAAGCAGTTGGACGCACATTTGCTATCCTGCTAAGTACTATTTATATGCTATGCACCTTACTTGTAGAGACAAAAAATGTCGGTTTAGAAAATATGTATGAATGAGGATAAATTTAGAAAATTGACATGGTAACAGAAATACTCTCGAGTGCTCATCATTTTAGATTTTGCTGATTATTATTTTTTTTTTGTACCATAAAGCAAGTCCATCTTACCTATCTTGATTTTATTTTGGTATACAAATTAAGCAAAACTACAATAAACAAATTTATTTAATGACGCATAGGAAAAGTTAGTAGGCTGTTAAAAAATGTAGATTTGAGCGTTCTTTGAGTGACATTGTTATGTCATTAGTCGTATGGTACGAAATGCAAAAGCTCGCAATATTAAAGTTGCGTCAAATATAAGGATGAAACTAACCCGATAGTAATCCCTGTTGAAGAATCCCGAATTGAAGCGTGGCAGTACTGTAACTAGAATATAGATAGATTTGAACGGTGATATTTTCAGAGTTTCCAAAAGAGACTTCCGCGAAAGGTTTTTGAGGAGTCGATGAGTATCCATTGCGAATAAGCACAGTTGTACCGCTCCCATCGATTATTTTAACGTATTCACTGTAAAACAAAGGGAGAAAAACATATATTTTCATTAACTTATAGTGTAACCTAAATATCCTTGGCCGTGGTTTATTCTCCTGAAGCAACCACTTACCCGTCCCTTCACTAATCTTCGCTCTCCGCACCCCACTCCCTCCCTTCCTATCTTTATCCTTCTCTTATTTCTCTTATACCATCTTCTTTTACCATTACCTCTTGCCTTCCTCCGTCTAGACGTCCATCCAACTAGCGCGGGAAAACAACCCACATTTTGCAACGCTGCCACTGGTATCCCGGCGAAATGATGTCTGAGAAACAAGCGCAGAAATTCCATACTGATGACACGTCAATATGCAGATCTGGGTAGTGCTTCTGATTAGTAGTTAAGCAAGGAAAATTTTCTTTAACCACCCGTTTAACAGACATCATTTTGAGGGAATACCAGTTGTGGCGTCGAAAATTTTGGCTGTTTTCAAGCTACCATCCGACCTTTTCCCTTTAGATACGTCAATTCAACCAGTGACCATGCACTCAACAACCCAGATTTTTCCATTCACTTATCTATTCTCATTGTCGTTTGATCCTTACATCTTTGACCAACCAAGCAAGCAGCCATTTTATTATCCAAATCATCCATCTGCCCATCCGTCCGTCCCTCCGCCCGTTCGTCTGTCCATCTATTCAACATTCAACACATTTGCAGAACACACATGTAATACAATAATAATAATAAATTAATAAATATGTGACCCTTTCCCTTGATATTATATTTTACAAGCTCTAACTTTTGGAAAACAGCCTCTCGGCTTTGAACAAAAAAAAATGAACTTAAACTGAACTCTTTCTTATTTCCCTAAAGAAGACATTGTTTCATTTAACTCACTAGTAATATGACAGGTAGAGTTCTTGTATTGACATAAGTGCAACTGCTTGCTCGATTCCCACATTTCCAATATGCCAGGTGCACAGTAGATAACCGTAATAACCTTTCCGGCCAAAATGTAGCTGGCCAAATGACTGATTTGTACTTCCTCCACAACCTATGGAATAACCAATGACAAGGAGCTAAATGAATTTTATAAATTTTATTGACCGGAATGGACGGCCTTAAAAAGGAAAAGTCTGCAAACGCGACTTTCACCGCCTTACAGTCATTTTCCTCTTCTCCGGTTTGGCGGTCAATAGTCCAGTTTCGAATTCATCACGGCCGCTTAATAGAAGCGCTGAACATTCATTTATACAAGGTTAGCCTCGACCTAAGGTAAATATATTCACCAATTCAAGTGAGAAGGAGACCTGTGTACAACTGTTTCTATCGTTTTAAACTCAAATTCAGGCACTTTCCTTCTCGCCGGTATTTGTGAATATTTTACTTTAGGTCAAGGCTAACCCTGTATAAATGAGTCTTCAGCGCTTCTATTCAGCGCAAGCGATGAATTCGAAACTGGACTATCGTTTTGTTAATATGGATTTAGAGAAACATAAATATGCAAGAACTAACGAAATATATAATGTCCCGACGTTTTGGCGACCTCATGACGCCATTATCAAGGAACGGAAATAAATTCGAGTTCAAAAGGAGTTATAATAAAACAAACAGATTCAACTTGTGCTTAACTCTTTGTCTACTTGTATTTTCAATTATCTTGAATTTTCATTTATGCAAATTTAGAGTACTTTAACTCCTGTTAAACTCGCATTTAATTCCATTCCTTGATAATGGCGTCGTCAGGTCGCCGAAATGTCTGGGCATTTTGTTGGTTTTTAAATGCTAACATGGGTTAACATTGTCATTATCATTATTATCATCAGCAGCATTATTATTACTATTACTTTTATTAGTGTCATTATCGTTATCATTATCATTATCACCGTCCTTCTTATCATCTTTCTTATCATCATCATCATCATCGTCATCACCATTATTATTATTATTATTATTATTATTATTATTATTATTATTATCATCGTCATCATTTTTTATATTTTTACATATATCTTTGAAAGGAAAAAAACAAACAAACAAACAAACAAACAAAAAAACAAGCATATAGGGCTATGCCATCCTTTTTCGGAGATATCTAAGACGAGCGTTATAAAGGCCACGATAAATCAAAAGATTTTTTTCTATTACCATTATCTGTTATTTGGTTTTCTTTGTCTGTAACTAATAACTATGCTAATCAAAGGTTGAGAGGTCACTCATGAGGGGTGGCAATTCAGAATAGAAAAACACTTGGGCGAATGTTTACTCCAGGGTAGAAATAAAGAGACAAAACAAACAACAACAAGTGGCAGAACGAGCAAATTGTTTTTGCCCGAAATATCTGTAAGTCGCAACTATTCATCAGCATGATGCCAAAAATGTGTACAATTCCATTCAACCCTACACAAACTGTAGACCATTTTAGGAGGAACCACCCATAATGTGAGCACAGTTACTGAAAAGATGTATGAGTGTATACACAGTTAATGTTTTTACTGCAAACATTTTTTACGTTGCTAGTAATTGTAAATCTCCGAGGTGAGGCATATATCATTTATTCGTAAATGATTTGATGGCCACTTAATCGATTCCGTATAATCAATGGTATGAGTTGCCCAAATTTCTCACTCAAACAATCAGTAACAGCTAAAAACATATGCATTACCTGTGGTTATTGAATACCAAGACGAGCGTGGTCCTTCTCCTTTTGAAGTAAAGGCTGTCACTGCTATTTGATAACGTGTGGCCTGTGTCAGGTCCCTCAATATCACCATAGTAACATTAGCACTGCTAGTGTTAACACTCTTTGCATAATATGAGTAATAATAATATGTGTATTCCCTATAGTAGACTCTGTATCCAAGAAGACGGCCATTAGCGTACTGCTGGGACAGTGGATTCCACTGAACTTTCACGTCAGTAAACTGTGAGTTTGAAAGACGGATATACGACGGTGCCCTGCTGGGAACTAAGAAAGCAGAAAATATCTATTATTTTGCTATTAATCATCATATTAATCTTTTTTTGGATTTTTTTATTGTTTTGTTTGTTTGGTTGCTAGTTTTTTTTTCTTTTTAAGCACGACTATATACAATCCCAGGCGAAAATAGGCTACATAGTGCACGAAACTTTTGCGGTAGTTGATTTTTGCCGATTGTCGATTTTTTGTGTTTTGCGCTGACTAATTTTTGCGATTAGGACGGATTGTTGTTTTTTTGCGATTTTCAGAAAGTACCCAGTACCCAGCATTGGTAATATTTTCGTTTTTACTGAGTTCATGCAATAGAAATACATATTTTCAAACAATAAACCAGCATTTCGTTCTACCGTTTTGTTTCTGAATCAGAGATAAGTTGTGATTGAACAGACACGATTTCTCAGTACTGCATTTTTGTGCAGCGAATTGAAGTTAAAGAACATTTACTCTGGAGTAAACGTTTTGGGGAAAAAATATTTGCAGTGATTTTTATTGGCGGGAACTTATTTTTGCGGGTCGCAAAAATTAGAACACGCAAAAATTTCTTCCCACACGGTACTCAGAAGACTATTCAACAATTAGTTAAAGGGTTAGCGTGCGTATGTCAAGATATTGAGCACCCGGGAAGTTTGGAGAGCACGAAAGAGGTCTGACAGGTAACGCGAACAGTGGAGTTTACGGTAAGACTCTGCTTATAAGAAGATCGCGAAAGCAGCACGATAGATGCAGGCCTCCAATTGGGCACAATACTATTTTTTGAGGCCAATCACAACCGAGCATTCGAATGAGTCGTGGAACTGGTTCGTTAAGAGTAGCATTCCAGGGGCACTCTCTACCGTTTTTCCTGACCCAACTGACCGCCCCTGGCCGATGATGACCTCCCAAGACGTCGAGGTAGTATAGTTTATTGACCTCATCAGCGTGCTCAATGGGAATATGTAACTGTTAACTGCGCCTGTTTTACAAACTTACTGGCGGAAATGTTGAACGAACCCGAACCGTTCCGCTACTCATAGATATTGACCAGCGGAGTGGTGCGGAGTCTTTATCACACGACGATTCTTCACAAACCAAGAGTTTCTGGAGTTTGTTTAAATAGACCTGTGATCAACAATACATAAAAAATAAAACAACATCTTTAGATCTATTCCACGTACCCCCTTCGTCTGTCCATGCTGTTCTCTCTGTACTATTGTAGGCATTCCCTCTAAAATTTACACCAACAACATATAACCGATATTCCGTATAGGGTGACAGTCCGGATAACACATGGGAAGTAGTATTTCCTGGGACAATATACCCGTTTACGCCATTACCATATGAGTTTTTGACCACTATAAAGTAATGACTAATTTCTTGACCAGCGAGTGTTTGCAGGTTTTGCCAGGAGAATCGCATGCTTGTTGTGGTAGTATAGCCAATGGAAACACTCCAGTTGGCTAGTGGAAAAACTAAGAATAAAAAGAGCAAAATAATTTAAAACATTGTTACTCAACGTGTCATTACATGAAATTACTACGAAAGTCAGGAAACCATGTACAACAAAAAATAACATATCCATGAAATATTTAATGTTGTGTTGATAGGAACTAAAACGCTCTTAAAAGCTTTACGTCGAGCTTGATCAGGGACCACATAAGAAGTGAGGAGGCGATTAATAGTCCACACGCCTTAATTTTCGACGATCGAATATTCTTCAGGATGTTAAGTGAGTACGCGCGTATAAATACACGAAAATCAAGGGCCTTGATTCAAGAGAAATTACATCATTGCCAAAGAGCAAACACATGATGAACATGGGGTCTCCATTCAATCACAGTCAAAAATAAAGCGCATGCTTATCACCAGACTCATTTGACATCTTTTGCATATATTTTTCGGGGAGGAACCCAACTTAACGAATGGTAACATAGATCTCTATATTCCCGCCGTGGCAATGCAATGGCAGTGATAATGGTGGCTGTAGAGATTAGCATATCGACGCAGGGCTGGAAACTGTTAAAGATTGTATCATGACAAAAAGCAAAGTGCGTCCTGATTGTTTAGGTTTAGTTTTCTTGGTAAACGTCTTATTGGCTTTTTAGTCGAACTTGCTTAGCAGCGAAACTCTAAAAATACAAGCGTTTCTTTTTCTTTTCTTTTCTTTTGTTTTTGTTTTTGTTTGTGTGTGTGTGTGCTCGCCCAAAGGGGGTCGTAAATGGTCCCAGGCGTTAATGGTGGAAACCGTGGAAATTGGGGATAAGAACCGCGACGTGACCGACAACATATTCAGAGAGCTATGCATGTTTTGTGAACAAAGCTTAGGAAAAATTAATGCCTTTGAACCAGAAAATAATGAATTTAACTGCAAAGAAAGCTCACCGAATTGGAGGCCTTGTATTAAAATTCCAAATTGTAACTTGAAGTTACTGTAGCTCCGCCTTAGGTAGATCTGTACAGTGATATTTCCAGAATTCCCAAAAGAAACTTCCGTGAAAGATTTCTGAGTTACAGACGGGTATCCGTAGCGACTGAAAACCGTGATACCATTACCATCAATAATCTTTAAGTACTCGCTGTGGAAAGAACAGGAAGATCGCTGAGGTAAGACGAAGATTACGATCAATAAATTAAAGTTAACGAATTAAAAACAAAATAAGCTATAACCTTAAGTTTTGTTCTTTTATATACGCCCATAAAAGTAGCACACTCGCCTGTAATAAGACAGATACACCTCCGGCAATGACACGAGAGCAACAGCTTGGCTTATTCCAGCATTTTGAATCCTCCAGCTGCATCGCAGAGTAAAATAACTATAGTATGATGATCTACGAACTTGAATCTTTCCAAACAACTCATTTAAGACTCTTCCGCAACCTTAAAATGAAAAAACGTTAAGAAATAGCAACAAGGTAAGTACGGCAGATAACAGGCAGCAATGCATCATCACCATCATCATCATCATGATCATCATCATTATCGTCATCATAAGACCTTCGTCAGTAGTAGGGCTTCAGCAAAGATAAGCCCCGTTGGTGGATAGGTAAGGATAGTTTAGGGATAGGTAAATCATTGATATGGATAAGTGCCTAGTCAGTGTCTTCCTGCATACTAATTCGGTATAGGTTTACTAATGAGCGTCACTCTACTTCAATAGGAACAATAGGCTTACCTAGACTTGCCCGGTAAGTAACTTGAGCCCGGTTTTCGGAATAAGAGAAGCGATCACCTAGCAACGCCAGAAACGGCTTCCTATATCTTATTTAGGGCGAAAACTCAGATATACATAAACAAAACACATACAGAAAGTGGAGTTGAAAAGTCTTTATTTCAATTTAGTTTACGTCTTTTTATTTAGCCCTAAAACTCGGATATATATAAACAAAAGATACACAAATTGGAGCTGAAACTCTCTAAGTTTGTCTGACGTTTTCTCCCATCAATCTCGAGGACATTTAAAACCATTGAAGTTTCAACGTTTCACGCACGGTTAATCGGTTAATTATGCGAGTTCGCAAGCCCAAAGTTGAATACAAATTAACTCTACAGGAAAGACCCAAGGGAGAGAATCTTGACGTATTATTATAAAACAAATAACTTAACAAGGATCAATTAAAACACGCGACTCATAATTGCTAGCAATAAAAACACAAGAGAGATACCGTTTAAACAACTTTATTAAAAAACAATGACAAAAAGAGTCAAATACACAGGAATGGAAATTAATTAATCTTCATCTTCGTTCTCCTCTGTAGAAGGGGAATAGAAATTGGTTTCCAACGTCTTCGCGTTTTTGTGTGTAACTGCTCCGCAATCGTGACACCGAAGAAAGCCCTCTTTCATGTAATGTCTCCCCTCGGGAATCTGGTGATCGCATATAGGACAAATCTTGTAGTAATCGTGCCAAAGGCATTTAGGACATTTTATGATCAATGTCCCGTACACATTAGAGTTCTCGCAGTGTTCACAGGGACTTTTGGAGTGAAAGGCGGTGGACGTTTCAGGGTTACTACTTTCTGTTTTCTGACTGTCGTTTTCAGTGTCATTGTCGCTCTCTTGGGTGCCTTTAGCTTCAACGTCATTCTCAGAAGCCACTTCCTCCTCCTTATTTTCAATATCCGATGAACTCTCCTCACTGTTACTCTCGTTATCGGAAGTATTTTCTACATTTTGGTAGCCTTTTTCCTTTTCTATTAAATCACTAAGCAACTTTTTGTTCTTGATTAAACCTTTATCGATTCCTAACTCTGCAAGTCCATCTAGAAACGTATTCAGCGCACGAGGCTTGGTAACTTCATTGTTATGAGGGAGTAACACATACTCAACTAGCTCAGCGATGTTTGTGACGGGAATAGTGCGTTTATTTCGAAGTAATTGTCCGCTGGGGGTCCAGAAAAGAAAATCTTTGGACGCGGCCATACTATGCAGCAAATCAGAAGCACGCTTTTCCGGCACTGCTCGGGAAAGACGACTCAAAACATCTTTTATTCTCGGTTCTTCTGTTATTCTTGGTTCTTCATCCTCGCTTTCATCACCAGAACTTTCGCTTTCTTCATGTTCACTCTCGTGATCTTCTTCTTCAACCAAATCTATCTTTCTCTTCATTTTGATGAGTACCCAAGACAGACTTAGCTTCGAACGATCAACCTGGCGATGTGTCACCTCTTTTATAGCATTAGAAGTCCGAAGCTTGAAACGACAGGGGCTAATACATCTTGAATAAAACCATCACCCTCTTATACAAGGATTCGTTTCTTTGTTTTGTAAGGGATATTTGTTTCTGCTAGGTTTACTAGAGCATCCTTACATGGCAGCAATACCCGCTTATTTTCTTCGGAGATAGGAATGTGTCCCATGAGTAAATTGTATAAGACTTGGACTAGTGCATGAAGTTGCTGTGGTGTAGCTGTCTTTAAAAGAAACTAGCGCTGATAAGAAAGAAAACCACGATTGTTGTTCACTACACGAGACATTGCTACAAAATGAACTAAGAATGGCAGTTGGTAGTCTTTTATAGAATCTGGTGGAGGGAAAACAATAGAAATGTGGTGGCGGCGGTGGTGGTGGTGGTGGTGGAGGAGGAAAACAAAAGAAATGTGGCGGTGGTGGTGGTGGTGGAGGGAAAACAATAGAAATGTGGTGGCGGCGGTGGTGGTGCAGGGAAACAATAGAAATGTGGCGGTGGAGGGAAAACAATAGAAATGTGGTGGTGGTGGTGGTGGAGGGAAAACAATAGAAATGTGGTGGCGGTGGTGGTGGTGCAGGGAAACAATAGAAATGTGGCGGTGGCGGTGGTGGTGGAGGGAAAACAATAGAAATGTGGTGGTGGTGGTGGTGGTGGTGGAGGAGGGAAAACAATAAAAATGTGGTGGTGGTGGTGGAGGAGGGAAAACAATAAAAATGTGGTGGTGGTGGTGGTGGTGGTGGAAAGAAAACAATAGAAATGTGGTGGTGGTGGAGGGAAAACAATAGAAATGTGGTGGTGGTGGTGGTGGTGGTGGACGGTAAACAATAGAAATGTGGTGGTGGTGGTGGAGGAGGGAAAACAATAAAAATGTGGTGGTGGTGGTGGTGGTGGAGGAGGGAAAACAATAAAAATGTGGTGGTGGTGGTGGTGGTGGAGGGAAAACAATAGAAATGTGGTGGTGGTGGTGGTGGAGGGAAAACAATAAAAACGTGGTGGTGGTGGTGGTGGTGGTGGTGGACGGAAAACAATAGAAATGTGGTGGTGGTGGTGGTGGAGGGGGAAAGAAAACAATAGAAATGTGGTGGTGGTGGTAGTGGTGGTCTTGGGGGAGGAAAACAGTAGAATCTTGTGGCCTGAAAACCTATATAAATGCGCAACATTCTACCTCTTTCTCAGTCTACATTTTGCTCCTGAGGAGTTGACATGAGTTGGTTCTGTTCTGTCTGCGAAAAATCCTTTAGTAGAAAAGATAGTATGCAAAGGCACGTGATGTCTAAACACCGCAATGCTGGTCTCACCCCATTTCAAACAGTTCCAATATTTTCACAGAAATGTCAGCGTTTTCGCTTCGAGCATCCTTTCACCTCCATGATTGCCGGAGTGACCGGGTCCGGAAAAACGGCCTGGGTTCGATCGCTATTGCAACAAGTTTCAGAGACCATTTACCCTCCCCCGGAGAGGATCGTTTGGTGTTATTCACAATGGCAGCCTGCGTATACACAAATGTTAGTCGCCATGCCAAACATTGAATTCGTCAAGGGAATTCCTACGGCTTTGGAGCAGGATTCCTATTTTGATGTGAACAAACGGAATTTGATCGTGTTTGATGATCAGATGATTGACGCCAGTAAAGACAAGCGAATTGTGAACCTCTTTACTCGTGGTTCTCATCATCGCAATCTGAGCGTGATTTATATCGTGCAGAATCTATTTCATCAGGGGAAAGGTAGCCGCAGCATAAGCCTAAACAGCCATTATCTGGTGTTATTCAAGAATCCACGAGACAAATTGCAAATCCTGACTCTGGCGAAGCAAATGTATCCCGGGCAGACTGATTTCTTTTTAAATCAGTACGAAGAGGCTGTAAAAAGACCTTTTGGTTATCTTCTGATTGATCTGAAAACTACTACCCAAGATAATTGTCGGTTGCGAACAAACGTCCTGCCCAGTGAAGAAGGCTTTAACCAAGCAGGGTTTCAAGAAAATATTCCTCAAGAGCTTCTAAAATATCTGAAGCAGCAAACTCTTTCGCCTGTCCCGCTTCTTCCAGCTATACAAGAAATACAAGGCAACATGGATGACGTGCTTTCTCGAAACGATCTTCGGGACGATGAAAAAGCTAAACGATACCTTCAGTTGCAAAACAGATACCTGGCTTTTAAAGAACAATTAAATACAAGAACACGACCGGAAGAAATAATCAGCACTGTTCCAGACTTAATACCAAGGACACAAGATTCTTCGACAGCAACGACAGCATTCTCTACTCCCCTCAACCCCTTTAATGTAACACCTGAATTAACAGAAGCGGCTATCTCTCAAAAACCTGACAAAGAAAGCCTCACCCCTCCACCACCCTTAAATCCTGCTTTCCTGACCCCTCCTCGCACAGTAGAAACCCCATCACAACAAGGCCCGAAGCGCAAAAGGCGTCGGATTCAATTTCTAAATTATTTGGATGATCATAAATCTCATGGCAAAACAGCTGAAGAAACGTCGGCATAAGAAAATTAAACCTTACAAGTACTCCATGGGCGAAGATGAAGATTAATTAATTTCCATTCCTGTGTATTTGACTCTTTTTGTCATTGTTTTTTAATAAAGTTGTTTAAAACGGTATCTCTCTTGTGTTTTTATTGCTAGCAATTATGAGTCGCGTGTTTTAATTGATCCTTGTTAAGTTATTTGTTTTATAACAATACGTCAAGATTCTCTCCCTTGGGTCTTTCCTGTAGAGATAATTTGTATTCAACTTTGGGCTTGCGAACTCGCATAATTAACTTATTAACTGTGCGTGAAACGTTGAGACTTCAATAGTTTTTCATGTCCTCGAGATTGATGGGAGAAAACGTCAGACAAACTTAGAGAGTTTCAGCTCCAATTTGTGTATCTTTTGTTTATATATATCCGAGTTTTAGCGCTAAATAAGAAGACGTAAACTAAATTGAAATAAAGACTTTTCAACTCCACTTTCTGTATGTGTTTTGTTTATGTATATCTAAGTTTTAGCGTTAAATAAGATATAGGAAGCCGTTTCTGGCGTTGTTAGGTGATCGCTTCTCTTATTCCTATTTTTCTTTTAATAGACGGTCCGAAAACCGGGCTCAAGTTACTTACCGGGCAAGTCTAGGCAAGCCTATTGTTCTTATTGAAGTACAGTGACGCTCATTAGTAAACCTATACCGAATTAGTATGCAGGAAGACAGTTATTAGATGGAGGAACGAATTTTTTTTGGCGAGGGAATCCTGCATATGTAGTGAAGGGAATCCACTTTTTGCGAGGGAATCCAAAGGGAATCCACCAAAACGGTTAAGTTTCAACATAGTAGACTACTGTCGTCGCTTAAGCTACTAAAACACATAGTAGTAGTATTCGCAACAAAAAAAAAATGGCATTACCTGTGGTTATGGACACCCAATATGAACGTGGTCCTTCGCCTTTAGAGGTAAAAGCTGTCACTGCTATTTGGTAAGTTGTGGCTTCCTTAAGGTCCCTCAATATCACCATAGTAACATTAGCACTGCTAGTGTTAACACTCTCAGTCAAATACGAGTAATAATAATAATAAGATCTGTATTCCCTAAAATAGACTCTGTATCCAAGGAGACGTCCGTTAGCGTAATATTGGGAAAGTGGATTCCACTGTACTTTCACATCAGTCTGCTCAAAGTTTGAAAGTCGGATGAATGACGGAGCTCTGCTAGGAACTGAGAAAATAAATCGTTTTTTATGTTTTAGCATATCACTGAGGTACGGGAGAATGTTGTCAATGCAAAATGCGCGCATGAAAATCACCCCACGCGAGAAAGGGCGACGCCGCTCCCGTTTCGCTCTCTCTACTATCCTTGAGGAAAAATGGGGGACTAAATTCGAGGTTAAAAATAGAAGAACATCTTTAAATAATACACGTACCCCCTTCGTCTGTCCATGCTGTGATCTCTGTACTGTTGTAGGCATTCCCACTGTAATTTACACCAAAAACAGATAACCGATATTCCCTATAAGCCGTTAGTCCAGAGAACACTTGGGAAGTAGTATTTCCCGGGACGATATAGCCGTTTAAACCACTACCATATGAATTTTTTATGACTGTAACGTAATAACTTAATTGTTGACCGACAAGTGTTTGCAGGTTTGGCCAGGAGAAACGGATTCTTGTTGTGGTAGTGTTGTCAATGAAAACACTCCAGTTAGCCGGTGAAAATGCTAAAACGATAAATAAGAAAGAGGAAAACCATGAAGCATGAAACTAATAACAACTGAAGTTACACGATATCACTGGGAATGTCAGAGAATGAGATTACAAGAAATAAATATATGTTGCCAACACACACACACACACACACACAAATCTCTCAAATAGTTCAGTAATAATTTCTAACAATCAATGAAAAAACAAAAACACAAAAAACAAACAACAAAACAACATTAAATGAATTTAGCAAATTAAAGGCTAACCTGATTCTTGTTTTAAAATTCCAAATTGTAACTGGAAGTTACTGTAGCTCCGCCTTAGGTAGATCTGCACAGTGATATTTCCAGAATTCCCAAAAGAAACTTCCCTGAAAGATTTCTGAGTTACAGACGAGTATCCATAGCGACTGAAAACCGTGATACCATTACCATCAATGATCTTTAAGTACTCACTGTGAAAAGAACAATGAGATCGGTGTCATGTGATACGCTCAATAAAAAAGTTGCTTAATAAGTTGAAAAAAACAACTGTATTGTTTACTGGTTACTTTGAAGGAATTATGTTCCTAGATCAGGGGTGCTTTTTTATTGTGTGCAACCTAACACGAGAATGATTAGCTGCGCAGTACAAATGCATTGCTTTACAAGAAACAAACAAAAGATAATGCATTTAAAAAAACATAACAATAAAAAGAATATATATGCCTGCAAGTAAGAACTGAATATAAAATTAATCACCAATATACAGTTCTAAAAAAATAAGTGTTAATATGCGCCTCAAAACTGTTCACATTCGTAATCGCACAAAGTTCTTTTGGAAGAGAGTTCCAGAGCGTTGGCGCTGCTACCAGAAAAGCTCTATTACCTAACGTAGTGTTTGATCGAAAAGCTGGCATAGAAGGAAAAAATCTAAGATTTAAGGTTTTATAAAAACGATTTAGGTGTTAGTAAATCGCATCGAGATTTAGGAGCCAGGCCGTGAATTGCTTTGAACGTAATAAGCAGTATCTTAAATTGTATCCGCGCTTTAACAGGAAGCCAATGCAGACCACGAAGAAGGGGTGAGATGTGGCAAAACCTAGGCGCATTACAAACTAGCCAAGCTGAGGCGTTCAAAACTCTCTGCAATTTGTTAAGCTGGTAGTTGGGCAACCCATACAAGGACTGTTGCAATAATCAACACGAGATGTAATAAATGCATGGACAAGCAGTTCCGTTGATTCTCGAGACAAATACTTGCGAACGCGTTTGATATTATGCGAGTGGAAAAAGGCAACACCACATAACTTGCTAATATCAGTTGACATAGTGAGCTGCTCATCAAACCATGAGCCTAGGTTTCTAGCTACTGTTACAGGACAAACATCAGTCGATCAAACCCTAATGCAATTGATGTTAACCTTTGCCAGCTGCTGCCTAGTACCAATCACTAAAAAATCTGTTTTATCATCGTTTAACATAAGATTATCTAAAATCATCCAACTCCTAATATCACTGATACAGTCAGTCATGGACTTGATGGCACAATCAGCATCCGCAGATTGATTGGGGCTGAATGATGCATATAACTGTGTATCGTCCGAGTAGAAATGAACTTGCGGGGGGTGGCGTTCAATGACCTGAAACAGTTTGCGCGTGTAGATACTAAAAAGCAAAGGGCCCAAACATGATCCTTAGGGAACAACTCGTTTTAAACGAAACTGATCGGAGAGACTACCATTTAAAAAGAAACAATGCAACCGGTTAGATAGATACCATTTAAACCAGGCAAGCTCATTGTCAGTTATTCTAAAATCAGACTCAAGACGACCAATCAGCTTATCATGATGTATCGTGTCAAAAGCTGCACTTAAATCTAATAATACGAGCAAGGTGACTTGTTGCTCGTTCATAGACATCAAAATACCATTGTTAACTTTTAACTAAAGCCGTCTCCGTGCTACGTTGCTGTTTATACGCCGATTGAGGCTGAGAATGTAAATTGTTGGCAGTCAGATGCTCCAGAAACTGCTCAGCCCCAGCCCTCTCTGACAATTTAGAAATATAATAGAGGTTACTGACTGGACGAAAATTTTTGAACGCAAAGTCCAAACCAGGCTTCTAGAGAGATGGCAACACAAGCACCTCTTTCCAGGCCTCAGCGAATCGACCGGTGTCAAACAGAGGTTGATCAGCTTAGTGATGACTGGCAATAGAACATTCAGCAACTTGAGAACAATCGGAGTGGGAATGGGGTCGAGTTGACAAGATTTACCCGCTGCTTTACTAATCAACATGCGCACTTGTTCTTGAGAGAGAGTCCTGAAACCGTCAAACTGTTGTTTCAGGCATTTAATGTCAGTAGCAGGCAGAGATGGTACGGACGATTAGATGAATTAGCCAAACACGCGTTCATATTCTAAATCTTCTGTGCAAAGAAATTTCCAAAATCATTGGGAAGCTGAACAGTGTCAACACGAGGAAATGATGCAGTGTTGGTGTCAAACAACAGGGACTTTGTAACATTCTGATCAGAACTGTTTTACTGGATATGATTGGTGTAATAATCGCATCGAGCTTGGTTCATCACGTATATTGCATGGTTTTTCTTCTGTTTGAAAACACTTAGATCCTGTGCAGATTTAGAATAGCGCCATTTCCTCTCACCTCTCCGCCTAGCCTTAATAGCACCCTTAATTTTGTGGTTAAAGCAAGGCACACGCTTCCTATTAGAAACAGATTTAGTTCTCGGAGGGGCGTATTTATCAAGCAACGACGACAGCGCGGAGTTGTAGCAGGAGACCATCATATCCAAATCCGTAAAAACATTGGTACACAATTCAGACGTTGTTAACATGACATATAACATCATTCTTTTTATAATGGTTTTGAAAAGTTTTAATTTGTCGCCATTTTGCTACACCATTCGTCTTAGTCTTCTCTCGGTAGCCTCTCAGAAACAAAGGAAATGTGACGTAAATTAGGGAACACGTGACGTCAAGTGAACAGGTGTAAAGTTCTAGAAAAATTTCTTCCATTTCACAAACTAAAACAGCCGTAAAAGTAAAACAAGCCAGCAAGATGCGTTGCAGTCGGATGCAACAACACTAGCAACCCTAAGAAAGGGTTGAGCATATCTAAAATCCATTTTTTTTTAAATTCCTGGATTCAAAACGTCACATAAGAGCCTGACAATGTCATGATCAGCGGCACAGGTGTGCCAAATAAATTTAGACGTAACTTTTATCTAAAAAACATCTCTTGTTGTTTACACATTTTTTTTTTCGAAAAAGGTATCGTAGTAATGAGTTCTTTTAGTTAGAATAATAATAATAATCATAATAATGATAATAGGTTATTGGCACTTTCACATACTGATTTAAATCATCTTTTTCGCCTCATATTTTCAAGCAACTCGAATAAATATATAAATGTTAAAGAATCAACAAAAACTTCCTCTTCATGAGTATTAAATTTTCTCTGCAAAAAGTAAAAGAATACAATAACGAAAGGGAAAGAAATCATATTCCTTTACAATATTCCATGAACGTAGCACACTCGCCTGTAATAAGACAGATACAGCCCCTGCAATGACACAAGAGCAACAGCTTGGCTTATTCCTGCATTTTGAATCCTCCAGTTGCATCGCAGAGTAAAAGAACTATAGTACGATGAACGACGGATTTGCAAGTTTCCAAACAACTCATTTAAGACCCCTCCGCAACCTACAAATCAAACAATATCTCTTTTCATTTGATACAGTGATTCAAACAATGTCAATTTTAAGGTTATACAGTACCTTAAAAACAACAACTTTTGTTTTCTTTCTTTTCATTTTGTGGTTAGGGAATTTGTCAGCTATGTATTTATATACCCATTTTCTTGGATTCCTCACGTTATTTGCATCCACAGTAATGGGAAACTACTCGTAAATTATAGGATAAGCAAGAATACTAAGCATAAATAACTACGCGAAGGGTTTATCATACAGAACACTGTATGCTGTGGTCAATTACATGTGTGACCAAACGCAAATCGCTATAAATTTTCTGTAACTACCATTTTTTTTATATGTATGCCAATATAATAATAATAATAATAATAATAATAATAATAATAATAATAATAATAATAATAATAATAATAATAATAAAATAATCGAAATATAAATACTACTACTACTACTACTACTACTACTACTTCTACTACTACTACTACTAATAATAATAACAATAATAATAATAACTAACCTGTAATGAGCGGTCACCCTTGGAGAATGGGTTACTGACCGTTTAATACAGGTTTGACAAACCTAAGAGTTATTCAAGAACATGAGGATGACGAAAAAGTAAAATATCTACCCCAAGACAAGAAGTGAAAGACCAATTAACGCCATACACACTGTATCTGTCCCCCTTATGTACATCTTGTCAAATTGACGTTTAATAGAGGTGAAGATAATGAAAAATAACCCGTTGAAACCACGGAAAAGGTGACCTCGGCAAGTTAATGGAGTTGTCCGCTTAATACAGGTCAGAGCTATTCAGGGAAATTATTTCAGGGACTTTGGTAGTTGACCGCTTAATAGAGCGTGACCGGTAACTAGAGGTTTGCTTATTACCTGTGGTTATGGACATCCAATACGAGCGTGGTCCTTCCCCTTTTGACGTAAAAGCTGCCACTGCGATTTGGTAAGTTGTAGCTTGCTTTAAATCCCTCAATATCACCATAGTAACATTAGCACTGCTAGTGTTGACACTACTTGTCAAATACGAGTAATAATAATAGTAAGATCTGTATTCCCTAAAGTAGACTCTGTATCCAAGGAGACGTCCGTTAGCGTAATACTGGGAAAGTGGATTCCACTGAACTTTCACCTCAGCCAAATGTAAGTTTGAAAGACGGATATACGATGGAGCTGTGCTGGGGACTAAGAAAAAATTGCATTTCATTTGTACAGGGAGAATGACTCTCGCGCAAAACTGAGACAATCAACACACAGCAATTTCGATCGTGACCTTATGTACAAGATGACGGACGCATTATAGAGATCTTTTAGCTAGAACAGAGTTGAAAGCGTTAATGCGTCGTTATGGAAATCAAAGAATAAACGGGTTAAAAATATTTTGTTTTTAATATAATGCACTTACCTCCTTCGTCTGTCCATGCTGTGATCTCTGTACTGTTGTAGGCATTCCCTCTATAATTTACACCAACAATAGATAACCGATATTCCCTCCATGCCGATAGTCCAGATAACACATGGGAAGTAGTATTTCCTGAGACGATGTACTCGTTTACACGACTACCATATGAGTCTTTGACGACTATGAAGTAATGACTTAATTGTTGACCAACAAGTGATTGCAGGTTTTGCCAAGAGAATCGGATGCTTGTTGCAGTAGCATTGTCAGAGGAAACACTCCAGTTAGCCAATGGAAACGCTAAAAACAAAGAAAAAAGAGAAAAATATAGTAACATGTTACTGTGAAACTCACATAACCGTGAACACCAGAACTATTTATGGAATGTTTTTGTGTTGCGAGAAATAAGCCAATAAGGCGCAAGATAATTAAACCGCAAACAGCAACGGTAATTAGATTATGGTTTTGAGGTTTGCTCGCGTTTCCTGAACTTTACAGTGATCAGCCAGTACACAATCAACATTCCTGAAAATTTTCAGGTGTTCACGGTTTTCTGAGTTTGACATTAATTATAATTGAAAGTTTCAAAGACAGGTGATGATACATGGAGAGTGTGGAAAAAGGAGTGATGGGGGGAGGTGTGGGGATGTCCCCGCAAAATGATGTCTGAACATCGAGCGCAGAAATTCCGTAGTGATGACGTGTCACTGCCCATACCCAGATCTGGGTAGTGATTCCGATGGGTTGAAACCAATGTTCAACAAATCAGAGGCACTACCAAAATCTTTGTTTTGCTGCAAAGCGTGCACAGGGTTGTGTGCATCCGTAGCAGGGTTTGAAGCAACATTAAACGAATTTAGCAGATTAAAGGCTAACCTGATTCTTGTTTTAAAATTCCAAATTGTAACTTGAAGTTACTGTAGCTCCGCCTTAGGTAGACCTGGACAGTGATGTTTCCAGAATTCCCAAAAGAAACTTTCCTGAAAGTTTTCTGAGTGACAGACGAGTATCCATAGCGACTGAGAACCGTGAAACCGTTGCCATCAATCACCTTAAGGTATTCACTGTAAAAAAAAAAAAAGAGAGAGAAAAAAAAGGGCAAAACAAAAAAACAAAACAAAACATTACACTTCAAATTAGTACATTATGCGTCCAACTTTTATAAGTAAATAAAACCTGACTGTGTATGTTATTGTCATGGATACGTTATCATGTTGCCACCCCTAGGGGGCGGGGGAGTCTTGATCGTTAAATCATTTTTGCCATTGTTTGTGTGCGTTTCCGGTGTGATCCAATTTATTCGCGGGTGTTTACTGTAATTTTTTAATTGGTAGTCCATAAATATATCACACTAACCTATAATAAGACAGAGACAGTTGCGGTAATGACACAAGTGCAACAGCTTGGCTGATCCCTGCATTGCCAATTTTCCAATTGCAATACAGCGAATAAGAATAGTACGATCTTCGGCCGACTTGTAACTTTCCAAACAATTCATTTAAGCTGCCTCCACAACCTGCAACGCATTCATGAGAGATTGTCTCCTGTTGTTTGCTAGTTTTCACTGTCACGTCATTAAAACATAAAGAAATCAAAACCGCTTAATAGATATAGTCCAGAATCTGGGAAATGAATGGAGATAAATAAGTTAATCGCCAAGATTCAGGTCAGTACAATGTTTCATAAGCGAGAAATTATTTACACAAATTTATAGAGTTTTGTATGGGGACGCCATGTTGGTGCACACCCGGATGGCGAAGCCGCGAGTGGAGGTGAACAGTAGAGCTTGTAACGATCTTTTTCATTTCTGCTTTGCCCAGACGAAGCGAAATACCATTGGCTAAAAAATTGCTGACCTGCCATAAATGCTTGCCGTGCATTTAGTAACACGATACGGAAAAAGACGATTGCAGCGTTGTTTGAGAGGGTCTGGGTTCAGAACTAGCGCTGAAGCTTAAAAAACAACAAAACCGCGCCGCTAGGATCATAACCTTTTCCAGTTGTGATTTTAGCTCCGGCCCCCTACTGCAAGAGCTTGCATGGGACAACCTTTCTGTGCGCAGAATTATGCTTTATGCTTTATTATTCATTTATTTATTTATTTATATCTGCTGCTCGCTGTAGAAATGTTCAAGGTGTACAACAATATGGCACCTTAATACCTATGCCAAAATTTTTGAAAATGAGGCCCAGCTATGATACTAGGGGCTCCTCTTCTCGATTTCAAATGCCCCTTCCCAAAACCAATTGGCAGGAACGTTTTGGCTATAGGGATGCATTTATTTGGGATGATTTAACGAGGATTTGCGTGATTGCAAATCAATGAACTTATTTAAATCTAAATCGGACCGATTGCTTCCCAGCTTCTTTTATTCGTTACTATAATCCTAGCTTAAAATTATTTTATTTAAGGTTAATACCTAGTTTTACAAATATTTTTTTTCTTTTTCAAAACTAATTAAAAACAAAAACCAAAACCAAAACCGCTCATAGATATATACATTTGTTTTTGTTTTTGTTTTGTTTTGTTTTTTTTTATCACGGCTTTCATGTAAACCAGCTTTAGCTGATAAAACTACCGTATCTAAATAAAACATATCTCAAATAAAACGATAAAACATCAAATAGGGAATATCATGATTACTACTTTCTCCCGCGAAGAACAAGATCGGTCTCTCTTTCTGTGATCGGTGAACGATTTCTGAGGCCTGTGCATGTGTAGCTGTATTTTTTACCCTTCAGTTTGGATCTCAACCCCGCGGAATATATGAACTGGGAAATCAGAGGGCTGGAATGAGGTTGCCAGGAATACATTACGATACTAAATCTTACCGCGATTATTGTGTTCAAAAGTTCCCCCTCAACGAAATCAGATAATTTCATATCCAAGTAGCCTCCCCGCAGACGTCCTTTTGGGTTCGTTTGTCACGCATTCATTTCTCGTGGGGGAGAAATGAATGCCTGACAAACGAACCCCAAAGGACGTCTGCAGGGAGGCTAATATCCAAGCGGATGCGTGGAAGATCAATCTTCTCAAGAAAAAAAGAAAAACGTTGCAGTTATGAATAAACATTTTTTGGAGGCAAGTCGAGTAACACCAGGGATTTTTTATGACGCCAAAGTTTAAAGAGAATGTAGCTTCTTTGAGAAACGACACGTCTCAGCTGAATTCAAGGATTGCAGCTCCGACTAAGCTTATAGACTACGATACAGATCAGAATGTCTAGACCAATTTTCTTCTCTTGGTAATCTTGTCTTTGTAATTGTAATTGTAATATTTTGCTCCTGGAACGCTAGCGTCACTAGCTCGTGGCCGATGCAGGTAACTGACAAACGGCTGACACATTTCTTGTTTCCGGTGACAGTTTTCACACTTTGCGGTTTCCTGCGGTTTCCGAGGTGGAATGAAAATTGATGAGAGATTGTTGCAAGCTCCCACTTTTTTCCCCGCACCTCGCACTCGCGTCTTCTTTCGCGTGCTGCTCTCGCGTGACTTCTGGCGACTTCCCCAAGTGCAGTGCTTCCTCGCAGGCTCACGAAACCATGAATTCAGATCTTTCGGGGAACTGATGAACATTGAAGTAATACTTTTTCTAATACAATGACTGTTCAGGAGGCAACATCTCCCCATATATATAAGTCACTTTTTACGCTACATGACAGATCTATTAGCCGATATGTAAATGCCGCGTCTGACAAAAGCTTGGAAATTTGTTCAGAATTCGTCGCTCTATCTTCATACACATTTTCACAGTTATAAATAAATAAAGAGGTTGAGTATGAAAAGAAGACTTCTCTGCGCAGGGTGATCAACGCTAATCAGAATTTTATAATTGATTAAAATTTAACAGCATTATGACATAAAACATCACCTGTTGTTATGGACTGCCAGTAAGACTGGGTTCCAGGTCCTTTAGACGTAAAGGCTGCTACGGCTATTTGATAGCGAGTTGCTGCCTTGAGACCTCTTAATATCACCATGTTAGTATACGGATTACTAGTGCTAGCCGATTTTCTCAAGTACGAGTTATAATACTCGTAATAGTAGACAGTGTATCCGAGGAGACGCCCATTAGCAAATTGATGAGGGATGGGATACCACTGCACTTTAACTTGATCAAACCGTACGTTAGACACTCTTACATTAGACGGTGCCCTACTGGGGACTAAAGCAAACACAGACCATCAATTATAGTTCAAATAGGTGTATTCTCCATACTCAGTCAATGACAGTATAATTACATGTATGATACTGTAAATTAACTAATTACTGAATTATTAGTGAAATTATTCAGTCAACTACAGTATAAAATTGACAGATAATTAATTGAAAATTTTGCATTGCATTGCAGTGTGTGTGTGAGTGTGTGTGTTGTTCTGTTTTGTTTTTGTTTTTGTTTTTGTTTTTTTTCAAAACGTATCAAAATAGGGGTCATGCAATTTAAGCATTTGGAAAATGCCCTATGGTAATTAAATTTGAAATTAAACGAGACACGTCATTATAATATCAACCTTCAATAATATACAGGGGAAAAAATATCATACAATCAAAATTAGTGGAGGGTGTTTGTAATTGCCACCTACGAAACCTTAGAAACTGCAAGCTGATACCAGAAACCCAATCTAATTTAATCTTGTTGAAATTGCGCATGCATTCCGGCACTTGCTGAATGCTTCACAATTATTTATAAATTACTCATCAGCCAGGCACAGTGATCCGTTCTCTGGGATATTTCCATCACATTCCATCATTTTTACACTGCGGTTACTAAAAACTGAATTGCTCTCACCAAATCAGATTCAATATTATTCAAGTATATTTTCATGACAATAACATGAATGAAGAGGGAAAACAATGTAGTTTTTTTGTGAAAGAATGAAAGATGGTAAATTTTAAGCTCGGGGAAATAAATGTAAAAATGAAATGATCAGCATCTCACGGGCCTGGGACAAAGAAAAAAGAAAGAAAAGTATATGGCCTCGCTCTCCACGAGTTCTCCGCAGCTCAACACACAACAAATTTGAAAATTCAAGCGCGCTACAAAGAAAGCCTAAACGCACGTGCCTTTAACGTAAGTATTGTTATACTACACTTGCCTCCTTCCTCTGTCAGGGCTGTGACGTTTGAACTGTTGTAGGGTTGACCGTAGCTGTTTATTCCGATGATTCTTACTTGATATTCAGTGTAACTTGACAGCCCCAGAACGTTTGCAGTGTTCATATTTCCAGAAACGACAGCTACACCTGATAGGTTACCATGGTGGGCGTTTGCGATATAATAGAGTACGGTATCACCGATAAGCGGTGCTAAATTCTCCCAATGAACTGCCATCGAAGTTCTCGAGGTGTCGCCAACGGTCACGTTCCAGTTGATAGGTTGAGCTGACAGATTGAATTACAATGAAAATAAAAAACCTTTACGAGATACCGATATGTTTGGATATTGCTAGGCTTTTATCAGGATCTTTCGGAGGTTGTGCAACGTCTGCGCGCATCAGTGCAACCAAACCATCAAATTTAAATGAAATTAATATCAAAAAGGGAAACACCTGCAAGTATTCCCAATTTAGACTGCTTGCAGTCCGCCTTTTTTTCTTAAAATTCGTCTAGTTCCTATCTTAGCCTGCGCGATTGCAAGCCACGACGTTGCTACAATAATGCTAATGTATAAACCTTAATATATCAGAGAGTTTTATCAGACTATATAATTAATTCAATTAGGTCTATGCAAAGATTCTAACCTGAGAAAAGACCTTGCTTCACAATCCCGTATTGAAGCTTGAAGCGACTGTAGCTCCCTCTTAAATGGATCTGAACAGTTATGTTATCAGCGTGTCCGAACCCAACCTGAACGAAAGATCCCAGAACCGGCGAATAAGGATATCCATACTTATGCCAGACCAGTGATCCATTTCCGTCAGTTACTTTGACGTATTCACTAAAACACGAAGAAAAACGTGGTAATAATAATAATAACAATAATAATGATAATAATAATAATAATAGTAATAATAATAATAATAATAAAGATAATAACAATAATAATAATAATAATAATAATAATAATAATAATAGTAATAAATTAACTTTAAACCGCCGATATGTTATGTTTCCTAGCAGTCAAGAAAATATTAGAGAGAAGAAGTGTGATATATTGTTACCATGGGAGCAAAATGTCTAGATCTCAAAAGTCTTTCTGGGATGGAAGAAAAGTAAGGGCTAGAAATGCTCTAGCTATTAGAAAAGGGAGAGATTGAGCCAACACAATCTACTTTAATTTCACTCAGGTGGTCAGCAGCTATGCAAATTTCTTGCAACAAATGAAAGCTTTTACACGAGAAAAGAGTTCAATCTCCACAGGAGTTTTTAGACTAGCGACCGAGTCGAAGTCGGAGTCGGAGTCGTAAGCGGAGTCGTAAGAGTGCTTATGACCTAGTGAAAATAAAAAATGAATGTCGTAAACGGAGTGATAATCGCAACGGGATCGGACTGTCAGAAGAATCCGAACGTTTCCATTTCTTCCGACACCCCTTACGACTCAATCGCTTACGTTTTGCTTGTGATTTAGTGAAAACCAGATTGCCGGAGTCGGAAGCAGAAACGGAAGTAGCCTGTTCCAGGCTCTCAGATAGTGGGGAAGACGCGAAAGAAAAAAGGACGCGAAAAGTTGGCGGGGCGGGAAAAAGGAAAAAGGAAAGGAGAGAGAGAGCCTGTAATCATTTCTTTTACGACCCTCTTCCGTCCACTTTTGACACGTTCGAGATGATTAGATTTCGGCTGTCAAACTGTTGAAATGTGAATGAGCTGGAATCTTGCTCAAATTTCTCGCGAGATTATTTCACGTTATTTCATTATAATCCCTCATGCGAACGTGTGCAATCTGGAGTGTAAAAAGCTGGTCGGTAGACAACACAAGACTTTCAGCTCTTGCCAAAATGCTGCTTATTCCACGAATATTTTCTCTCACAGTACGGGTAGATTATGCTCTGGAGGGTCTACATTTTGACTGAGCAAACTATGTGATTTTGGCTCCTTGTTTCATGCTGAGAGGTCGTGACACGCATATTGCTGGTTTTAAAGTTTTCAATATCACGCCATTCAAACTACTAGTTAAAATAAAAATCAAAACCGTTCAATAGATAAGGTCCAGAATCTGGCAAATGAAAGCAGGTACATATACAAAGACCCTCGCCAAGATTCAGGTCAGAGGAATTTTTCGTATACGAGATATCCGAAGAAATGTTTTACCCAAACTTATAGAGATTTGTGTGGAGACGCCATGCTGGTGCTCACCTGGATGAGCTCCAACATGGCGGACGGAAACCAACAGAAACATCTGTTACCGAGTTTTGCTACAAAAGCGTGAATTTATTCTTCGAGAAACTAAAAAACATTAAAGTAATACTTTTTCTAATACATGAACTGTATAGATAGCAAAATTTCCTGAAATAAGTAATTTTTTTAACCTACATGAAAGCTCGATCTTTTGGTCGTCATGTAAATGCCGCGTCACGCAAAAACTTAGAAATTAAAGCGTAGTATAATTTATCACAAAACCAAGAACCTTTTTGAAGCGAAAATTTGTATGAAAATTAGTTTTCAGCTGCTCTAATGCACCCTGAAAGTAAAATCTCGGTAGGTTAGATAGTTTTTTAGTTTGAATTTTAGTGACGTCATATGAAAACCAACAATTGATTTTCTTTCTGGTCGACATGATTGATGATTCGCCCTCTTATGCAAGATCATTCTCTTTATTTATTTTTTATTTTTTTAATTTTTTTTGAAACGTACAGTTCTTAAATGCGGTTAGATGAGGGTTTTAGGTTGTTTAATTTCTCCAAAGTCTTTCTTGTTCTGAATAACTGCAAGCGATTTTATTTTGTCCTTGAATGTGATGGTTTACTACAATGTTTTGTCACGCTGGGCCTCTCTCGTTAGTGTTTTTAAGTTCTCACGGATAGTGATTCACAGATCCAAATTTCGAAGAATGGATTGCAGCTAAAACTGAAGCTACTTTAAATATGAAGAACTACGTTGTAAGTCAGTCAAGATTGTTCTTATGCAACTCCAGCTTGTTCTACTAAAGAGATCTAAAGATAATGTAGTGGACTGGAGCGCGTAGATAACTCCTTCTTGCGACTGTTCTGTTATTTGTTTACCACCTTGTTATCAGGCAAGACCGAAACAGGTCGGCAGGATTACAAAAAAATATTTTCCACGCGCCAAGTTCACCAGGCAGGTTTTATGTTCCTTCCTCGGCGCTCCTATGTGCGGGAAATCTCGTAAACATTCGTTCAACACAGAAGTTATCGTGGATTCCTCTAGTTCACGCGCGTGGACGCCGCACACCATCTTTCTGAGTGACAGGAACGACCCGCTTTGAGAGTGATAATATAATCTGTCAAATCAGACGGTATACCAGGAGCTGGTATACCGGAACGGGTCGTTCAAAGAAATGATTACAGGCTCTCCCCAGTTTCCTCCCGTTTTATTTTCGTGTTTGCGCTTTCTCAATTCAGCGGACCTGAATATCTCCGAGCCTGCAACAGGCTAAAACGAAAGGGTAAAGCAATCACAATGCACGTTCCCACGCTTTTTGACTGGTTTGGTTCTTACGCTTCTGCTTCCGACTCCGACAATCTGGTTTTCAGTAGATCATAAGCGGAACGTAAGCGACGGAGTAGTAAGCGGAATCGGAACGCTGTTTTCACTAGATCATAAGCTCTACGCTTCTGACTACGACTCCGATTCCGACTCCGTTGCTAGTGAAAACCAGCCTTCATCTGTTCTTGTTGTTCTCGTTGTTATTTATTTATTTATTTACTTATTTACCAGCTTTATGGACACAGGCCTGCCCAGAGGGAATTTGCACGAACGGGACTCCGGTCCCATGCAAGGTGCCATCCCTACCCAATACCACAACCCGTAAAGGTTGGCCACACCACCGGGGTTTACCACCCCTACTCTTTTCAAATAGTGACGTGGCTTCTTTTACGTCCCACAAGAACAAATCAATGAAAGTGCTGTGCGACGGGACCTACGGCTTTTCGTCCTTATCCGAGAAGACTAGAAAGTCTATCCATTTGCAGATGTCATTACAAAGGCAGCACTTTCTTGTCAGGTATTTAAAGAACCTGAGTGTTGTTCCGGCCGGGGTTTGAACTCCCTACCGTGCATTTTGTTGCTGCCGTCGTGGACAATAGCAGAGATAGCCACAAGTAGATCATTTCCACACTTGAACGACACACTGACGACATGCGATCCTCCATTGCAAAATTACATAATTTATGATCCGTTTGGGCTTTCTGAGGTTGTTTAAGACAACCATACAAGCAAACAAACCTTGTAGAATCGTTCCAAGGAATTAGTGGTAATTAATACTCAGTACCTGTAATATGACAAATACAGATCTTGTATCCACACAAGTGCAACTGCCTGATTTATGCCCCCTCTGCCAACCACAAGGGTACATGTTATATAGCTCGAGCCCCTGTTGGAACCAGTCTCTAGGCGGCCAAACGACCGATTTGTGTATCCTCCGCAACCTAATTGACGGTAAGAAATGAAAACTAGTTATTTAATTTCAATTAGTTAAATGATTCTAAACACACTGCGATTTTGCTAACCATGTACCAGGACCAGTTTATATCGGTCGTAAAAATGAGTGGAATTATTATAAATATACTATTCGTCGGGAACAATTGGTACGGTGTATGATTTATGAAAATGTTTTATTTCTTCCCTTGGTTGCTACCAGTCAGTAATGTATAGTATAGTCTACAAAAACAAAGCATTGTTTAATCGAGAACTATGGTACATGAGGAATGTTTCAAACGTCATGATTCTGCCGGGCTAAGCTGCTTCGACCTCAAAACGACCACAGCCATCTTCGTTTTTGACGTCGAATAAAGTAGCTCTTGTCAAAAACAATATAAAAAAAAAACAACTTCTAAGATGATTCTAATGTATTTCTAATTTATTAATAGAGTTCAGCATGGCAGTAGCACGACGTTTGAAACGTTTGAGTATAGACCATGAAAATGACGTCATGATGACGCAATCCGCTTTTCTTTTTGAGGCTCTCAGGTGCGGTTTACTGAATGCAAGTTTAAAACAGGCAATGTTATTGTAAAATCAACAAATGACGTCAGCATGTTCAGATCTTTGTAGTGAAACAGCAAAGAAAATAGGAGACGTGTTCAAGCAGGCTATGAAACCAATCGACTGTGGCTTGTGATACGAATTCAGTTTTGAACTTTCTGACGTCACGTCACCTCGATTTGTTCAATTTACCTGTTGTGACGTAATAGAAAGGTGTAAGCGGTCCAGTTCCTGTGCGTGTGAACCCCGCCACGCAGAATCTGTAAGAGTGTGCTGCTTTTAAACCACTCAACACCAGCATATGGACATCTGGGCTACTTGTGTTGACTCGTTTTCTGTTATACCGATAATAGGGATACTCTTCGTAGATGACCACATATCCCAGTAGTCGGCCATTTACACTGTGCTCAGGTATTTGATTCCACTGCACCTTTAATTCACTAAAATGAAGCGTAGAAACTCGCAAGCCTGAGGGTGCAACGCTTGGTACTGCCAAAATAAAGACATAAAAAAATATATATATAAATGACGGTATTGGTTAGAAGGTACGCCAAAAAAGGAAATATAAAAAAAGAAAATTACCTTAAGGTGGTTACCAGGAGTATCTAACGTCAAAGTAATACCTAAGCTCTATATCAGAATAAAGGTTATACACCTGGCTAACTAAATATAACTAAAAGCGGCAGCTCATTCTGCTATTTTGATTTGTTCTCATGTTTTCAAGCTAAAAAACAAACAAACAAACAAACAGACTTGAAAAGTTCCGAAGCATTTGCAAATAGGGCCAAACATTGCTGGGTGATCATACAGAAATTAATTAATCTTAACAGGAAAGGTATGAAAAAAATTATAACAAATCCCGACAATGTTTTGTTCTTTAAGTATTAAACTAACCTTTCTCCAAATTCAGTGTAGCCTCCTACGCAGAAATTGTCAAGTTTCCGTTACGCGTTCATTGTATGGCGAGCCAAAAGACCGTTTGCATGGAAGGCTAAATTCAGAGAGGGTTGACGAAAATTCAAATACAGAAAAAGGCTTTCGATTGGTTGGTAGGTTTTGATTGTTTATTTCATCTTACTTGGTTGACATTTGTTTGTTAGTTTGTTTGATTGTTTTGGCATATTTACCTCCTTCGTGAGTTCTCGCAGTTATTGCTTCACTGGAGTACAGTGTTCCGTTCCCGGAAGTTTCAGCAACGACATTAACCTCGTAAAACGTGTACCCTTTAAGTGTATTTCCGGTGTAATGTGAGTTATACCAATTTGAGACGTGGTAGATCAAGCTGACGTTTGAATTTTTTTCCTTATACTTTACTAAAAAACGCTGGATCGGGACATTTAAAGGGAAGGTTGACCACCGTACTGTCAATGACCATATTGTCTTGTAGGTGATGGTAACATTCCATGAAGGCACCACTTGCGCTGTCGGTGAATAATAATAATCATCATTGTCATTATAATTATCATCGCCATAATCATCCACATCATCATTATCATAACCATAATTATAATTATCACCATAATAATATTCTTTAACAACGTTTTCAAGCATAAAAATGAGATCAAAAAGGATTTTTTTTTAATTTTAGGAAGGACTGCAAGAAATCTTGAGATTCGCAAATCTTGATACCGTAAACAAAATTTGCAAGTTCAACGGTTAAGCTGTGAAACACTTATTCTGTAAAGTAATTTATTACTTCCTTTAAACATATCCTCGGACGTGTACTATATTTCCTACTCCCACCGCGATACTAGGAGAGCTGAGGAAGTGGTTGCAACCTTTCTTCAGCCTTCTGGTATTTACTTTTAAAAAGTATTTTGCAAACAACTTCGTTTACAAAAACTTGTTACCTGAGTCGAGGGCTTTGTCTAACACTGTGTATTGAATTCTTGCGTAGCCATATCGGGTTGAAAAAGCGACCGCCAATGTTATGCTACCCCCGTCACCAAAGGGAACTTCAACCGACTGTCCGCTAGAAGATGAATCACAACCTCTTCGGCGAAAAATCTCGTTGCCAGTGTTGTCATAAATCTTGATGAACTCGCTGCGAAGAATAAGAAATGAGGTACCTCAAGTGCTTTGTGGAAACAACTAAAAATACTCAGAAAACTGTAATCGAAACTAAAATTCAAGACAAAAACACGTGGGTATTATTATAGAAAAAGAAGAATCCTACGAAATGGACAATCGATAGTATGTTTGGTTTTAACAATTTCTTTTTTTTATTCAGCTTTTCTTATTCAGTGATTTAAAAACAACCTTTGTAGGCTAAGCGATTAAAAAGTGTTGCTATAAACCTTCTAGAATTTTACTATTCACTTCCACTTTTTCCTTGCATTTATTTACTTTGCCTTCCTGATTTCTGATCTACAAGGAACAATATGTCATTTGATTTGCTTACCTACAGTACCGTAAGGAAATGTACTTGAACGAGACTAAGGCGACCCCTTGAATTGCACCAGCATTATTCATTTGAACACTGCAATTGAGGGAGTTGGAAGTCGTGTGGGTGAAGTTTAACCATCCAAACGACTGGTTCACAGAGCCTTCACAATCTTAAGCAAGAAAAAATATAGATAATTCCGTCAGAATGTCATATTAGTCATTTATTACAAAATTACCCATTTTTCAAGGTGGTTGATTTCTCTCCAAAAGCATCTGTGTCTAAAGATGAACTCTTTCGAAACCACAAGTTCCATAGTGTGTGCTTTAAAAATCACCCATCTGTCTTTCTTCTATCAATTTCAATATGTTAACTTTAATAACTTAAGTCTTCAGCACGGGCTCATCTGATTGACTTAGTTAATTATATATATTTATTATATAAACACGAGTGTTTTACTGGAAAATATACGCCTCGTAAAATTGATAAAAACTACATCCGGGACCCGAGTGGTTTATTTTCCATAATCTCACACGTGAGTTTATCGACGACGTAATTTTGGTAATTTCCCTCTATAATTTTAGCGATGTCATTTTGTCTATATGATGAAAAGGAAATTACACGGCGGCTTGAAGATATGAATTTTATTTTCTCGTGGCAAAAACAAAATTTTTGTTTTGCCACTCGAAAATAAAATTCATATCTTCGCGCCACCGTGTAATATCCTCTCTACATAATAATAATTCTTTTTTTCCCTGGAAGTCAAGGCAAATATAGGGACAGAGAAGCATCTAAAGTCAAAAAGGAAAGGTAATAGATGCTGTTTATGAAGGCAACATTTAGCACTCTGACTGATACGTGATCAGCTCTTTAAATCGTTTACCTGATGAGCAAGGGCAAAAAAAATACAAGCAAAAACCATGTCAGTGTCTGTTGTGGACTTGAAAGTGCAAAACGTCCAGTAGCATTGCTGTATTTTTTTAACTTGCTAACCAACTAAAACATTTCGTTTATTTACTTGTTCAGACACCACTTGTAGACAAAAAACAAAGGATTATGCACGGCCAGCGAGCTTCCAACATAAACTGCAGCTCTGACCGTCGCTCTCATCTTTAATCAGTGTCGATAGCTTTCATGACCGGCAGTCTTCTCAAGTCTACTAACTATTGCGTCGGGTTTTCAGTATAACCCTGCAGGCCAGTACCCTGGTTACAGACTTTACCTTTAGTCACATAAAGAAGTGGTGATCTCGGTCCAGTTCCTACAGAGGTGAAAGCAGCCACCGAAATTTGGTAACTCTCTCCAACCTGAACATTCAGCAGAATTGCTTGTGGCAAATTAGTGTTGTTGACTCTAACAATGGTGTCCGAATAGTAGTAGTACTGGCGACTTCTGTAGTATACGTTGTATCCTAATAAGCGGCCATTGGCGTACTGGACAGGAAGGACGTCCCATATCACCAAGAACTCATTCAACCCATGGTTTTCAACTCGGACATTCGTTGGTGCACGGCTGGGAACTAAGTAAAAATGCAAAATATGTTGATAGTTCAGGAAAAGTAACAGTTCTTAGTTCGTACTGACAGTCTGATAAGGCCCATGTGAAATACATGTAGTTCCATAGAGTTCCATGGAAAATTCTCAACAGAATTCCATGGAGGATTAGGACATCAATTTTCATGTAACTCCATGGAAATTTCATGAAAGGGGTGGGTCATTACCTCCTTCTGCCGTTACAATGGAGACTTCATTGCTTGCGTATGTACCATTTTCTCCGTTTGACGTAACAGCGAACACGTTGACTTCATAGGCTGTAAAACCCCTGAGCAGGTTAGTGTAATAGGAGTTGTTATTGGCTTTGAAAAGCCTACTGACGTCGTTGGAGAGCTCCTTGAACCTCACCAAATAGTAACTGGCAGACTGAGGCAGTGGAAGGTTTGGCCAATATACCAACGCTGAAGATGAGGTTATACTGGATACTGTTATATTCCAGGAGGGGGCAGTTTCCGCTTAAAATATAAAATAAATTCTAATATTAATACCTAAATAGAAATATATGAAATGACGCATAATTTTGAACTGCGGATAAAGACATGAAAGTGGAAATGATCCTTGCAGTTGAATAAATTACAATGGCATGCTCTACAGTTGGCTTGATAAGTTTAATGGGTGCGTTCGGTCAAGCCTGAACTTTTTCAGGTTCTTTTTCAACCACTTATAATAAGTTGTTTATTCAACTGCGAGGATCATTTTCACTTCCATAATATTAATACTGTAAAATATATACGCTGTGTTGGAAAGTTAAAGATATGGTAACAAAGCAAAGTTTCTTCCCTCCTACGCACAAAAAAAAAAAAGAAAAGAAAAAGAAATCCAACATCTCGTGTAAGGGGTGAAAAGAATGCGTAATTTGAGATTAAGTTCAAAGGATTCGTTTTACAAGTCGAGTTATCGATATCTAATAGCGATAATGCATATTTTAATGACTGGCCTTAAAAATTGAACTTAAAAATTGGCCGGCAATTAGACCACGCCCAGTATTGTCACTAGTGAACTAGAGCGGCCGCCTCTTATTCCATGCTAATATAGTACACAGTGCCATACGCGCAAAGATTACTTCGCGGGTGCTTTACCGTATAGCTTTCGTGCTGACAATAGCCCAATCCCTCCCTGTTACAGAGCATCAACTGTACGCTTCAAATTGTAGTTACAGTTCATTGTGCCGAAAGTAGTACTACACGATTACGTGTGCGTGACGGTTGGGTGCAGTGACATGTCAAAAGTAACAGAAGGGAGTTGGCAAGGATCGTTTACAATGAAATAACAGTTCGAACTTTAAAGCCTTCTTCTGAAGAAAAAAAATGCTTTGTGAGAATTTCTTCAAGGCCAGAATTTGCTTGTAAATTTGCCGACTGGTTTTCCAGCGCCTTCTAATCGCTGCAGATGTACTGCCACGTATTTTGCAATCTAGCCGACAGTTCTAGCGTGAAAACAAATCAGGAGAACATGCCCACGGCCAAAAAAAACTACACACATGTAGCTATTCAGGTCCAGGCATTTCGGAGAAAACCAAAGAACTGGTTTAATGATGCACTGCATATGTGATCAAATCCTGTCAGAAACATAAGCCACAGGTACTAATTACTCAATATGCATGGAACAGACCAACTTCATAACCTCAAAATGTGAGACTGAAAGCGGCCAACAAAAATGTTGCTCAGTCAAAGTGTATAATACTACATGCACTGCATAAACTACCCAAAAAGAGACCAAGAAAAACGTCCGTTGTTCAAGCAGACTCTAAGGTCACGTTTCACACTATCACGGGCTCAATCTCTCTTGTCACGAGCTATTAGTCGAGTTTGGCCTGTCGACACTTAATTAAAATCGGACTAAGCACAAACTGCGTAAGAAACTAGCCAATCAAAAACGGCGACATATGTCCTTGCGACTCTGCGGAATTCGAACACGATATTGTGCAGACGCTCTACACAGAAGGCTTAGAGTGTATGCGAAGCAGGCAATGGGTTACAAACCTGAGTCAAGTGTGTGACCGACTATGCTGTACTTGACGTTGACTACGCTCCATCTATATTCCAGAGAAATATCAAGTATAAGGTGCTCTTCATCTCCAAATGGAACCTCAAGAGAAGTGCCAGCGGGGTGAGACGAATTACAGCCTCTTTGGTTAAAAACTTCAGAGCCATCTGGTTTAATTAGCTTGGCGTGTTCACTATAGGAAAAAAAAACGACAAAGATGAGCCTTAAAAAAAACACACACACACACACACACGCACGGGTATTAAGGCAGTGCAGATCTTCGTTCTTCGTTCAAATTTAATTGATTAATTTGTTATTTGAATTGATAAGGCGATGGGCATAATTTGGTTAGAAAGTTCTATGGCCTGAAATGAGCAAAGAGGAAGAAAGCCCAGAAGAAAAGTTTTTTTTTTTTTTGGTCCCCACATCTTACTCAGGATTATGGTATAAAATTCTAAGGAACCATTCGAAGTGTAACTCGCCCATCATTCGTTATCGTTATCTTGATCATCATCGTTTCTATTATTATTATTATTATTATTATTATTATTATTATCATTATCATTATCATTATCATTATCATTATCATTATCATTATCATTATCATTATCATTATCATTATCATTATCATTATCATTATCATTATCATTATCATGATCATTATTATTATCATTATCATTATTATTTTTCCCCAGAGGGGGCTTATTTATCTCAAGCCCATTTAAGAGGGAAGGGGCTGAATAAAGACGGGGAGCTTATTTCAATCAATCAATCAACTTCATTTAAACACGGTAAATGGCTCAGCAAGCTGGGTTTTAGACATGCCGTGTGATAATTACAAGTTATAAAAATTAAAACTAGTGATTAACTAACAATAATTAGCAAAGGAATTGACAGTTTTTATCTGTTCCTATCCACTATCATAAACGTGACTTTCTAGTTTGTATGGTAAGCAAGACTAACAATACTAGTAAAAAAAAATAGTAATAATTTGAAATACAATACAATAACAAGAAATGAGTCATTAAAGAAATAAGATAAAAACATAATAAAAAGTTATGTCCTAGGATATTGCGAGTTTAAAGATCCCCTATCTCACGTGTTTGATTTGACAGTTAGTTCCAAGCCATTGCACCCCGATAAGAGAATGAACGCTTAAGAAAGTTTGTTTTAGGTAGTGGTAGTTGGAGATCATAGCTAGAACCCCCCAAATTATACACAGCTGTAGTCATGAATTTCAGAGTTTCTATGAAACCGCTTCCGAAGGTATGTCGGACAATTATTATTGAATACTTTAAACATCGTAACTATTTAATCGGAAGAGGGCTCCTTTTAAATTTAGAAAAGATGATGGTATCAGCTCTCCATAAAGACTAAGGGTCGATTATTTAAACGAAGTGTAACTTAAGCCACGGTTTAACAAATCTTCGGACCTCAAGATCTTTTTCTTAGTGGGTGATTTTAAGAAGATAAACACTTTTCTTGTCTACTCTGTATGCTTTCATAAAACTGTTCACAATAGATTGTGTTTAGATAAAACCGCTGGGCAAATTGAAAATGGCTTAGAACGAGGTTTTGTTAAACACTGGCTACACTACGTTTAAATAAGTGGCCCTAAGTTCGAGTACAAAGTGGATAAGCTCAAGTACAAGAAGGTTGGAGTCATGCAGCCAGGATCAGAATCAAATCCGAACTTCCGCTTGGTAAATAAACCATCCTGGATCAGTCCACACGAACTGTTTAACAGTCGTGATCAGGAGCCCATTTGATGCGCTCCTGTCGTGATTGATTAATACAGACTATCATTTAAGTGAAGAATAATTAGGGGAGGGAAGAGTGAGTTAATAGAGAGAGGGGCTTATTAGCCGGAGGGGACTCATTTGAGAGGGGGGCTTAATACAGGATTTATGTTAAGGCAAAATGCCCCTAAGGCTTTTGCAGGATAAGTTTAAGAGCATTTGAGTGGTTCTATCAGTGAAGTCCTAAGTCGTACCTGCAATAGCGGAAGTAAATCGTTTCCAATGTAAAAATTGCAACTGCGTCACTCACTCCAGCCTTGCCGATTTTCCAGATGCAGCGCTCTTCGGCTTCATCTCCGCCATTTGTTTTATACAACACCCCAGACGTTTGATTCACGAAACCACCGCAGTCTAAAGAATAAAAGGATGTTGTATCATGAAAGTGTTTCCTTAATAAGCGATGGGTGATATTCTTTATCCATGTTAACTCCCGGAGAAAAATCATTCAGCTATAAAACCGAAAAAAAATGAAATTTCCTTGGTAAGTGAAACTTAATTCTGACAGTATTCTTACCTGGACAGCCTCCGTCAGCAATTGACACATCGTCGATAGCAATGTCACTTTGAAACGATAGTCCTTTTATTCCTTCGAACGTCACCTGGAAGGATCCGGTCACAATTAACGTTTTTACGATAACGGCAAAGAAACAGCACAGGACCCCCAATCGATCAAAACTAGCGTCCACATTACGAAGTCTTAGGTATAACAAACGATTTTCTTACCCCAGTCATGGTATGATATCGCAGTTGGCTCCGAGGTCAAATTTCCCTCGACTGAGGGTGGCTCAGTCAATAAAGAAAACCCGCAACAAACGTTTCCTGTTGTTGTTATAGTTTGGATATCAATAATAGTTTTACTCTTTAAAATTATAATCCAAAAGAATGATCATTCTCACGTGGAAACGAACTAAAATTCTTGAAATTAAATTTCACTCAATTTGACTGAGCCACCCTCAGTCGAGGGAAATTTGACCTCAGACCAACGCCGTGTCCAATTGCCGTTATCACAGTGTCTGGAGAAAGAAAGTATTTTGGACATGGCTCGAGGAAATGTTCATTTTCAGCAACACACGCGTGGGGATATTTCTCTTTTAAACGTTTACCGTGGTGCAGCGATAATAGAAGTTTGCCTGTGATCTCGTCAAATAAACTGAACATAGACATTTAAAATGTTTCAAATTTGGTTGCTTGATTGACTTTCACTATCAATGTACTCGGCGTCAGAACCTGAATCATCAGTGATCAGTTTTGTTGGATCAGACTCCACTTTAGCTCAATTCATCCGCCAGGTTTACCGTTATGGGTATACCCGCTATAGGGTACGGTGTATGACATTTGCAGACTGCAGACTGCAGACCGCAGACTGCAGACTGCTGACTGCATGAGGCAGCAAGACTGTAAATCCTTGAATGAAACCAAAAGTATCGTAGTCAAGGTGGCGTCATCATCAACATTACCTTGTTCCGAGAAGTACATGTAAGGCCTAGAAGCGAAGTTTTTTCCCGCAAATTACACCGACCTGATTCCTGAAGGAATTGTTGGCTGTTCGTCTCGTATTGAATTAGAACAGAATAATGTGTAGCAACAGGCTAGCAATTTAGCCTGCGCCACAGACGAAACTTAACTCTGGTTATATAAGTCTGTCTGTGAAACAGCGCCGAAATCCTTATTCTATGGGGCCCCAACTGTGTACTAGGATTTGAGCATGAGCAATGATTGATTGGCCTGTTAAAAAATCATTGTCGATTTGCCTATTTAGAAATTCAAAATGCACTTCCGGTAATTCGTCGAGTCCAGGTAAGATCTGTTCGGTTTAGATTATTTGGCATATCCTTAATTACTGTTAAGATGAAATACGTCATTTAAAAGGTGTTAAATGTCCGTGATCTATCCTAGTTGTTTTTGTAGACGTAACTGTAGTGAGCACGAAGTGCTCGCAATCTAAACACCTTTTTTTACAGAAGACTACTATTTAGACAGGCATTAATGGGCATTGCTACTTGTTATTATCAATTCACAATAATCAAAGAAGAATAAAGAATCAACGCAATTAGTGATATCCTGGGTGAGTCAATAAAGAATCGCGTCGGTGAAGAATAGCCAACAGCATCTTGGAAATGAGGCCAATGTAACTTTGCGCAAAAACATCAACCTTGTTCCCAGGCTACTTTCTCATTTTCACACGATGTTATGTTTTTGATAGTGTCACCTTTGGTGTCTTTTAATTTACAATCTGCAATCTGCAGTCTGCAGTCTGCAAATGTCATACACCGCTAGCCGGTAAGCTATACGGGTGCTGGCGATTATTGGAAGGAGGCTATTAATCCAGGGACGGCTATCATTCGAGGAAATACGGTATATGAAAAAGAACCTCCATATAACGAAACTTCGATGTAGCGAACACATTTTGCCAGTCCGTTGGCCTTTCGTTAAATCGAGGTTCCACTGTATATTGCGGAAGAAAGGGGGTGTGAGAGTCTGGGAGAAAAGGGGCGGGAAAAAGTACGGGAGGCGGGAGAAGAAAAATCGCGAGGAAGAATGGATGGGAAGCGAGAGAAATCGGGGGGGAAATACGCAACAATGCTCAATAGTTCGCAATCGAAAACAACCTAATTCAAAAGGGGAAAAAGTAAACGAGAAGAAGTGGGAGCCATGAAGGCAAGGGCGGGGGATTTGGATCACCCTGCACCACACCCTCCTCCCCCCAAATGCAAAAAAAAGACAGAGAGAGAACCCACAATCGATTTTATATTAAACCATTCATGATCATAGTGCGGAAAGACAGAGTGATGTGAGTACAGGCAGCGGAGAGTGGTAACGGCGGAAGGAAGGACCTCTAAATGGATGGGAAGCGAAAGAAATCAGGGAATTACACAGCAATGCTCAGTATCTCCCGGTAGAAAAAGATCTAAGCTTGAGAGGTCAAGAAATATGGACTGGAGCCGGGAATGCGAGGTACGGGGGAGGTGGGTGGGTTGGTTTACCCCCCACCCCTATCCCTTCCACCCTTTACCCTCCCTCTTTCCTGTAAAATGTTAATGGATCTTTAGTATCATTACTAGTTCTCAAAATGACCAGTTTACGCATTAATTTACCATATCACTGAAGTAAACTGTCCGGGTGACTCTTTTCCAGTAGTTCCCCTGATTTCCTGACTTGGTAAATATCTTATTATTTCCACTGAAAACATTTAGAGTTCCCATTCTTGATCCATACATGTGATAGAAGAATTTTAAGCAACATGAAGATTTATTTCTAGGCACCGCAAAGGTCAGCTTTGCATTATCACCAACGTTATGATACGAAGCTTCAATATAGAAATATTTTCCTGTAAATAGACAAATCAATGATGATGATGATGATAATGATTATGTAGCCTGCGAAAACATCCGTTTCTCCTCACTCTTCACCGCTGGGGAGGTTTCGCGCGGAGGAATGTCTGCGACTCAGCGACAGAAATTCCATACTTATGACGTAAATCAATGTTTACTTAATAAATCCGGTTGTCATAGGGTTCAAATGCAAATTTGTTCAATTTTACGTTTCTTCAGGTCGATTTTAGTAAAGAGTTGGGTTCATCTGCAACCGAGCTCCAGCAAAACTCAAATGCTTTTTCTAGAGAAGACTATATTCCACAAATATTGACTGTTTTGCTAGAGATCCATTGCGCTTACATTTGTGGCCTTTTGTCTTTTGTCTGTCCTTCGTAAACAATAGCTAAAACAATGTAACTTCTCCGTCGACCAATCAGCACTTCTGACCGGATTCCGGACATATTTTACGTCATCAGTATGGAATTTCTGTCGCTGAGTCGCAAACGTTCCTCCCCGCGAAACGCTCACAGCGGCGAAGAGGGAGCAGAAACGGATGTTTCCTCAGGCTAATGGTGAAGACGATGATGATAATTTGGAAACACTAAGAATTAAAGGAGAGATGTAGTCTCCACCTGGAAATGGCAATAGCATTAACAATACCATTGTTTAAAACACAAAGGAGTCTTGTGGGACTTAAAGAACCATGCCCATCTCCTAGGTGCCTATATAAAAAAATACGTTCACTACCATTGCCAGAAAGGTATGTACACGAACTAAGTGAATGAAAGGCCTTTTTTACGCGAAAGGCACATCTCCCAAAATAAAATAAGCTGTGCTCGTGTTCACTTTGTCGCGGCTTCTCAGCCTTCTCGGCATTATTTACTGTGGATAGAAGGGTTGCTGTTTATACTTAATTAATGAATTTTCAACCTCGGATAATGCATTTCTAGCATTCTGACTGGTTCGCTCAATCTCGGTTATTAGCTCATATACCTTAGTTTGACCTTATATGGAAAACAGCAACAACAACAACAACAAAATTTCCCTCGGACAAAGCGGCGGAAAAAAATAGATTTCGCAAGCTTTCTACCGAGGAAACAACAGAAAAAAAAAAATTAAAAAGAAAATGTCATGTCATACCGGCAGTGACAAAAAAAACCACAAACTTTGGTTTGAAATTAATTAATGGTTCTCCGAAGTTTCCTTACTTCTTCCGTACGTGGAGCTGATTATGCAACAACAACAACAACCACAAAGTTTACCTTAAAAATTTTTAGAGTGGCTTGCAACTCTTTGCAGGAGTAAGTTTTCAAAACCATCAGCAGATTTTTTGCGTGTTTGAAGAGCTTTAACGTTTACACCTCTTAACACTTTCGCAAGTCCATAACGGACCATAACGGGCCTCAAGTGAATCCTACAACAAGCGGCTTTTCATTGAACAACAACAACAACAAATTCATTAATGAAGCTGGGTCTTTGTGCAGCTCCAATTCAGTGGAGGAAGAAAACGAAATTGAAGAGTGATCAGGTCGACCTATCCAGCGTCAAATTCGACAGTCAAAGCGAGGGAATGTGAAAACAGTACTTGTCTAGAATAATTCTATCCCTTTCAGATTTTTCATTCAACTAAGTTCGCAAATGGCGCACATGTCATGTGATTTTCCTTTGGTTTACCGGAAGTTACGTTAATATCCGATCATTCTGTAATATTTAAAATGAAATTTACTAACATTCAGTTGTAATAACCAGACGAGGCATTATTCCATGAGCGCGCGTTGGATATGAAGAAGTTATCGCCAACTCAGCACTAAGCATCTCGTTGGCTATTTACCATCTCATATCCGACGCGCGCTCATGGAATAATTGTTAAATATTTTCGTGAAATAAATGTAAGAAAATGTTAAGGAATAAATTTCAAAAGGCATCAAACCTGATCCACTTGTATGATCCGAGGATGGTCCGGTACCCAACGAAGGAGTGGAACCAGAGTACAGCGTCCAGTCAAATACATCCTGCCTCGACTGGCTCCATCCGAAACACAATCCATTATCAAAGTTACAGGATACTACAAAAGAATCAAGTAAATAAAGCACGTGTTATTTAAATTAAAGGATCGTTTCATTGTATCAACTAGAGATGAATGGTATAACGCAAAGACGAGTTGCACCGCAATGATAAACAATAACGCAGTAAAGTATGAGTACAACAACGTAAGAGTGCAGGTTAAAATGAAAATATTCAGGTAAAGACGTTGTTAATGTTTTTAAAAATATTTATTATTCATTCAAAATATTTCCCCAATTCTGATTGGCTAAACGCACACGCATAATTCACCATAACCAGTTACTGATGACCAAATTTGAGATAATTTTGTGCTTAACGAGGAAATGACGTCAAAAATGCAGCCCGCTACAGGTTAAGGCACCGTTACCGATAAGACCTGGGCACGAGGTTGAGTTGTTTTGGTTGTGAAAAAAAAAAGTGACGGACATTTCACTCGTTTCAAGAGCACACTACAGATGGAACTAGGCGAAATAATAGCAAAAACAGCAAGAAGACAACTCGGAAGGTGACATCTGCTCTTTGGAGAATATTTGCGAGCTAGACAAACCTTAACCTTCACTATCGAAGTTGAATTTAATATCGATGCAGGTAAGCATGTTTCAGCTATGTTTTTAAACTAGGAATTATTTTGAATGAATAATAAAGAAAATAAAGAAAAAATTCGGCTTTTGATCTGCTTAATTCTTCATGTCCTACTCAGCCTCATTCATTAATTGCTACTCAGCTGAGACAGTTCGAGGAAAATTTGGGCGGCAAACAGCGCGCAAGGAAAAGTGATTTTCCACAAGTGAGTCTGTTTGCAGGCTAAAAAAACATACAAATTGATTAACTTTTACCTGGACATTTTCCACTGTTTATTTCTACACTATCAATCGCGATATCACCAGTAAATGAATTTCCTGCTATCCCCTCAAATATTATCTGCGAAAAGTGTTAAGTTGTAGTTAGCAATATACCTGACATTTCAAGTCTGCTTATTGGCGTAATAGACCACACCTACTCTTCTTATTTCTTCTCACCATCTCACGTGGGTTATTATGGTGGTTAACAGTTAGAAAGAGCGATGTATCTTGCAAAAACTCGTTAAATTTTCTTGCCATTGATTTATTTATGATGATGATGATGACGATCGTAAAGTTGATGATTATAATGATGATGATTATGATGATTGTGATGACAATGATGACGATGATGATGATGATGACGACGACGATGATAACGAAGTTAACGAAACTCTAGCTAGATTTATGTGCGTGTTAGCCCACTTTTTCCCTCACCAATCCATTCAGAATTATGTTTCTCTCCACCATAATCCAGTAATTACTCTGTTGTCCGGAAATGTTAAAGACTTTGCTGTTTCCGTTGTAGACGTTAAGAGTTCCAACTGAAGCTCCACGCATATGATAGTAAAATGAAAGGCACGACATTTCTCCGTTCTTGGGAACAGTAAAAACAAGCTTGGCTTTGTCGCCGGGTCTTCTTGGGGAGGATGTTTCAATGTACATATATTTTCCTTTGAGAGATGAGGAAGAGGGAAATGTTACTTTAACAATCAATAAAGGACAACATACAAGAGACTGACTTTGTGTTGTGCTTTATGTTTGTTTGTCTGTTCTGTTTGTTTTAACATAAATGTCAACAAAAAGTTGTGTTTCTTTTCTTTATATATAGTTTGCTATGACAGAAAAACGTATAACAAAAGTCTATATAAACTACGATATACACCATATAAACTACTTCATTACATTTCTAATTAGTAATTACTAATGCGGTGTCGTTAGCTGTATGTCTAACATACATTTATATCCATCCTTCATTGCAATGGCTACGGGCACTTGATTTAATTTGGTCTCAAAGATGTAGAAACTCAAGCTGTATGTGTAACATAAGTCCACGCAATTGCAATGGGCTACGGGCACTTCACTAAAACTATATTTCTTCTGCATTTAGGATGAAATGAAAACTTAAAGAAAACAATTTAACTAAATCTAACCTGATCCCCCTTGACCAGAAGACGGGCCAGTAGATCCTGATGGTGTTGAACCAGACGAAAGTGTCCAATCAAAGTCATCTGAAGAAGATTGGTTCCATCCGGAGCATAATCCATTGTCAAATGTACACCACACTATAGCTAAACACGTGAAATAAACAAATAAGAGAATAAATAAATAAATAAATCAGTCATTCATTCATTTATTAAACGAACATTTTCTTCCAAACATCTGCTTTCTGGTAAAACCTGGTTGAAAAAAGCTCAAGAGTTAACAAAAGCAGTGGCACTGACAATGTGACGATTACATGTTTTATTCGAGTCGGCAAATGAACGTTGGCTAAATGACGACAGTAAGGGGACAATTTACTTCTAAGAAAGGGTTCTGTAAAACGATTATTAAAGCTGTTTAGAATACTTACCTAACGCGGACACCGATTGATTCTGTGGTGAAACAGCTGACGGTATTGCTTGATAAATATGGTTGGTTATCCATGCTTTCAGATCTCTAACATTAGCATATACTCCATACTTTGAAGCATACGCACATCCCTGACCCCAACTTGTCGCACCCTCAAGAAACCATGTACCGTTAAACTCGCACACCAAAGGACCACCACTGTCACCTTGGCAAGTGTCAACTCCTCCTGCATCCAGTCCAGCACAGAGCATCGAATCATCAATCTTTCCAGGGTAGGAATTCAGACAACGCCCCTTAGAGACCAGTGGTATCTGAGCTTCCATGAGCGAATTTGGCTGAGATCCCCCTGACGACAGTGTACCCCAGCCCGTAATCCAGCACTTTTTGTTCAAATTGTCAAAAGGAAGAGCGTGTCGCACATCAGGCAGGCAAACAAGCCCGATGCCCACCCCAAGATCCGCTGGTTTTAAGAGCTTAATCAGGGCGATGTCATTGCTATAGCTCAACGGGTTTTTATAGTTTTCATGCCTGATGATCTGTGCGACCCCGATTTCCTGTTCTGTTCCAACACTGCCGGTTGTTCTATAGTGGGCTCCCAACCTTAGGAAGTAAATAAATAAATAAATAAATAAATAAAAATAAATAAATAGATAGATAGATAGTTAAACAAGACCACGGTACATACACATGCGATATTATAAATAACATTTATTGTTAACTCAAGAAAAATACGCTATAGTAGTTATACAATAAACGACGACGACGGCGATAATGTGGTGATGATGACGATGAAAGCAACAAGGACAAGCATGATTATGAAAGGCCTTCATGATTTCCCTTTACAGAAACGATGTGATCGTTATTGATGATTAAATTATAAACGCAAACCGCGTTAAGGCACAAAAAGTGCCCGATGAAATCATATATTTTGCGATTTAGGAAAGTGTTCTGGGTAGACTGTAAAATTTGGCGGTAATTACAATCGAATTCAGACTATGGAATGTAAGTACGTAACGAATGGGAAAGCATTCAAACTAGGATTTGATTATAGTTCGCCAGTTAATTGCGGTGAATTATACGGCGTGATAAAGGCATGCTAAATACGTTGGTTGAAGAGGGCTTTGATAATTTACTTACTACTATGATATGGCTGACTCCACCACCAACCCACCACAATCTCCTACTACAACTAGTACTCCCACTACAGTCAAATTTCCCCAATACGAATATTAAAAAGACGGAGTGAAGTGACCACATCACTATAGAGGTGTCCGTATTATAGAGGGAGTAATTGTATAAAGTTTGGGATCGTTTTTTATGGACCAGTGCCGGAAACTTTATAACATTACGGAAGAGTGCCTATTGAAACGAGTCGGCAGCAAAATTGCGTGTCCCACGACAATTTGGGCGCTCACAAAGCATCCCGACACATGCAGCTTCCTTTGACTCTTTAGTAAGTTAATTGTTACCATATTCTTCCCCGATACAAAGGACACTCAATATAAGAAGACCGATACTCTCTGTTAGACGTTCAAATGAAGGGTTCGGCATCAGCAGCCTCAGCATCACTGCAAACAACAGCACGTAGCACTAGAGCACAACTGCTACCATCAACACCACCGCCATCAACGCCAGACGCAAACCAAAACAATCACTAAAATCATAACCACCAATACCAACACAGTCGACACTTACTACAGTGATAGTTCCAATACCCATTGCCAAGATGCATGTACACGAATGTAAAGAAAAGGAATAAAAGCCCGTTTGAAAGAATGGCGAGCTCAAATATCTAATGATTAGAATTGTGAACATGGGGTCAACAAATCGACCAACCATAACTAACGCTTGTCCACCCAAACAATCCCAGAAATCACTGCGCCCAAAGGTTGTACCTATTCTCCCTAGAGTTTCTAAAGTGGAGTATTATCTCTGGTTTTGAAATATTTTAAGCGTAACTTACTTTACTTTGACAGAAGACGGCGATTTTCCGTTGACACAATGTGCAGCGGTCACCACCCAATAAGGGTCTACTAGCGATCCGCCGCAAAACTGGCTTCCAGACGTTCTGATCAACATCACCTGCCACGGCCAGCTATTGACTCTTGCAACTGAACCACCAACAATTCGACTACTAGCGCTTGGTCGAGACCCACAAAATACTATATGAAATAGAAAAATTAAAATAAATGTCTATTATTGCAGAAGGGCAAAAGGACAAAAGCTTTAGTCTGATTCCATCAGATAATTCATTTAACCTAGGTTACATGTAAGTTGTGTCCGGGCATGATTTAGCAGCGAGCTGAGAGTGAGGTAGCTCATGTGTGCAAGTAGCGCTAAAAGCAAGGAATATGAACCTTCGTGGCGCTTACGTCCCTATCAAAGTATCGTCTCAGTGCGCCAGGATATCAAATCTGGATGTATCGGCTTCCCTTTTCTTAGAAGGAATCATAATCCGGTTATCAAACCATTGCAAACGTTCCGCATTCGAGACCGTGAAGTATGACCGGGATTAAATTATAGGTAAGCTGGTGCTTAACAATACCCTGATCTCTACAACATCATTTACTTAATGGGGTCCAAAAAATTGATCCAGCAACTAGTTATGTCAAGTCCCCAGAAGCCCTTTGCTGCTGCTAGTCAAACGACGATAAATATATTCATTACATTGGTACTTCTGTTATTAGGGAACCTAAGCCTGTCCTTAAGATAAAGTCATTTCACCTCTATTCAGTCTATTGCATGTAGCAAGAAACAGACTACAATTTTAAATGTGTAGTTTACCATAAGTGGTGGAAACCAGACTTTCACTGCTTTTGTAGGCTTGTCCAGTCTCGTCTATTCCATACACGCCAATTCGGTACCTTGTGGATGGTCTTAGCCCAGTGATATCTTCAGTTGTCGCACTTCCGGGGACAGTTTCTACAGCTAGCAAATTTCCCGCTGGACTGTTAATAAGAATCAAGTAAAATCTGGCATTGCGGTCAATGTTCGTGCGAAGCGAAGACCACTGAATACTAAAACCAAAATAACTGGACATCAAAACAGTCGCATTCCATCCTGATAGCGGCAAAGCTGAAAAAAGAAAGTAAAAATTAAAAGGAATGGAGATTACTCGCATTGCAAATTTGATCACCTGTTTTCCCTTGGAAATACCACGTGATATTGCTCCTATTCCATCGATCCTAAAGCGCGTGAAAAGATTGCGGGTACTATGAATAAGGTCTATGCTACCCAGGTAGCGGGAAACGGATTGAAACCAAGATGGATTCTCGATCTGAACAATCATAAGGAAACAAAGGGACTGTGAACACTGTACGACTCAAACATCATGGCCTACAATATTTAGCTCCTTTCATTAAGAAACAGTAAAATTAGTACCGACTAAAACGTACCTGAGGATATGCCGTTCTTCAAAATAGCAAACTTGATTTTCACACTGCTTTGAGTATTTCCTAAATACACTTGAATTGAGATGTTACCGGACGAACCAAACTGTACATCCAACAAATTCTCTGTAGTAAAAGGTTTGCACCCTTTCTGATTGAGAACCTCCGTACCGCCTCCATCAGTGATCTTCACATATTCGCTGTGTGATTAAACCATGACAATAAGATTAGCTTAAGTATTCTGTACACTTGCCAAACTCCCTTGTCTGCAATGGAACCTCAAAGTTTGTTATTCTCAATAAAATGATGATGATAATAATAATAATAATAATAACAACAATAATAATAATAATAATAATGATAATAATAATAATAATAATAATAATAATAATAATAATAATAATTATTATTATTATTATTATAATGATAATGACTAGCAGTAACCAATGGTCAGGAAGTGCGGGGGAGCCTTTGCGTGAGAGTGAATAGTGGATACGTAGGTGTAGAATATACCCCTTTTAGTTCCAGTATCAACAGAGGAAAACACCCCGGAATTATCAACGCGGAAATTGATTTGAGCAACACAGCAAACAAGAGTCAGATTGACTTCCACTATTTTATTCAAAAGGGCAATAGACCTTTTTAGCTTGTTTGTTTTGTTTTCCCAATTCAGACCACGTGATGTTCCTCAGGGAATTTGCCTTTTGTCTTTTAATTAATTTAGTATGTATACATGACTGTTCGTGTATACATGACTGTACGTGGATGTACGTGCATAAGACAAAATTTGAAAGAATCAGTTCTCTGGGGTACCATCACGTGATCTGAAATGGGAAAACAAAACATACAAGCTGAAAAAGTCTATTGCTCTTAGATAAGCACACAATCAAAACAGTAACACGTGACAAGGCCTAACGTGACGACGTGTTCAGTGACCCAAGGTCGTTGAGACTCAATAGTAAATCAAGAAAAAGCTTCCTTTAAAGCTTATTGAAGCTTTCAGGTGACAAGCGACGTAACATGGTTGGAAACATAAAATCAAACCACTACTATACTACAAATAATTACGCGAAAATATGAGAGACGGGGAACAAGCAATGTTAAACCTGGATTAACTGAGCTTAGCTGGATTCATTTCAGCGGCTTTGCGATCACTTGTATCTTATTAAAAGGCCAGCCCCGTACTTAGCCCATTCTCGACCCCAGTGCTTACGGGTTTGGGCATGCGCGCATAAGCTCTGGGAAACTCTGCGCCGGATCGCCAAAATCTGGCTCTTTGGGCTTCACAACGAATGGTTGTTAAGATAAACGTATCGAAACTCCAATAAAACTTTTTAAAATATGAATTTAGCGTCATTTTATTTACGTTTTTCATGAACATTAACACTTCAGCGAAGCCGCTTTGAAATGCGATATCGTGGGAAAAGAAGACAACTATAAATATCTAGTCGCATGTACACGCATCACTTTAGGGAGTGGTTTACTTTTTCGTTCGTTTGTTTGTTTTTTTTTTCTTGCAAGTCTCTTTTTAGGTAATTTACATTTGACCTTTGTGGCTTTTTGTCTTTTGTCTGTCGTTCGTAAACAATAGCTAAAAAAATGTAACTACTCGGTCGACCAATCAGCGCTTCTGACCGGATTCCGAACAGATTTTGCGGCATCACTATGGAATTTCTGTCGCTGAGTCGCAGACGTTCCTCCTCGCGAAACGTCCCCAGGGGCGAAATTGAGAGCGAGGAGAAACGGATGTTTTCGAAGGCTACATTTTTGAGAATGACATATTTTACAGAAGATCCTATTGCATTTTGTTAGCCAGTACTAGTACAGCACAAAAGGTATTAACTTAATGCTTCTAGGGATATTACTTAGCTGTTCAGATTAACAAATAGGACAAAGAACTGAAACTTATTACTTTTTTTCATTTCGTTTCGTTTCTCACTCAATTTACCTGCAAGAGACGAGATTTAATTCTCGGACAGAGACCAAAGCCACGGCCTGGGGTATACTGACACTTAGTATGGTCCACTGACATGTTTCATAATAGCCGCTTGTACTGTTAACGTCAATATCTCCATACGTACTATTTATTGTTCTGGAGCAACCTAGAGAGGAAGAATTCGAGAAAGAGTTCAATGGTGATGATGGAGTGTAAATATTTTACTTTAGAAAAAGAAAAGGGATTATCATTAGAAGCAAATTTTTCTTTCTTTTCATTGGCCGAGAGCCCACCACGTGACCTGCGAATAACTATCTACAAATAATGGTCTGCTCATGCGCAATGTTGTCCAACTGTGTTTGGCTGCAAATAATATTCTGCTCATGCTTAAACGAAACCACGCGTGATCGTTCTTGCGTGAAAAAAGGCAGATCGCTTCGCTTCGCGAAGATATTCCTTAAAAAACAAACTCGGTGATCGAATGATAAAACAATTATTGAACTCGGTTATCGCAAAATATTGTGATTTGTCAGTGTCTCGCAGATCGATTATTTTCCGAAGCCGAAGGCTGAGGCAAATAAAAGATCTGCACGCCACTGACAAATCACGATATTTTGCTCAACCTCGTCCAATAATTGCTAGTTATTTGGTAGAGATTTACGTACTCTTATAAATCTAAGCAGGGCTTCTGACAGGGTGCGCGGGTACAAGAAAACACAGTTCTTAAAACTCTGCACTATTCAGCAAAATACTGAGTGAAACGAAGTTCTTACAAATTCATGTTTTACTCTTCATAACTAAGATTTTAAAACCTTTGAAGAGCTATACAGGCAATTTTCTGTCCGAAAACAACATATTTTTGTATTACCATTATTATTATTATCATTATCATTATCATTTTCATGATTCATCATTATAAGACCTATTGGCGTTGATGAGGTCCTGAGGCGTATAGTTGGAAAAACTATCGCTGGATTTTAGAAAGAAGAGACCAAAGAGGCAGCGGGCCCCCTCCAGGTTTGTACAGGCCATAGCGCAGGCTCAGAGGCCGCGACACATGCTATGAGTAAAGTGTTTGTAGAGGAAGGAACAGATGGTATTTTACTGACAGATGCAAGCAACGCCTTTAAACAAATGAACAGATCCGTCGCCTTGCATAACATCCAGATAACCTGCAAGGAAATGTCACTTTACATCATTAACACCTAGAGAAGCCCGTCGAGGTTCTTTATTTGGGGTGGAGGTAAGATATTATCACAGGAGGGTACGACGCAGGGGGATCCCTTGGCCATGCCCTGGCACTCGGTCAATACATCTATCATGATCCAGAGCTTAAGGACACGCACACCAGGTGTTAAACAAGTATGGATAGCCCACGACTCTGCGCGGGGGGTGGACAAATTATGCCGTTGTATAACTGGTACAGTCACCTGAATCAGGAAGGAAAGAAGTATGGTTATGTAGTGAATGGATCAAAGAGATGGCTGATTGTCAAGTCGGAAGAAGTTGCAGAGGAGACAAAGAGGGTGTTTGGAGATGAGGTCAATATTACGAATGAAGGTCAGCGCGAATTAGGGGCGTCATCGGATCTCAAGAGTTCAAAGATGAATATTGTCGGGAGAAGGTCCTTGGATGGAGAGGAGAACTCGAAGCACTATCAGAGATAGCAAGGAGCCAGCCTCATGCAGCCTACACTGTTTTCACGAAGGATTACAAATCCTAGTTGACCTATTTCATGCGCACAATATAGTCGTTTGAAGATTTCGTTGACCCTATCCAAGCGATCGCCGACTTACTTCTCCCAACACTATTCGGTCAAACGGAGCCCCTTCCTAGCGATCTCCGTTAGCTCGTTCCTTTAACATCCGCTTAAGGAGGGCTAGGCGTACCCGACTTACGGTTTGAAGCTCCACAGCAGTTTGCTGCTTCTACGTGAATAACAGCACTGCAGGTAGATTCTATTACCACGCGGAGCATGTTCATGGTGGCAGGCGAAAATTCCACGGAGGAGTTAAAAAGACAACATCAAGCCTTGAAAACCGCGTCGGTGAAATTGAGAATGGAAGGTATTGATTCCACCTTTCCTTCGGATCGGCTGCAGTAAGTTAACCAACAAAGGTGCGAGCTCATGGCTTACTGCAGTGCCTCTTGTCGATCAAGGCTTATTGCTGAATAAAGAATTCAGAGACTCTCTACGTTTAAGGTATAATATGCCCCTGTCAGACTTACCAAGCAAGTATGTTTGTGGTGAGGGGTATACCGTCTGTCACGCCCAGTCATGCAAAAAGTAAGGTTTCGTGGCGTAGAAACACGATGGTCTTCGCAACCTACTTACCTCACTTATTGGTAAGGTTTGCACCAACGTTGAAGTCCAACCACAACTACAACCTCTAAATAATGAGCGATTCAACCTCAGAAGCGCGGTAACAAGCCCGGAGGCAAGACTGGACTTCAAAGCAGGGGCTTTTGGTCTCATGGAGTTACAGCATTTTTTGATGTCAGAGTAACGCATGTTAACTCCCAAGTGTAACCAGGGAAAAGCAACATCCACAATCTTTATGGAGCAGGAAGAGGAGAAAAAGGGGAAATACCAACAGAGGGTGCTGGACGTTGAAATGGGATCTTTCACTCCACTAGTTTTTGGAACCAACGGTGGGATGGGAGCCGACTGCAACTGTTTTCTCAAACGCCTAGCCGAGAAGCTCTCATAAAAGAATGAGCAACCGTATCACATTATTATTATTTGGATTAGAACATGTGCTTTCTTTTGAGATTTAAGGTCCGTATACACATGTGTAAGAGGTTCTAAGACACCCTTCCACAAAATTCCACAAGGTGATTTCACTGACGAATGCCGTTTAAAAGCCATCTAAGCGTGGTTGATAATAGCGTGAGCTCATAAATTAGTTTAGTTGAAGTGAACCGTTTTAAAATTTATTTTTTTGAAAGATATATACATTTTTAATGGAATGAATTTTTTCAATAGAAATTAAGTGTATTTTTTTAAGTGTTTTGACCGAGTAGTTTTTTAAACGAAATGAATTGTAAATAGCATTTTATAGTTAGCTTTGTTTTCATGAATAAAGTTTCCATTTATTATTATCGTCATCATTATTATCATTATCATTACCTTTATCAATATCAATGTCCTTTATCATTATCATTATTTAATCTCTATTATTGATTAAATATTATTTATTTATTTATTTATTTAATTATTTTATAAGAATGTTGCCAACAGAGGCAAAAAGTGCAATGTTTTAGCTTTGTCTTGCTTCCATCTTATAGAAAGCATGCTCGCTCTTACCTCCAGATCCTAGTCCATAACATACTACTGAGGCATCTTCATAGTGACCACAGTTCTCGATGCCCCATCCTCTATGCCTACAATAGCCAATTGAAGTTTCGTTGCCTTGACAATTTACATCATCCAGCCAAATTGGACCACTTCCAGCCCCGAACCGGGCAGACCCTGGAGCACTAATAGCGCCAGGATACCCGAGCTGACGGCAAACAACACGTGCATCATTTATATCCCAGTAATCATCACAAACCGTTCCCCATTGGTTATTATAAAACACTTCGACTCTTCCTTCTGAGCTCCTAGATCCTCCGACCAGTCTCAAAGCTGAAATAATTTTCAAGAAAATGTGCACTCGTAAGTCGTAACTCTCATACTACCTTAAACCTATCTTTAAACTTGCTTAGATTACTGCTGGTCCTACTCTCTGATTTGGCTTTGAATTAAGGATCCCCTGCAAATTAACTGTAACGTATTACCTTAGGCTATTTATTTGCTCATGTGTAATTTTTTGAACCAGTGTGTCAATAAACAGGTTACAAATCGAATAGTTCAAATTAAGAGCAAGTCTCTTAAGATCCTCACATTGATTTTTGCCCACTAAATAAGAAAATGGGGCAAACGTTGCACCTTATTTAAACCTACAGCCTACGTTGCAAACTTTGTCAAACTGGAATGCACCAGTTAATGTTAAGCCCCAGGGTAGGGGTGGGGGGGCATCCCCGGGGCATTTGACTGCATTTCCTTTCCCATGGGTGGGGAAGAATAAAAGATTTGATGTAACACAAGATCCTGAGGGTGAGTGAGTTTGACAAGACACAAGAGCCTGGAACCTAGTCTCAGCCTGCCATCTTGAAAACGTTGCCCAAATAGTTTCCTTGGGATTGCTGTTTCAGGTAGTTGGTTTGTGAGCATGTGTGTTCAATTGCCTGTTAACTGTTGAATATTTGTCCGTGTTGGACGAAACAGCTTTAAAAGGCACTTGATTTGGGGAGAAATGCCTCTGTACAAAGTGGGGGATATAACTAAACCGATTAAAAGAGAGACTGGGACGCATTATATATCATCCAAAATGAAACAAAATGTACCCCAAGGGAAGGGTTATTTGACATCAGTCTTTTCCCCCTGAGTAAAGAATTTGGCATGAAAATGGCCCAAAATGTCAAATCCCCCTGGGTATGCCCGACCCCCTACCCTAGGGCTTAACATTGACTGGTGCATAACTGTTTGCTCCTGCCAAAAAGAGTTAATCCCAAGGCTTAAAAACCGCTAATAATTTGTATCTATCCTTTATCCTAAAAATCACATAGGTTCAAATTACCAACTCTTTAGAATATATTTATAAAACCGAGGCAATAAGTAACTTTAATCATTTGATCCACTTGAAGAAAAAATGATTTCAGCCAAGTTTAAATAATCAGATTGCAAAAGAGGCTCACATTTGAAGGTCCTATTGCACATCATTATATACTTTCGTCCTTTCCTAATTGGTTATGTTAAAATACTTGGCAGCTCGTACGTTTCGATCAGATGTGAAACATAAGACTTTCCTTTCTCGGTTATGTTTCTTCGAGAACGATTGTCATAATCCAAAGCCATATTATCGAGGATATGCCAGTCTAAAATTGTTCTGTGCTTAAGGATGAAATTTTGCAACCGCCATTGTCAAGGTGGTCATATCATGGTTTTACACTAATGAAGAAGAGAGACAAAGTGGTGGAGGAGAGAGACTCAAATTTACCGCATCCGCCATGTTTGTTGACGGTTTTTGGAAGTTGAGGAATCTGGTACGCGGGAACCTGGAATTAGTGAACCTTTTAAATACATTCCCGATACTTACATATCTCCTTACCGATTTTCAAAGAAATAATTAAGATAAAAAAAGTTCAAAAACTGTCGTCATTGAAAACGTTTCTTTTTGTAATGCTTTAATCAATAATTAAATTTTAAACAAAAATTAACGATATAAGAGAAACTTGACGTTTCGATAATCCCTAAGAAAAAAAAAAGTGAAAATGTAAATGCATGTGCATAAGATGTACTACCTGCCCTCCAAGATCTCTTATAGAAGAAAAAGCTATTTAAAGTAGTGAAGTATGGTACGAGAGTAACTACAAAATACCCGGTTTGGATTGCAATGCCTTGCATTAGAGTGACTCTTTTGTCCGGAGCAAACTATGACAAGTGAAATTCCAAGTCAGTTGCACATACATACTAACAAAAGAATTTGCGCCAAAAATTTCTTACAAAGAAAAATGATTCGTCGATCTAGTTTCATAGTTGAAATACTTTTTAGAGGAAGTCCATGAAAAAGTTGTAACAAAATCTATTGGGGGCCAAAATCAATATCGGAGGATCTTTCAGGAGACTGAGCACTAAAGCAACTGTGAGTACCGCATTGCTGTTACATTAATTCTAATAAAATATTTTTTAAATCCCCTTTCAATGACCTTGCCGAAGTATTAATATTATGTTGATTAAGTAACCAAAAAGAATGTTCAAACTCGTTGTTTCACCCGTCTTTCAATAGCCTCCCACGAAGACGTTCTTAGGGGATTCATCACGCGTTCCTGCCCCACGAACGTCTGCTGACTTGAGCGAAAAAAAAACGGAGACCAATCACAGCAGACTTCCAGATCTGGGAAGTGCACTTTGGACCTTGAGAAAGTTCGCGCTTGACTTTTTAGCTCCAGAAAAGATCAGGAAGGTCTCATGAAAGGTGAGGACCTTACAGTATTACAACAAACTACTCAGTTAACCCACAAGCGTTCGTCCTAGAGGCTACCCTCACAATCTCATTGAACTTAACTTAAACAATCTTTGTGATAGAATAGTTTCTTTTTTTAAATCAATACACAAGAAATTCCAAGATTTTTTTTTCTTTTGCTATCAGTGAAGAAAAAAAGCTATTTAAGAGCGTGCGTGTTGGCGCGTACTGTCCAATTACTAAGGCATGACGCTTACTGTCTTATTAAACTGTCCAATTAACAATGGTCATTGAAGTGAGTGGAGTGGTGAAATTAGGTCTGAAAACATACGCGTGATTTCAAAATTGAACGAGCGCACAGCGCGAGTTCGAATTGAAATCACAAGTATGATTTCAGGCCAAAATTGCAGGACACGCAGTTCAATTACTACTTTATTACAACCATTTTGGCTGCAATTTGATTTGTTACTTTGAACAAGATTTGAAATATGTTTCGTTGTGCTGTTTGAGTGTTCCTTTTTCATTGGCTGGGAAAACGATGCGATTTAGAGCAAATAATGGTGCGATTTGGGAATAAATCACACTGCTGAGAGCCAATCAGATTTCACGGATCGCCAGGGATTTCAAAGTGAATGTAATGAAGGCTGAAATCAGGGCAGTTGATAGCCAACCAGAATTGACAATTTAGTTATAGTTATGATTATAATAACAATAATGACACAAGTGAAATCTAGGAGATACTTACTGTGTTGCGCGTTGGCCAGTTGAAGCAAAGCGAAAACTAAAACTGAAGCAAAAAAAAAAAGAAGCTGTTAAAATTACTCTTTTTACAATTGATTTGTTGTTTACCAGTCTTTACCACAACCCTCTATAACTTCCAAATAGCATCAATCTGAATAATTAAGTTTAACGTTCATATCGTGTTTTTTATCTGAAAAACAATGCTCGGAAAAAAGTAAGATTACGGAAATTAACTCTGAAGACAGTAGAGAAAGATTTCACGCCGGGAGGTCTTATTTTGACGTAGCAGTAGATAGAGCCGCGCGTCGATCGACAGCTATTGATAAATGGGTACTTTATAAAGAAAACTAAATTGCGGTGTAATTAGAAGAAGCAACGTGAGTATCGTGGTTTGAGGAATAAAGTTAATCGAAACGGCACCTATCCTTTATGCATGATAGTGAATTAATTCCATAGAAATTATTTTAGAAAGTTTACAGATCTAAGTTTAAGCAAGCTCTTAGCTCAAGGGCCACAGTCTAAGAAGACCTCGCTTGGAGACAAAAAAGGAGGCCCTTAAAGTGCATTTATAATCATCTGGAGTGCGTCAAACTTGACAATTCAGCTTTTTTTTAAAGATGCAACTTAAGTTGCGGAAGTTTAACTAGCCATCCGTAACATTTCTTTCTACCACAATTCACATATTTGCACGCAAACGTATTGCAGCTTTGAACATAGCAAAAATTTATTGTCTTGCCCTTCTCAGTTTGCTTCAGTTTATATAACAGAGCTGTGTTTTGCGCGACAACAAGATTATGAATACCCTTCAAATCAAAAATGGCGCAACGCTAGATATACACTTTCTCCTACACCAAATGTACAGCGACTCACAGTATGGGAAAGGCCACTTTGTGAGTTGAATATTTTGTCTTGTTTGGGCTCAATAGTGGCAGTAACTGAACATCAAGCAAAACTGAGAATGCGTACAATTTTAGATACGCGCTAGGTCAGGTGAGATATGATTGATCGCACGGCTGGTTTGGTTTTGCAGCGGTCTCACCGTTAGCAAATTAAATCATATCACACATCAGTTTTTAGCTTCTTGGGCACTCTTAGGTGTGCATATCAATTGGGCGGCACTTTTGACTCTGCTTGTCTTAGTTCAGTTATAGTGAATGGCTAAGCCTATTCGCATACACCTGCGTGACTCTCTTGGCTTGTTTGCTTCGCAGACAATGATGGCAGTGGTTTAGTCCGGATACGCCATATGTCCGACTGAGCATCGGTGGTTTGCTTGGCTCGTTTGCCTACGCGCGCGGCTGAGGGCATCAACTCGCTGAGCCAGATAAAAGGTTCTGCAAGTTTAGTATGGGGCTAAAATGGCCTTGTATATTTATCGCTAATAAGCGGGAGAGTTCTACTCCTTGGCTATTCATTGTCTAATATCCTTGTGAAAATCGGTAAAAAAAATGGGTGCAAAGAAGTTATGTTTCTTGGCCACGTGTTACCTCTTTATGAAAGTATAAAAAATGTAACAATGGTTCATAACGGTTAAAAAAAATTCAACTTTATGTCAACTTCCACCAATCATTTTAACTTATTGAGTTATTTAAACTGTTATGTAAAAGAAAAGCGAAAGATTGCAATGCATCACTTTGCGCGACTAACAAGTTTTTTTTTTTGTGTGTGTTAATACAAGGCCTAATATACGAGGCATGCATCTTGTCATCAGATAGATTATAGTGCATAGTCTCTTCTGTTTAACACTTTTTCTTCTCTCGTGTTTAATCTAAATTATAGCATCAATAAAAAAAAAATAATGTAATCTTTGCTAACTCCTGGTATTTCTTAAGCAAGGATAGTTTTGATGCTTCGTTTGCGTTTGTCATCATCATTACAACAAAGGCTTTGTTGGATAATTTGGCGTTAGATTCGCACAATTTTCTTTATGAAGGAAGGAATAAAGATAATAAATATATCCCCAGCGTCATTCACAATATGCCGCGAGAACTAATATTTGTTATGTGGTTCTATACATGGTTGTTATTCGGACGTAGTAACAATTACGACAGCACTTAGGTTGCCGTCAAACAGTCGAACCGCTTACCTGGTAAAAGCCACACATTTCCAACCTTGGAAAAAACAAATTGCAAGGACATCTTGTCAATTTTCTAAACCACGAGCGTTGTTACTAACATTTGAATTTCTTGTCAATTCTCGACTGATAGCGACCGTTAAAACTTCAGCATGCACACGCCGCATTTAATTATTCAATAGCCACTGACCAAGAATATGTTAACTTGAACTCACGCTTTTGTGACTAACTGGAATTTGCTAAACATTCCAATGAACAAGGGTGACAGTTAATGGACTCGCGAGAACAGAAATGCCTACATCATGGTAACAACGACGAATACAAACTCTACAATTATTGATTATTTTCTGTTATGTACATTGGTGATAGCTAGATATTCAAAGCCGGTTAAAGTTAGATATAATCGCAGCAAAAACATATCCAAAAAAATATGTTAATATGTTTGTGTGTGCTGGTAGTGGTTTTAAGGGCAAACCGAAAAAAAAAAACAAAGAAAAAGAAAAAGAAAAGATCTAACACCCGAGAAAATATATTAAAATTGGGAAAGCGGAGAGCGCTACTAATAAGCGAAAGTGACGCACATAAAACGGAGTTTCATTTAACTAGACAAGATATGACAGGACCGTAGCTCGTTGTTTTTTTTTTTTTTTTTTTTAAAAAACTTTTAATGACGCCATTCCCAAACGGCCCACGCAAAATTAGGGCCAAGTCGCACTAGAGGACAAAACTGTTTATTTATGTCAAAAATCTGTCATCACAATGAAAAACCAAGTGCGACCGGTTTGTTCACCAAAGGACAAAATTTGGTCGCGGACGGACAAACTTCAAAGATGCCGTCGACTACCTCTGGAGCAGGCCAAATTGAGACAACTTTTGGAAAACAATAGCGAGGGTGTTTTAATTCGGAAATGATTTGACAGGTGATTTGTAGCAGAGTCTCTATGCTATAGACTTCGTTGTAAAATTAATCACGTTCTCATTTCGCAACAACATGAATTCCGGCGCGGGCGACCATTTTGTCCGTACGAATATCCACAATATCCACCAGGATGGTGGATCTATCCTTTGCCAGGCCCTTACATGTTTAATGATCGAGGAAATCCCAGCCCATCTTCTTCGACCACGAGTACTGACTCGTTGCCAGAATCCCTCCGGTTCAGCGAAGATAGCTCAATGCCGCCATCAACCCCATCTTCTTCGCGCCGTGCATCTTCGTCAGCCGAGAACAAGAAGGCTCAGGACAGATGGAGTAAAGAAGCTTTTAGTTCACTGAAAAGCATGGTGTTGTGTTTTGTTCACAGATTTTGTTCTTAAGTGTGACTGTAGCTCGCCGGACAAATTTTTTGTCGCTGGCCGATTTCAAGTCGGATTTGTCCAGAACAAATCTGAAATTGCCCTCTAGTGCGACTTGGCCCTTAATCGATCGACAAACCACAAATATTCACTACAACCATGAAAGTTAATACTGTTCGTGGAGTAATCTAAGACTACGTGACATCTGTTAGGTCCATTAATTTTCAACAATGTAACAATCGGACTGGGAATGGTTCTGGTTTTCAAAACAGGCGATCGCGAATTAATTTGTAGTTTGCAGAAAGAGGTGCATACGTTTTGGAAGACTATACCCGAAGTTTATTCCTTTCCATAGCAATGCAGTTTAAATTGATAATTGCATGTGATTGTTTTGGTACGATACTCCATACATTTGTTGCTTAAAATTCTGCCCCTTACGAATTTTTTTGTGGCGACCACAACAGAACATTGAGTACATTTTGCACATTTTGTAGGACTTACTATCCACATTAAAAAATGGTGCAGCCAAGCAAACAAACTTATTTAGCTCTTATTTTATGCACTCTATGCCAATTTTAAACTGTTTAGTTTGATTATATTGTCTCCTTCCTTGGGCTTATTTTGAAGAGTTTCGACCCCATTAAATGTGGTTTCGAGAGTAGATGCCTATAATGACAAGAAAACTCACTGACAAGCTTGTGACAGTAAAAACAAAGAAAACACGCGTATTAAAGTTAAAATATTTGACAATATACACAGTAGGAAACCTGTATCTTACTAGGAGAAGACATATAGCCTTATTTGATTATATTAAACGAATAATCGTAATAATCATTAAGTAACTTCACGACGACGTCCACCCGGAAGCTTCTAATCCCGGTCGGTTCGTTCATACGCTGGATATATGCTGTCCACCGGTTCAAGTGCTATATACACCGGATAAATATTACGGAAACCATTTGCGTTACCCGCTGGATCGACATTTATCCACCTTTTCAATAATTAGGGCCTGCACGTTAAAAGAGGTCACCTTACTTACATTTCTGTCTGATCTTCCAAAATATTATGTATAATTAGTTTTCACTGATTCCGCTTACCAGATGTAAAAATAAGATAGACTTTTTTGAACATGCTGGTTAGTGCAGCCGGCTCATCAGTTCGCAGCAAACAACTAAACGTCAGTTTGAGAGTAGGTCTGTGAATAAAGACAACAATCTGCTGCCAAATCTTGTTTGGACCAACAGGAACCAATGACAGCATTAAGTTCATTCCATAGTCTCGCGCAAGTCGTCATGTGTGCACACCGAGTGTTTCCATAACAACCCACCCCGGGTGCTTTTGCACATTTCATTTCTGGCTTGTAATTAAAAATGCAGAATGCCTTGCATCCCGATTTATTAGATCTGTAAGTTAGTCGGTTAAGAAGCATAACATGCTGCAGGTTAGTCACTCCAGATTAAGCCTTAAATGATCTACGGTTTGAAGGCGCTGTCCATAGACTCCATACCGGACTTGCTGTATTAACCAAAAGTTATAACGGCTTCTGATTTAACCCTTCATTTGGCATTAATATGCCTTACCTTTAGTATATCCGGGGTTGCAGCAAGTACTTATGTCACACACAAAATACGTATATACCTCATTTTTTGTATACTTTAATTTATTAAAAGCGAACTGCTT